CTGCTCTTTTCAAAGTCTCAAAGGCGTCTTGTTGAGATTTTCCCCAGTGGAATTCCTTATTGGAGCTTAACAATTGTGTGAGGGGAAGAGCAATATCAGCGTAATGAGAAATGTACTGATGGTAAAAATTAGTCAAACCAAGGAATTGCATCACATGTCGTTGGGTTGTTGGTACTGGCCATTCCCTTATTGCCTTGACAAGTCCGCCATTCGTCTTGAGTCCATCCTTGGAGATGACATGGCCTAGGAACTCAGTCTCTTCCTGCATGAAGGAACACTTGGATAATTTACAATAAAGCCCAGCTTGACGCAAGAGGGAGAGTACTTGTCGGATGTGCCCTAAGTGATCTTTCTCGTTATCGGAGTAAATTAAAATATCATCGAGATACACAACAACACATTTATCAAGAAGTGGATCAAGTACGTTACGCATCATAGTTGAGAACGCTGCAGGTGCATTTGTAAGACCGAAAGGTACGACGTTAAACTCGTAGTGACCATAGCGAGTTCGGAACGCGGTCTTGTGTTTATCATCAGGATGGACACGCATCTGATGATAGCCCGAGAGTAGATCCAGCTTGGTAAAACATTTAGCTGTTCTGAATCTGTCGATCAATTCATCGATCCGTGGTAGGGGGTACCTGTTTTTCTTTGTGATCTTGTTCAGGCCCCGATAATCAACACACATTCGAAGCGAGCCATCCTTTCTCTTCACAAAGAGGACTGGAGCACCGTATGGTGAGGTGCTCAGTGAAATTAATCCTTTTTGTAAAAGATCAGTTAGCTGCTTCTTCAGTTGATCAAGCTCAGCGATCGACAATTTGATGACAGGTCGGACAGGTGGGTCAGCATAAGGGTCAGTCTCTATACGCATGCTATCACCTCTGTCAGGGGGAAGGCCATCGGGAAGCGTTGTAGGAAAGACATCAGGAAATTCGACTTTAACGATTTGCTTGATAGAGTCCGGTAGTTCAGAACTACTGCTAGAGACAGGTACTGGGACTCGAACTTGGGCGAGGAATACAGAGGCATCAGGTTCCGAGGCAACGGTAAGGAAGTTAAGAGCAGATATGACGGAAGATCGCTGTCTAGGCTTCCTGTCGATGCCAGTGCAAGGCCACAAGACCGGGGTACCTTGGTATTCAAAATGCAGATCATTTGTTCGCCAATTGATGCGAGGGTTGATATCCGTCAGCCATGGTTTACCCAAAATTAGGTCGTATTTGGATAGAGGATAAACAATGGCGTTGATTTTATCCTGGTACGCGTTGCGGGCGAGGGTGAACGTGGCTGTGTGCTGAGCAATTGTCTCGGTACCGTTGGGAAGAATGACAGGAATGGGTCTACCCTCAATTAGCGGAACATGTGTGTTCTCGCAGAAAGAGGAACTTATGACATTGCCTTCGGCCCCTCCATCTACAAGAATGCGCGCAGGTCGACCATTCACTGCTCCAATGAAAGTAAGAAGTCGGCGAGAGTTTTTATGTTTGTCATAGGTAAGGCTGAAGGATTGAAGGCGAATTTCGTTACGACAATGGGAGTGGCGATTGGATGAACTAGGGGTAGATGAATGAGTGGAAGTGAGTGAAGTGGAAACAGTGAAAGGATCAGTGGAGGGGAAAATAGGGTCGGAGAGGGGATTGTTTTTTAGCAATGAGGAATGAGTAGGGGAATGGGGATCAGGATGAGGTGAATACTTAGAGAGTAGATGTAAGGAAGTAGATGCAGTGGGAGCAATAGAGTGATCAGAAAGGGGCATGGATGTTATATTTGTGCACAAAGGATTTTTATTTGTAGTCATCAACTGTAACTGACCATGCCCTCTATTATCCAGGGCTTGAAGGCTGGGGCTAGAGGGGGCGAGGCAGGCCTGGTTTACTGCTCGCCCTCCTCTTTTCCCGACTCAGAAAGCGTATGGTCATTGTTTTCTATATTAAAGACAGAGGTGCGTTGGCATTGTTCGGCTCTATGACCTCGGTTCCGGCATCTGAAACAACGCCCCTCACGAACGCAACGTTCTCGTTCAGCTGCTGTGAGCTTGGGTAGCGAGCTTGGCTTGGAGTGGTTTCTGTTTGGTCGTTGCTGATGGAGAGAGGTGTACAGGTTGGCAACCAACATTCTCATGTTATCGAGATCCATTGGTGTAGGGCCAGAATTATTCTCATGATGGGGTGATAAGGCGTTCGGGGTAGCGGATACAGGGGTGGCATCGATGGGATGTAGAATACTGTGGACAATGGTCGCCTGCTCAATGGCATCGTCCAACGTCTCTGGCTGTCTAAGTCTTACCTGCTTGCTTGTTTCGGGCTCAAGGCCTAGCATGTATTTTTGCAAAGCAGAGTCTTTGTCGAGATTTGTAGCCAGACGTAGGTGGCTTCTAAACTTGCTCGTATATTCTGCCACACTCATCCTTCCCTGACGAAGTTTATCCAACGCTCGGCGAGCTGCATTCGCAGAATCTGGAGGGGTGAACTGACGGAGGAATGCTTTACGGAAGTCAGCCCAAGGTGTATCGAGATTCAACCCGGAATCTCTCCACCATGCCTTGGCTTCGCCATTGAGACTGAGGACAGCGTATCGAACCCATTTGGATGGCGTGAGTGTGACAATAGTGTAATACTCCTCCAGGCTGTCGACAAAGTTTAAGGCTGCAACAGCGTTAATAGCTCCTTCGTAAGGCGTAGGCTTCTGTGGCTTTAGGACCGTGGCGAGGGTTCTGGCTAGGTCATTCTCAGCGGCTTCGTTGGCTTTAGCAGTAGAGAGGGCCTGATTAAAAGCAGTAGCTATGGCTTCGCGAATGTTCAGAGGAAGATCGATGGACGAAAGGGCGTTATTCAAGTGTTCCATGGCGAGGGGTGAAATTCAATGGTAATTGTAGTTCTCTGGGTGTGGTCGTGGTTTCCTTTGCTACCAATGCAAAAATCAAGGTAGTGTTCTAGGGGGATCTAAGGGTGCAATAAAGGTATCTTTATTCAGGGGGAACCATGCTACAGAACTAGATAGAAAAGTAGACCTATTTATACTAGTTAATATCCTGTTGCAAGGAATGCTCTAGAAATATGGGCGAAATACAATGTTGCACAAAATTATTATAGTGATTTCGCTTGCAAGGGCGAACAGGTGGATCTGCGTTGGGATCTGTTTCAATTTTCATAGAATTGCCGCGGTCTGGTGGAAGACCTGCAGGGAGTGAGTCAGGAAAGACATCGGGGGACTCAGCCTGTATAATTGACGCAATATCAGGGTGTATGTCGGAATTGGTACTTGTTGAGGGATGAGGGAGCTGTACTGTAGCGAGATAAACCTCGCTGCCTGGCTGTGCCGCGGCATTTTGGAAATGCATGTGACCCATAAGTAGCCCATGAGACTTAGCTGTAATTGAATTGTTTGAAACCCTCTGCATGACCAGTGCACGGTGTTGCGATTAGCAGTCATTTACATGGGTTTTTACTATAGCTAAGATTTTTACCCTTTTTATTTAACGAAGATCCCCGGATCATAATAAACACATCTTTCTTTCGTTCTCGTTACTTATTATGATCCTGGAATATTTCACACGGCATTGCCATTATGTGTGAAGTGGAGGTCATTAGTGCGCCAGTCCATAGTAGTGCTCCTATTCGAACTGAAATTTTGTCAATTGATATTTATTTTTTTAATCTGAAACATCATAATTGACAAAATTTCAGTTCGAATAGGAGCACTGCGGCTGCAGCTTCAAGATACGAGTAGCGCAACATGAATCTCTGAAAGTAGAGTAAACATTCTCCTTGTATCTCGCGCATATCTTCTTGAGCCCCTCCCTCCAAAGCTTTCTTTCAATAAGAACCCGTTGCATCCCTTTGGCTGGTTTTGCTTTTTTGGTGTATACCAGTTATTGGGATAATTCATGGAGTATTTTTCACCTCCGACTTCTGTGTCCCTAAGTCGCGCTTGATTACCTCCGGGGCTGCAGCTTCTGCCAGAAATCGTTGTTGGAGCACACCCCCTTAACCCAATCTTCCTCTTCCGTCTCATTTCCCGACCAGTGCTCCTATTCGATTCGAATGGTTCGAATAGGAGCACTGCTCCCGACTCCTCCTCAGTCTCTGGATCGTTCTTTATATCATCCCAATCCTGATTATGCTGAGGCTTGACTAAATCCTCCTCGAGTTCGATGCTGCTAACCTCTACAACAACTGAGTCAGCTACTGTCTCTATCTGCAAATTCTGAGGTGATATATTTTACGTTTGTGCTGCTTCGATAGCTCTGCGCTTTGCCTTTTTTTGAGGAGCATCTCGCAAGCGTCACTTTGTTTTATTTAAACCACCCATTGTATCTTCAATATGACGCAGTTGTATAAGAGAGTGAATTTCTGAAGATGATGGGAGGATAGGACGTTTGATGTACACTAAATTAGTGGCCATTAGCACTTCATAAACAATGTGACTGCGGTGACCCCGAAACCCAACAAATTAAGGTTTTCCCATTTTTTTTCGTGACTAGATGAACGGCACTATAAGAGGATTGGAGTGACCAATTGACGCGGAGTAAATTAATCATGCACGTGACTGTTCCTTGAATCATGATCGCAACAAAGTATTTTGTTGATTCATGTTAATTGTGTTGTTCGTCGCATTATAACCTTGCTGGCTGGCAGCCAGTGCTCCTATTCGAACTGAAATTTTGTCAATTATGATGTTTCAGATTAAAAAAATAAATATCAATTGACAAAATTTCAGTTCGAATAGGAGCACTGCTGGCAGCCACATGAAACATTTTAATGCTTGCCTAGGGACTGTCTATTCCTGGTCATCATTAGCAGTCCCGTGAACAAAATTCAACCCGGTAGCATTAAGGTGTGCTGTGGGAAAGGAAGGAGATTTTCATTGGTGGAATGTAGGTTACACGAAAGTCATTCTTGTAGGATGCCCCTTAAAGCTATTACGTTTACGTGGCTTAGCTTATACGCGTTCATTGTTATTTTGCCTTTTGTGAGATACTTTTCATTTGTCGTAACACCTTTCACCATTATAAAACACGATTCCTTACTCTTTATCCTGCTTGCTGTGGAAGAGACAAGGACAGTCTTTGTAACTTTATACATTTGCAATATTTGGTTGTGCTTCCTGTAAAGCAGGATTTACCCACCATTCTTTCTTCATCCTTCAATAATCTTTTCTCTTCGTTGGCATCCAAAAAAAATATGACTGATGCCAACGTAATGGACATTGACAGGACGACTGATTCTGTTAATGTCAAAATTTCTGCATTTAAGACAACAACAACATCAATTACAGAGACAGCTGCAGAGACTGTTGAAGCAAGCAGCGACTCATCAAGTGAAGCTGACTTTACTCAGGAAGTTAACGTTCCTCATGATAATTTACCTGGACAAGAGCAAAAGAATGGCAATCCGGAGGAGCAATCAACACTGGCTTTTGAGGAAACATCCCATCCGCAAAAGAGACGTAGTTCAGATTATACAGACATACCGGAGAACCCTGATCAAATGATTAGCCAGGCGATAGTATCAATTGCGAATAGGCGAGCAAAGAAACCCGTGTCGTATGCTCCTGTGTACAACAAGTCTGCTGCGCCATCATCCTTAGGCTCTAAAAAAGCCACATCAAAGCAGGATCATATAAGAACCATCATTGGTGCTATTCTTCCGGAGGGCACTGTGGCCACGGAAGAAGCCTTAGACCGTCTTTCTCTAGCATTTAATGCTCTGGTTAAAGAAACCAGCGATGCTTCCGCTAGTAAGGTAGCGACTTCGGTCAAGGCTGCTGTGACAACTGTTGCCTCCAAGGCAGCCGCGGCGGCAGCGGCGGCAGTGACACCAGCATCAACATCCGTACCGAAATCAACAGTGCCACATTCGCCTCCATCTTCGCCTTCAACCTCGTCTTCAAATACTAGATCTAAGTCCAAGCGTACATCGCCCTTATCTCCGATACCAGTTGACCATTCTGAAAGGATTTTTACGCATGCTCTTCCAAGGAGAAGCTCGACTACGATTATTTCCAGAAAACCTCATGCTGTAGATGTGGCAGTGAAAACAGGCTCTAAAAGACACAGCGAGACAGGTAAAGATATTTTGGAAGTTTCAGTGGATAAATAGTGACCGCGCCGAATTTTTTTTACTGATTTTTACACTTTTGTGTCCATCTATCAATCATTTAGACAACAAGCTCACCAAGAGGCAAAAATCAACGAAGAGGGAAGGAGAGGACGAGGAAAATAAGGAAAAGACGAGTAAAAAAGACAAAGAGTATGAAGAGAACAATAATGACGAGGAGGAGGAGGAGGAGGAGGAGGAGGAATCTGAATATGAAGTAGAGGCGATTCTTGACTACAAGGCCTTACGTGGCAAGAAGCATAAATTCTTGATCAAGTGGGTTGGATATCCAGAGAACGAATCCACTTGGGAAAGTCAGGACGCACTCACTGGATGCGATGAAATGCTGCATGCATTTGCGGTTAAAAAGGGAATCACACTTTAAATTTTCATTTTATTATCATTGCCTTGATGCTAACTTGTGATTTACTCGTACTACATTACGAAGGTCCTCATTAAAAAACAATTTATATTTCAGTGAAGGACAAGAGGATCAGTATCTTTGTGAGTATTTCTTCATTTCCTAAGCCTCTAATATATCACTATACCAGAAAACATTAGGTATTAACAGAAGTACCTGAGATATCATCATTTCCTCAATAAACATGGATCAAACCTTCTCAATCTTTCTCATTTCAGTACTCTTCACATCTCTCGATTGACTCATACTCTTCTTCACTCTCCTTGATTGCGTTTCAAAGACGAATACAAGCTACTGAGAATTAGCTTTGTTAATAAGCCTGGCGGTTGCGCCCATTCTCATGAAGAGACAGGCCGAAACCAATGCTCAGGCGTTATCTTTTTTTTTTTTCTTATACAAATGCTAAACAGCAGCATGTCATTAACGAAATCAAAGAAGAGGGCGGCGAATGAAAGAGTTATTTTGCATGCAATCAAGGGGAATAGACTAAAGCGAGTGATGATTGAAAAAGAATCCACTGGTTGTGCAAAAGATTACGCTCCTGTCTTTTTATGCCAGCTGGTCACAAGGAATATGTTCTTATCGCATGTGTTACAAGAAATGTAACATTAATATAAAATCTTTTATAACTGTTAAACAACATTATTGCCTAGGTTGCATGCACAGCTTGCGTCCCCTGAACAAGCCGAGATGTAGCTTTGTCTTGGATCCGTCTGTCCTCTGGAGTATAATCTATGAATGATGCGGCATGAAGACTTTGTTTAGTATTTTAACATGTTCATCGATCTGATTATCGAGCTACATCTCCATCAAGTGTATTAAATAAAATAAAAATAAAAAGGCCCACCTCATCAGTGGCCACATAGAGATACTTGGCACTGTACTGTCCTATTGCTGCATCTAACACCACTACAGCATCGTTAGGTTTGTACCATATGCCGTCAATCATACATCGACTGCCATCTAAATAAATTTCGACTTCTGGGCGTGAACCTGGTCAAACATCGGACGATAGTTAAAATTTTTTTAGTCTCACGTCCATTGCATACTGAACAATCGCTCCAATCAAGTATGGTACACACCATGATACCCACCAGGTTGTGGTATATTTTGAGGAGGGTGATCCATAGGATTTGGCCATCGGGTATTTGAAGTGGATCGCGAAGGCATGGACGACAATGGAATAGGCATTGAAGGCGGCATATGTCCTAATGTATATGATGAATTCGTTGATTGCTCCGTGGAATTGACAGGAAGTACTGGGCGAGCAAGCTGATTGGTCATAACAGCCAAAAATCCACATTGGATTAGCACCCGGAAAACTGTATTATAGTCCAGCTGGTTGTTGTTGGCACAGGCAAAAATCGGGTTTGCACCCGCTCACTTACTCCCATGGCTGTGAAATCGTTGTCCAGCTCTGAATTCGAGATTGGGCGTAACTTTGAGCTTGTCGGGAAACCACACCTTTCCACTACAACCCTTAGCTCGTCTGCTTCGGCTCGCCTCATTTTTCGCGCACGCACAAGTGTTGCTTTGTCGTCAATAACTAAGAAATATAGGTTATTAACAAATGGAGAAAAAAAAAATCTGTTAGCAGAGGCAACTGAGATCTAAGTATCGCTGAAAAAAAATTGTCCGCAATATTATATTTTACCATTGCGTTTATGGGTACCAGAAGATAGGGTTAACTCCATCATCATCATCTGCTGTTTTTTGCCTAGTGCTCGTACCATATCTGAACGAGTTGTGCGTCGCGCGGACTAAATATATAGAAAATGAACGAAAGTGCTCATCAGCAATAAAACTCAGACAGAACCAAACCCTTTCTACCTTTTTTTATGTTTGTTTGTTTCTCAGGGTGTTACCTGAAAGGTGCAATGTGCTCTGTACTCCGCCACTTGATATGCACTCTGAGCGATGTCAATCAAATACTTTTTCCCCATTCCCGCAAATCGCAATCGCTGTTCTCGCTTTTGTTCGATTTCTTGCATTAATGATGATAGCTCGGGGTGCGTGCCTGAAAGATATGAATATTACAATGTAAAATATGCCAATGTTCAAAATTACTGTTGCTAGTTCAACATCTTAAACAAGTAATTAGACACTCCCATCTCACCTACCGGCATTAATCATCTCAACTTCACGATCCAACTCGGTCATACGCTCCTCATACATCCTGGAAAAAATTATCAGCACAACAAAAAATTAACAACAATCACAATAGTAATGATGGCAACAATAAAAAGATTAGCCAAATCATTTCCAACACTTGACGTACTTGTCTCGAAGATTAGCAAACTCAATTTCGATACTCGTAAGTGCTTCTAGAGCGTCTTTGTGGCGTTGCTTTGTTTCCAGATCTATTGCGAATTATGAAAGGATAATGGGTTAATTAGTCATGGCGGCCAATAATATCCAAAGACTTTGAGCGGATTCAATGCTCACCTTCTTCTTCCTCTTCGTCAGCAGGCTTTTCTTCCTCCTCTTCCTCTTCCGGTACTTCTGATCCTGATTCCTTGTCCGTATGATGCGCTTCGTTTACATCAGATATTTTCTTCTCATTAAGCCGCACTCTACCGTTAGAACCCTCCTTTCTTCCCTCTTCTTCATTTTCTCCATCTCTCTTCCCTTCCTCCTTAACAGTGTCCACCTCTCCCTGCTTAGTAACTTCTTTAACAGGTTCTTGTGATGGTCGCTTGCGCCCACCCGTAACTTGTTTAGCATTTCCTGCTGCTGTCATCGCTGGGGCTGTTGCAGGGATATTGGCTATAGACTCCTTGTTAACTGATTTTACCTCGAGCATATGATCATCTTCGTCTGAATCATCTGTATCGTCAAACTCTGAGAGATCGGACAGATCGTCTCCACTATCCTTAAGTTCATCTGCTGCGGAAGGCCGGTTAAGAACTGGCTTTTGTGTAAATGAGGTCTCCTTCCTAACCTCATTTACCTTTTTTGCAGGTTCGTCATTATCATCCTCGTCTTCTGGTTCCTCGTCGTCACCATCTGCACCCTCTCCATCGGCGTCTCCATCATCCTCTTCATCCTCATGTTCATTGTCGCTTTCTTCTAGCTCAGGAAGATCGCTGTCAGAGTCTTCAGAATGTGCCGCTATGCTACTTTTATGATCCTGATCTGTTCCCTCGTCGGCTGTATCCATATCATGATCTTCGAGCTTTACATTATTCATATTTGGCTTTCCTGCTGAGTTTATCCTATCACTGGGATTCGAGAACCCGTCATCATCGTCATCATCGTCGTCGTCGTCACTAAAATCATCCTCTCCATTGCCAACCTCAGTATCCTCCGTATCTTGGTCCAGATCATCGTAGTCATCTAAGGCTCCATCCAGCAGAGCACCATCAAGATCTTCTTGATTGATCTTTTCGCCCATACCTGATAACCCATTTTTCTCGGAGGTGAATGGTGCTTCAGCCATGGGTGTATCTAAGTCTACTGCCTGAGCGGAAACACTATTTATCTCCACATCATTCTCTTTCTTATTAGCATTAGGAATAGACTTTGTCAAGTCCCAAGATGCTATAGAATCAACTTTCTTTCCATTGGGGGAATGGTCATGGCCGTCTGTTCCTGCGTCGCTTTCGTTGGAGTTGCGCGAAGACGTAACAACTTTATCTTCTACAGGCTTTTCTTTTTTATTCGTCCCTTCTAAGCGCTTATCCTGAGTGGTTTGCTGTATTGGATCCTGATCTTGCTTCTCTTTGAAAGGGACTAGTGTCTTATCCTTGCTGCCACCTTTCATGTCGGATCCGGCTTTGCTGCTGTCAGTAGTATTGATAAATTATTCGAGGCTTGATTATCTGTCCTGACTGAAGCCACTTCCGTCAATGCTCCGCGGATGAAATAAGTAGAGCCCTGCAATGAGTCGAATTGCCAAAAATAAAAAAGGAAAGACCAGTAAGACTGGAAGTGGATGAATAAATGAAGACACGCTTGCAAGAGAATGAGAATGTGGTATCCTTGTTGAGTGACTTATGGCCTTTTAGTGTTTGTTCTGCTTTCTTTTTTCTTTTTTTCTGTACTTTTTTTTTTTTTTTTTTTTTTTTTTTTGATATGGGAGAAAAGGGAAGTCCCTATCTTGCAAAATAAAAATAAAAACAGGATTTCTTTTAGAACCCTGCACGTGCTGACTATTTCCGGCTTGTGGTCAATCTATGAGAACATTGTTCATGATGCTTGCGCATACCGAAATAGATAACAGGATGCGATGAAAAAAGAAAAGGAGGAAAAGAAGACAGTGAGGTATGCCCCTCTTTAACTGAACTCAGTCTGGATATACAAATAAAGTCTGCCCTCCCATATCAAACAGGTTCTCAAACTCCAGTGGTGGTGAGCTGTTGTGACTACCAGAATAGACAAAGCCACCCTCAAAAACAAAAAAAAAAAAAAAAAAAAAAAAAAAAAACCTGCACATAATCCCCTTTCTGCATATTACCATACGACCCTACAATTTACTCACATATCACTCACAAATCCCAAACCGCTCAGAATGTCCCTGACCGCCTCTTTGCTCCAGGGAAAGACTGTCGAGAGTACACTTGACTCGCTCTTCAAGAATAGTGTAAGGAATTTATCTTCAACCTCAATAAAAAGAATATACAGCGATATTGTAATGGACATTGGGACGTCTATCATTCACCACCTTTGTTCTTTTTCTATCTCTTGTCTACTTTATACCATGCTTTTTTTCTCTATTTTTTCTAGGCTGGACCCTCTGCGACACCAGCACCAATTCCAGCTAAGATTCGTAAACCATATCCAGAGGACCTAACCGATCAACCAAAAAAAAAAATTAAGACGCCCAAGCCCAAATCCACGCCTGTCTCAAGAAAGGACAAAAAAAACAAACAGAAGGGTGCAGATGATGATATGAATAGCGACCATGAGGACGAAAACGAGGAGGAGGAAGATGAAGAGGACAGCAGTAATAAGAAGAAGAGTAAAGCGAGTATTGAGGATAAATATGAAGCTAAGCTAATAGCTACATCAGCAAAGAAGCCTAAGACCAAGAGGGAGTCCCAGATGGGTGACAATACACCCAAGGAAACCAAAGAATTAGTTCAGCAGCAAACCAAACATGATTATGGTAAAGACGTTGATATGGAAGAATCAAAAATTGAGGACCTCGTCCATGAGTCTCTTAGGAAAAACAACAAACGCAAGGCCGATACTTCATTATCGGAGTCACTTGATGCAAAGGACAGCAAAATATCAAAGAAAGCAAAGAGCACGGATGCAGTTGAGCTAGAGGATGTTGACCTGGATAATAAGGCTGCTTCACCAAACACCACCAAAGACGACCCTGAAAGACAGGCACGGACGGTCTTTGTTGGCAACCTTGCAGTAGCATGTATGGCCCAGGCTCAGTTTAGAAAGTTGAAGTCGACTTTTGCACAGTATGGTCCTGTGGAGTCGATTCGCTTTCGTTCTATTGCCTTTTCAGAATTGTTGCCTCGCAAGGTTGCGTTTATCACAGGAAAACTCCATCCTGAGCGCGATGTTGTGAATGCGTATATTGTCTTCAAGAACAAAGAATCAGTAGCCAAGGCTGTTGCTGCCTTAAACGGACAACTCTTCCTCAACAAGCATATACGTGTTGATACAGTTGATGGTGCCAAGGTATAAAACCCCGAAAATTTTGATAACCTTTAGAACGGACAGTTTCTGCCCATATTCATGACCACAAACGGAAGACTAAACTCTCATTATTTTATAGAAACATCAACCCAAGAAGAGCGTGTTTGTCGGTAATTTGGCTTTTGATGCGCAGGAAGAAGATCTCTGGAACTTTTTCAAGGACTGTGGTGATATTGAGAACGTGCGCATCATCCGCGACAATAAGACCAACCTTGGAAAGGGATTTGCGTATGTTCAGTTTCAGGATCGTGCCAGCGTTGATGTTGCTCTGAGATTACATGATACCAAGATGGGTTCACGCAAGCTGCGAGTTGTGCGCTGCAAGCGTCTCGAGGAAGAAAATAAGAAGACTAATGGTATGGGGCCTCGATCTATGGCAGGGGTTGTAAAGGGTGCTAAGAGTAGTATCAAGGACAAAGATGACAAGCCTGCTAAGACACAGCATGCACCCATTGTTATGGATGGTGTGGCCAAGAGATTGGCATTCAAGGCTCGAAAAGCCAATGAGAAACACATCTTGACAAAAAAGAAGGCAGGCATCATTGTTGAGGGCGAGCGGTCACAGAAAGGCGCTAAAGTTGATCTAGGCATTAAGAAAGGCAAGACCAAGGTCAAATCCAACGTTCCTAAGAAGAAGATTGTGAAGAAGTAGAGGTGTTTTTTTTTTTTTTTTCCAAATTTTGTCTTGCATATCATGTCATGTCATCATTAAAGCATTATGTTGGTACATTAAGGCGTCTGTGCACCTCCTACTCCATTCAATATCACTAAGATAGCGCGCTTATTATTTTCTTCGTCAAAACTTGGGAATTCATAAGACGAACACGTCTATCCTACTGTTGCAACAGTAGACTGTAAATAATGAGGCTACGGCATCTGAATCAGCCGTTACAATATCCACCAAACAAAAACAAGGATAAATTCGTTATGCCTCTTCCAGCCTAAATCCCATCTTTTCAGGTGCAAAGAGTAATATCGAACCTAGATCAATTCCTTAAGACGATACGATTCTTTGATCTAAACAGGGATACCCTCTCTTTCGAACCAATATCAAAATTAAAACGTGTAATTACTGGAGGTAACTCTAATACACCCAATCCTCTCTATAACACGTTGTATGAGACGACATCAATGAACAAAACGCCACTCAATACTCATACACTCCAGAAAATATCAACTGTTTTTATTTTTCCTCAGCTACGTGGTAAAGAACACCATAAATCCGACGTTCACATCGTCCCAATTGAGTAGCACGTAAAATTCCACAGCATAGTTAAACGCATTGCTCTGATTCGTTCATAAATGTAGGTTTAATGCTGAGCAAAGTTGTCATGGCTGTATTAAACCCTCAATTTTAAAAAATCAGAAAAAAAAAATAAAAAATAAAAAAGGTATGAATAGTGAGGTTTGCTATGGACGGCTCACATCTAAATGAAGATAGAGACGAGAATAATGATATCATTAATAAAAGAAAGTAGAGTAGTGTCATTGATGCAACGCGCGCCCCGGTGCATGTTAATGGTCAGATAATTAAAATTCTTTATCATATTGACCATATCTTAGAGGAAACACGCATTAGTTATTGGGAAGACAAAATCGTTTCCGTTAGCAGGTAATACAAAGACAAATGAATATACCATCGTTCACATTTTTCATACGAGGTGGAGATCTTGCATGACAATTATTAAAAGCTATGCTCCAATTCAATTGTGCCACTGAAGAGTGGAAAATTATGTCAGCAATCCCAGATACCTGCGTCTAAAAAAGCATTAATGGCCGTCAAGGAAGCTTCAGACACTAACACAAAGGCAGTTGCAACAATCGTTTGCGTGTCACAGGATCCAAGTCATCAAGAGTCATTTCCATAATTGGTCCGTAGCTGAGATGTGTAATGGTTCTTCTAAAAAGAGATCACTATAGCGAGCACTGGTGGATGGAAGATCTGGACACAAGTATCGCTTCCAGCGCCCGCAATAATCCCAATATTCTAGCCGAATTCGTCCTTCATGGAGACGAGTGTATGGGGATTACACTCTCAAAATGACACAGGATCATGGGGCTTCCGATGCACAGCAACGACAAAGAAAGAACCAACACACTCATAATCGTAGAAGAAACGGTAGAAGTAGCCATGACCACAATGTTCAGAAATAGAGGCAAACAAGGCAGAATCGAGCATCGAATAGCCTATACGAAACTGACTGCAAATCCGCCACATAGATATTCTCCAACTTCGGCCCTGACACGTCCCGCTTGGTCGACGTTTTTAAGATCATTAAAAATTAAAAATAAACCAGAGGGTCAAGCTTGTAGCTCTTTTTGGTTAGTCGTTTTCGATTATAAGAATTTTGTTAAGTAAATCATTTATATTTGAAAGGTCTAACCAAAAAGCTTGGCCCTCTGTCATTGCCACAAATTCGTTAGGTGCTGATTACTAGCACACGTGGACGGCACGGCTGTAAATAAATAAACTCTTGTACGCCCAAACCAGAGTTATTTATTGTATGCATTTCTGACATAATAAACTCCTATACGTTCTTGTTTTGCGTTGGCGTAACAGGCAAGATCTATTCGAGATCTTTTTGCAAACAAGGCAATGGTTTATGCATCAACGGTAGGAGCTGGTCTTTAACTGGTAACAGATATAAACGTGTCTTTCTATTTGAGCCATAAATATCTGCTTGCTCTCCATGTGATGTGTCTTCAAATACAGCAAGGTCTTTTGACAGGATAGGAGAGCATAAAGGAGGGAATATGGCGCTATTGATATACAGCACTCTGCACAAGGACACCAAATGTGTGGTGAGCACAAGCGCTTACTTCTTGGAGAACATCACAGCTACATGTTACCAAATTTTTTAAAATGGCGCCAGCTCTTCTAAAAAAAAATATAAAAAAACGCGACCCATCAAACTAAGTGATGAAGATCATCTTGTGCTCTTATTTATATTCAAAAAAAGCCTTCTTTTGCCTTGCTACTCACTATGTGAATATGTCTTGCTTCTCCTACTTCCTTAGCCTCCTCTTTTAATCGCTCATTATCAATATCTATCGTGTCCATTTACTGCGTGTATGTGTAATAGGCTACGTGGTGTTTTGTCATCATGCTCAAACAACCACAAAATACTGGTTCGCCTGATTATCAAACATTTCACTGAGAGCCCTATACCTCCCTTCTTATTTTCTTACACGATCATAAAGGGGCACAAGCACAGCTGGACTTCACAATATATTCAGCTTGGATACAATCAAGGATAAGAGCGATATAAACAACAGTGCTAAAAGCCAATAGGCACATAAACATGATTTCTTGGCGCTTACGCTACTCACCAAAGAGAGAGAAAAAGGTATTTTATGATGTGCCATCCACAGATTCATTCCTGTGATGCTCAGATACCACAAACTTCCCGTAAAAAAAAAAAAGAAAGCTCTTCTTTTTCATTGTGCAACCATTGCGGGGTTGGTTCAATGATGCCTTTCACTCTCTGTCTCTTCTAAGGGAACAAATATCCATCAACAATGAACCAACAGCCATTCAGTTTACTTAAAAACAGGTTGTTGTTGTTTTTTTTTTACCCCTTGCTAATCATGAATTGTAAATATACTATCGTGTCTAATAGAACTTTGATAGAATTGGCGTGAATTGTCAACAGGAAAGCGCGGTGAACTTCTGAGCGTTATTCTCTTTTTCCAGAAAAGACAGAAGATAATTGATAGGGGCGAACGACAGAGATGTTCGAACGGAAATAGCATTCAGGTTTAAGACACAAAACTCTGTTTTGAAAGTGCAATCATGGTTGAAGATTAATACCCAAAAGAATTATACTTGAGGGAAAAGTAAACACAAGGACATTACTGAGCTGAGCTAGATTGAAGTAAGGTAGGAGGGACAATCGTACATGTACTTTAGGCTAAAATGGTCAATGAATTTGGCTCCAATAAAGATTATTCTCAATACTCAACACTAACAGTGCCTCAAGTAGGAGGCATTGTATGTGTTACTATGAAAAAATAGACCAATGAGACTTGTAGGGCAGTTGCATCCTTTTTATTTTTATTAAAATTTGAGCTGGTTTTCCTTTCAAAAGAATGGACACAGAAGAAAGCCGACATCCTTTATTCTCCATTCTGGACGACCGAAGTCAAAAGTGACTCTAGTCATCACATTCACACATTGGCACACTATTCTTCTCTCTTCCTTTTCCATCCCCCAGCAAATATTCCTCCCTTAGAATGGCTACGAGGGAATGAGTATCGTCTGAGTACAAAACTTGGCCGGTCTGCCTGCGAATGTAATGCAACCTCTTGCTCTCTCACTTCCTCTCTCTTGAAAAGTCTGAGCTGCATGAGAAAAACAAGATTTTATGGATATACCAGAGGTGCAGAACGACTGTGAGCCCTCTTTCACCTTTTTATTTTGTTCTTTTCCTTTCCCATTGTTTTCAATAGACATATCATGCACAGGAAGGGTCAGCTCGCCATCGGGGGGCGTATCCGATCCAGATATTGTTCTGTGCAAGTTGAAGGACTTGGCTATAGTCCAGTTTGTCAGCAATGGCCCGACCTTTAAGAGTTAATCTCAGAGACGTATTAGACATAATCGCGCTCTCCTTTCTTTCTTTTCTTTCCTTTTCCCCATATTTTCTCTCTCTTCGTTTTTATCATCCAATCCCATTCTTTCCTCTCATTGCCCCTTATTCTTTCTCTGCTTTTCCTCTTTCAATCCATTCTCGCTGCTGCCGTTTCGTTTTCTTTTCATTTTACACAACACACAGCTATAGCAAAAAGCACACAGTATACATTGCTATCTTTCATCAATACTCCCTATCCATTTCATCTCAACGTTAGACAATCATGGTCAACTTTGACAGCTATTCACATCATCGCAATGTCGAGACCCTTTCTCGATATGATCCATGGATGCATAAACATTCCGGCACAGCAAACGAATCACACTTTTCTGATCAACATTTTCTAGAGTCACAATTAGAATCCCCCTTGTCCTCGCCCCTGTCATCCTCAACAGCCTCTCTATCCTTGGAACAAAATATGAAGTTGCGACTGCTGGAGCATCCGATCGTATCCGCAGAGCTACGACTGATTACTCAAAAGCGGATGAAGCCACAATTTGACTCATCCTCACTTTCTCCAACGAGTAACAACAGTATAACAGCTCCACGTCTATTCATCATTTTGCCAAATATTACAACCACAACTACAATCACAACAGCAACCACAACGGCGTATGTGGAGCATCAATCGCATCCCAATGAATCTCAAGACAGGCAACCAAAACAACGACAATCCTTGTACGACCATGAGCATGATAACATTTCTCACAATGATTTTCGATTGCATTTTTTGTGCAACTTTAATGACCATGGACACCAACAACAACAACAACAACAGCAGCAGCAGCAGCAGCAGCAACAACAGCAACAGCACCAGCAGGGGACTTGCTACAGCCCAGCAATGAAATTCTACCCGAGCATGGTGGTAGATTCTTTTGTCGCGTCACATAATCTGGGGCCTGAATTAGTAGACATGGGCGCCAAAGAGGGGCGGATCTCAGCCACAATACCACCTCAACTACATATTTGCGAGTTAGACCAAGGGTATGTTCTTAAAGATGTGGAGAGCTTTTGTCAGGAACACAAAATAGGCCTGCTAAGTCTTCTACGGACCCTCCAGTCGTCCATGCGTCTGTTACTGGAGCAATGGGAGGAGGACGAACAACATATGCAAAATAAATTGGGCCATAAGAGCAGCAGGTGTCAGCACATGCAGGAAGAGATCGAGCAGGTGGATATTACGCAAGCCTATACCTCTACTGCGCCTTCACATTTGCGCTCCCCTTCTTCTTCTTTTCCGGCTCTTCAGAATAGGATCGACACAGCCGTTCGATATGTTCTAAAGTTCTTTAACCTTGCAGAGCTAGAGCACATTCTACAGCCCCCTTACGATATGGACATAGCGGCTTATGATGATAGACTCTCACCTGATTTGAAGATTGACGATTTCGATGATGAGGAGATCTCTCGGGTCAGGAAAACCATGACGAGCGATGGAATGATTCAAGGCCCTCTCATCCAGCCTAACATCGCAAAATCAACAATATCAATGACGGATCCTAGTTTTACATCAACACAAGCGACCATAGCCACGACCGCTACGACGCAGTGGCTCTGTCAGCGTCATGCAAAAGCTCGTTCTCAAGAACAGGCTCGGGAACGAATAAGGGCCGTGGTCGCTAAGTATAGAGGAGTATTCATGGAGAAGGAGAAGATGGTTGATATTTCCTTTAGAAGCCGTGAGCATGCAGAAGAGCTTTATAGAACCCTTCAAGAGCTGAGATTTATAGACAGACTCAAGGTGAGGCTTGAGTGGCAGGGTCTAAGTGACGACGATCTCTGGGCCTTGGGTGATGTTGTCGAAGAAACTTGTCTCCAGGAGCTGTCGCTGGAATGCAGTAGTGACAAAACTATTGACGGATGTGAGATACAGCCATCGCAGACAACCTTCAAACCTATCCTTGGCATGATCTTCATTCCAGCCTTAATATCCCTTACTCTCGACAACTTCCCCGCCCCATTCCCAACCCTTGCTGCATCTAATTTCGCCGCATCAGTGAGCGAGTTTTCTTTGCGGGCATTTCAACATACCTCGGATCTCATACTGCCGAATTTGAGCAATATTCGTCGCCTGGCTTTTAACAGCTGTGGACAAGGCACCAAAGCACATGAGCTGACTGAATTATTTCGCCATTGCCCAGATCTGGCTGAAGTTCAGCTAGATTGTGATAATATCGAGGGCGCCCTACTGAAGATCTGTGAGGCTACGAACCAGCTGGACAAGATCACGTCGGTCAGGCTCTCCGAGTCATCTTGGGAACAGGCAGAGATGTTGTTTGGCAAAACTGGAGAGAACACCATCACAACACAAGTTGAGGGTGCTAAAGAATCAATGCAGGAACAACCGAAATCAATCCTCAAGAGCGTTCGTCGTAAGACAAGGCAGTCTCCCGATCCCAACCTTCAGTACTCTGGTGTCCTCGAGAGACTGACATTATGTTGTAACTTGGATTTGTCGGAGAAGCACCAGGAAACCTTGGCGACATTAATTGCACAGAACCCAAAATTAGATACACTGGAACTTATGTGTGAGACTCGATCCATGGATCAACTGTGGCGATTCGTGATGAGCCACTACCAGCACCACCAGCAAATTCAGCAGCAGCGAGAATTTTCTTTATTGGATATTGAGCAAGCCGAATCAAGCGTAGCATCAACAACAGCAGCAGTAGCAACCAATAGGACATCTTTCATTGCTCCTCGTAGTCCTTCCTGCTCAAGCTTCTTGCGTCTTCATCTGTTCGACGAGTCCTGCAGTCTCATGGTGTTTACTCCTGGATTTAACCTTGTTGTCTTGCATGCCTACTCGGACAAACTTCGTCACCTACTTTATGCGTTGGAAGACATTTCGGTCGCACTCGTTATCGGGTCAAGGCTCGATGACTGGGAGCAACTAGCGCTGCTTCGTTCACATATAGAGGAGGATGGCGTCTTCAAGTTCAAATACCTATCGTGGGTTCTTACACCCAAGGCACAGAACGATCCTTGCTATATGCGAGAGCTCCGGGCACTTCTCAGTTCAAGGCCCGAAATTGACCACTTCTCAATCCGGGTCTATGCGTCTCTGTTTGATATCCGAAGCTTGATTCAAGCCTGGAATTGGATTGTGGAAGCGGCTTGGTTGAGCGAAGAGCACGGACGATGGATCCAGTCGTGTATAGAACATGAAGAGGAGGAAGAAGGTCGATCTATGGGGTCTGCTGCTATCTCGCCTACAGTTGCCAGGAATGGTGATGAAACACTGATGAGAAAGGGAGGAGCGAAGAAGACCTTTCACTTACCCGGACATGGTATGATGCAGAGCTATGCGCTCTCCTTGGATGAAGAGAACGAACTGATTCTCGCCTCATCCCATTTCTATTTTCCGTCTGCCATGTCCTCCGCAGTCGCAGGTGCTCATTCTGCAGTGACTTATTCGCTCACCTTGTCAAAAACACCATGGGCCTTCTAGACCATCTGTTCAAACATCATAATAATATAAAAATAAAACTGTAATATTGGATGTCCTCATGCGTTTTAAATGGCATTAGGTACTTATATATATTTTATTATGACAAGGAGAAAAGGACACAGGTTGAGAGAATAAGGAAGAGCGACTCAAAGCTTTTATAGTAGATAGCAGGGCATATCCATCAAGAGAGTGTATTGAGGCAAGAGGAGCTTGTGGCCATGTCATAACAACAGCAGCAACATGAAACCTCCCAAGGTGCTCCTTGTACATGTTATGGCCATCGGAGCGGGGGTTATTTGGAGAAGCTTATAGCAATGACAGTTTCTCAGAGCTAGTACCTTAACTTTTTTCTTTCTTTTTTTTTTTTTTTTTTAACACCACATTGGTATCGGTGGTCCCACCATTGACCCTCTTCAGCTAGTGCGAGAAGAGGCTCATGCGGAAGAACTTTGGGGGATAGCTCTTTCTCGATAGAGAGGTGACAATCGATCATTTGGTATTCTTGGTAATCAGGAAACCCTTGAAGCATCAATAGGCTGTTTTGAGTGCAAAGGGGGAATGGGAAAAGAATAGCCGTGTCAAGCAAGAGAAAAAATGGTTGGTGATAAAAAAAATTCTTGAAGTTCCCGCCCAACCATTAAAGTTGTCTCTCATGGCCACGTTGACATTGATGGTTGATAAGATGCTGATCAGCAGTATCTCTCGATAAAATCTTCCTGTTGACGGCTCAGACCAATCGAAGGAAAAAAATTCACCAATCTCCCGGGACTCCAACAAATGGCTTGGATAGACTTGTCAAAGATAATGCCGTATTCTTTACAAGCAAATGAAGTTGGAGTCATTGGATTGACTTTATCAAACACATTGGTTAAACTTTATCATCTACTCTTTCCAAATCGGATGCAATCATGAAAGGATGGTGGCACTCTCAAACTTCAGGTTTCAGTTTAACACATGCTTTTCTTCATTCATGACTACCATCAACGGGAGGGAAAAGAAAAAAAAAAAAAAAAAAAAAAAAAAGGTGAGAGGGAGGTGTAATTATTAAGAGATTAAACATTAATAAACATGAAGCTATGGGGTGGGTATGTTAAAAGCTCAAATTAGAACTTGGGAATGAGGAAGATACAGATTTAGTAGAGACCTATGCACTCGTTATCTCTAACTTCTTTGTGGTTTTCCAGGGCAATAGCCTAATGAATGCAAACTTCTTCTTCTCTTCCACAACAGCGACGCCCCCATTTGCTGCTCTCTCGCGTTCCTCCTTCTCACGTCTCTCTGCATCTAGGTCTGTTCCCTTGGCCCTCAATGCAGCAATGCGCCTCTTCAAGTTTCTCAAACTCTTGGGCAGAGCGAATGTTTTGGCGCGGGTTGGATGCAGCTTAACCTCTGTGCCTGTTGCTTCACCATTTAATCCTCCTACACCCGATCCAGGAACGGTCATGGATCGATTCCGGACCTCTTCCTCTTCAGATTCTTCTTCGACTGGCAGATATTTGATCTCGTTCACATCTAGAGTACTTGAGTTTGCATGTGAAGCAGAGTTATTGGCATGTGCTGTGAGTGTGTTGGAGGCACGCAGCGAGGGTGATGGTGTTTGATGTTGGGATGAGGACTGTGAGAGTGGTCGAACTTGAGATTGAGGCTGTGGATGAGGAGTAACTTGATTTCGAAGAGACGATGCCTGGCTATTAACACTAGTTTTCCTGCCAAAGATCCTGTCCAATCTTGAACGTTTTTCCTTTTCAGGACTGCCTAACTTGCCATTATGCTGTGAACCAGCATCTCCATTACTACCCTGTTGAGATGAGGCTTGTCCTAGAATTTTATTAAGGCTGGAGTTACTTCGATTGTTGGGTACAGAGGAATTATACTCTTGCTCCTCAGCAGAGATCATATTCTCTGCGTCTCTGTCGCTCGACTCTTTCATCGCCTCCTTCAGAACTTTAGCCTTTTTTTTTTTTTTAAAAAAAAAAAAAAAAAAAAAAAAAAAAAAAAAGCATTATTAGTCTGGTGATACATTCGGTGTACTCGATGCAGCTTGCATTCATAGAAGAGTCAACATGTTTTTACCTTGTGGATATTTTCCTCAACTTCCCGTTGAAGACTCTCACGCATGTTGACTCGATAGTTATCAAACTATACAAGACCAAACAATTAGAGCATTTTAGTAAACTTGCTTAGTCCTTTTTAACATTTGGGAACCACGTAAAAAAGTACCAATAAAAACATTTTTTTAAAATAAAAAAGAAATCGATTCTGAGCCCTCATATTGCATGAAAAGCATTTTCTCTCTTTTTAACGAGATTGTTAAGAAAGATGGCGGAATCCAATTTAATAGTAAGATGGGTGCAGGGAGTAAAGGTATGGAGGGAAACAGTGATAATACTTGCCTGCGCAATGAGATCAATTGCAAAGGATGACAGGATCGGGGTTGTCGCTACAGACATTGCAGAGTTCTTTCTCTGTGTATGCGATGGTGCATATGGACGAACTGGTCGAGTGAACGGGTGCGCCGCTGAGTTCTGAACGGTCGTCATGATGTCAAGAATATGTTGCAAAGCTTAAAGTCTGCAGTAAAAAGCAAAATAAGTTCATAAAGGTTAAAAAAGGTCATAATCACACCTGACTACCTAGTCAAACCAACCCTGTCTTTACAGTCAAGGAGGATAATAAAGAAGATTGAGAATGTTAAGCGAGTGGATTCACGGGGGCTGCTTTGTTGGAGAGCAATGGCAGGATGCATTCGAACCAAACAGGGGTTGCAAATCAAATGATTTTTCATCATCATCATCATATAAAAAAGCACTAAAATGTTGGTCTTCATTGACTTTTTTTATCAACTTGTCAGCTTTTTTTTTTTTTTTTTTTTTTTTTTTTCTTAACAAAAAAAAAAAAAGATGAACTCAATTGAAGACATATAGTTGATATTAGTGAGCTTCTCTATTACGCATCAATTAAAAGAAGGAAAAGAAAAGGAAAAATAAGAGATGCCAATGTACCACATGCTCTCTCATAAAGAGAATCTCGAGCCTAAGAGATAGTGCCCTTTGCATAGTATGTAGAGGGAGAGGGGTTGTGAGTGTTACATCAACCAGTTTGATTAAAGAGAACAGAATGGTTATATTAAAAAGGGTATGTATAGAAAGGAGGTCATGTCGTTGGGAAGAAGGGTTTGGCAGGAACCATATCCAAATGCATGCATGGTTTGGAGAGGGAGTAGGGGAGGCAAAACGAACGTTAAAAAGGTTGACGGGTTGGGTGCATGGAATGGCTTGATATTCACGGAGAATGTGTACCTTGATTATTCTAGGTTGAAGACAACAAAAAAAAAAAAAAAAAAAAGAAATATCCACACACAGAAGGAAGGGAATTGCTTCGGGTGTAGAAATGAGGTCGAATGCAAAATGCAATGTGGAATGAAGGAAGAGGAACAAGTGATAGAAAAATAAAAGAAAAAAAGAAAAGGAAAAGAAAGAGAAAAAGAGAAGAGAAAGTTAATAAATAATGAAATATAACAAACAATTAATAAAATGTGAGCAAAGAGAAGAGTCAGTGTGTGAGTGTACTTGAAAGAGTGAGAATCAAACATTCAACCACAAGAAAAAACCACGCCATCGGACAAATTCAGACCTTGGTTGGATAGCTACTCCTGGATTGCGGGTGGCGGCAGTCAATCAAATATGTTATCTGCACATGAATCTTGTTCAGCAAAGTATGCGTATAAACATGCCTTTAATGCACTGCAAGGTATCATCCTTTGCTTCAGTACGTTAATTACCTCAGGGCTGGATTGCATTTGCCTTGTTTGTGTCACACATCCGCTCCCAACCCTGGGATGGCTACTCACAATATGGACAAATCAAACAATCAAACAAGAACATTGTTTGTCCGCCCCTGTCCCATCAGTCTGGCTTTGCGAATATAAAACATGGGCAGTTGACGCGAGAAAGAAAGCTGGGACCAATTTTTTTTTTTTTTTTTTTTTTTTTTTTTTTTTCAAATACCGCTTGTCGTTCCCGACAATGGAAAGATGTAGATGGGCTGATATGCCATGTGGATAAACTAAATGAAGATTAGCTACTTGTAGAGTTCCTCTCCTATCTTTACCAACGCTACCCACTTCAAACTCGCCACCTGCAGCGGTCAGGTCTGTTGATGGAAGAGAAGGATGGCCTTTTTTTTTTTTTTGGACAGGGTACGACCTGATCAGATTTCCCGCTCAATCTGTTGACCAGGGGCAGTGCTGACTATGGTGGAGCTATTAATAAACGCAGGCATGCATAAAAGGTAAATTGTAAAACACATGCATTGATTGATGAAGAGATGTCTCCACCTTTTTTTTTTTTTTTTTTTTTTTAAAGCAAAAAAGCTTTTTGAGTTTGAGGGTTCTTCTCTCTCTCTCCTCACTCAATGGTGTATGATAACAGAATCATGTCATGGCAATTGGATAGTTAGATTTAAAATAAAATAAACAAAATATAAAAATGCGTGATCTTTGAATGTCATGAAGAAATGACATGCTACCGACGCGTGAAATGGATGGAAAAGAAAGAAGGATCAAATCATTTCAGCTGACTTTTCACAGTAAACCATAAAGATAAATGGAGTCCAGTACGCGTGGATGTTTTTCAAGATCCAAAGGCTGTAGAGAACAATACCGAGTTGTATTCTGAACGCATTCTTTGGGTAAAGAGCCTTGATTGGCCTGATTGGGTAAATTGCTGTACCCTTCATTAAATGGGACCGAAAAAAAAATTCTTTAAATCCTTGTCATTGCGATTACATGGGACAGAGATCAAGCCAATTGGGAGGTTTCCCTTCTTTTTCTTTGCTTTTTGAAAATGTCAAAGGCTATGATCTGAAAGATCGAGCAGACTACAGACATCACATCTGGCACTCTGAGATTACGAAAAGAAACTGGGTACATGTCCTGAATAAGTAGAGATCTGATATTAATTTGGAAAAGAGTCTTTAGCTTTCTATTCTTTTTCATTTCAATGATCGGATGCGTGGTGTTCTCAACCACACAATGGTTGATTTAGTAACGCAAGGCATCTTGTTGGCAGTAAAAGCAAAGTCAAAGAGAGAGAGATAAACGACTTTAGGTCTTGTTTAGTGTTTGTGCATGTCTGTTTGTGTGCATACATCTGTAGTCATGATTTGAGACACAACATCGCTCTCTTGACACTTTTTTCTAACTTTTTTTTTTTTTCTTTTCTTTTCTGTATTTTTTTTTTTTTTTTTTTTTTTTCCACTTAAAACACAACACAATACACGCCCACACGCTTTCAGTCAAATCCTTTGAAAGAACTATTTCACTCACGTTTTTCTTTCACTTCATCATCACTTCCACTCAAACAATACACACTCATTCATTTATTCTTGATTCACATACATATACATACATTTATTCATAACCTCCCTCAATACACGTCATAACTCCAGACATGGCCTCAGAAACGGAAAACTCGTGGAAGTTTGCTCAATGCTTCGGTGACAAGGGCGAAGTTGATGACATTACTGAAGGCAAGTTTTTTTTTTTAAAAAAAATGCTTGTTTGATCCATCCTTCATCCTACTTCTTATTTCTCTGCTTAGCTGGTTGCTTTGTGTTCATGGATTTTGCGCGTCGATCTACTTTTTTTTTTTTTTTTTTTTCTTCATGAACACCTCCATACAAACATTACGCGCGAACGCAACTCTAGTGATATAGTTTGAGCTCTCTTTCCTTTTTCTTCTCCCGAGCTCTTGCAGCACGACCACTACTGCTTCGTTGTTTTTTTTTTTTTTTTTTTTTTTTTAAGATGTTATTATTTGTAAAAACAATACATATGGGCTTGAAGAGGGTTATTGGGCAGAACTTGGGGTCTTTTGAACGAGCACTGGACTAGATTACAGGACAAACGATGAATAAGAATATCCCAGCACAATTCAGGCTCTGGCTCATTCCTACAACAATTGATCAGGATGTCTTTCTACAGGACAAGAGGGGCATTAACAGTGGAATGACAGATACACTTACACTATTCCTTTTTTCTGAACTGTAAATGACTGTCAACAACAATGGACACTTGCAAGATCAATAAATAATATACAGGAAACCAAAAAAGAAAACAAAAAAAAAAAAAAAAAAAGACGTCATACTTTTGTGCGGACACAAGGTTGTCTAGGAGGCAGTGACAACAATAACAATAACAAACTTGAAGTTGGGGCGACCATGGAGGCAACAGTAATATAATTACCCAGGGAAGCATGCTCCGTTATACCCTACTTTTTTTTTTCTTTTTTTTTTTTTTTTTTTGAGAGTTTCTGCTGTCGAAAGACATTAATCATTTCAAGTCGTGTTTGCCTTGGTTGTGGAGCGCCTATGAAAGCATGTTTCCCAGCATTTGACTAACCACTGGAACAACACGCGTCCGATTAACTGATGCTATTCAGCCGTACGGATATTAACGACGATCTTTTTTGTTACATAATCTTGTCTAGCTGATATTATCTCAACTGTCGAGTTTGACCATACGGGCGACTATCTGGCCACAGGCGACAAAGGCGGCCGAGTTGTGCTTTTTGAACGAAATGAAGGCGTAGGTCCACAATTTTTTTTCTATTTAGCTCCTTGAAGGAGATTACTTTTGATTGTCACATCGTTCTCGATCAAAACGACTTGTGACATTAACCATACCCATTCTTTCGTCTCCTAATGCGAACCAATTCATGTTTGCAGAAAAAAGGGTGCGAGTACAAATTCCACACCGAGTTTCAATCACACGAGCCTGAGTTTGACTACCTCAAGAGTTTAGAAATCGAGGAGAAAATCAACAAAATCAAGTGGTGCAAGCGTCAGAACTCGGCACACTTTTTACTCTCTACTAATGGTAAGGATAAAAAACGGGGGGGGGGGGGGGGGAGATTTTAGAGGAATCATATCAGAATAAACACCAATTATCCATGTTCTTGCTCAATTGGAGTACTAATCTATTATGTACCCTGTCATTTGGAATCCTGGAATCATAGACAAGACTGTTAAGCTCTGGAAAGTATTTGAAAAGTCTATTAAGGTTGTGTCCGAAAACAACCATAGTGATGGTCAACATGTACATGCTCCGAGTGCCCCACTCCGATTACCGAAGCTCACGCATCATGACACAATTGTCGCAGCAGTACCCAGAAAGGTCTATGCAAATGCCCATGCCTACCATATCAACTCAATCTCCATTAACTCGGACGGAGAGACATATATTTCAGCAGATGACTTGCGCATTAACCTTTGGAACCTCAACATTAGCGATCAAAGCTTCAGTAAGTGGTGCTTCTATGGATCTTTTTTTTTTTTTATTTCTTTTATTTTTTTAAGTCTAAAAAGTTGAAAGGAATGTGTAATCTGAATCTTGTACTGTACGGAAATAGATATCGTGGATATCAAGCCTGTAAACATGGAGGAGCTGACTGAAGTCATTACCGCTGCCGAATTCCATCCTGTCCACTGCAATTTGTTCATGTACAGCAGCAGCAAAGGAACCATCAAACTGAGTGACATGAGAGAATCAGCTCTTTGCGATCAACACGCAAAATGTAAGCCAACTATCCGCTCTATCGGTTCGTTTCACTTCATCCACGTGGCAGTTCATGCTAAATTTGTTTATATCACCTCTATTCCGTTGAATTAGTGTTTGAAGAAGAAGAGGATCCTTCCAATAAGTCATTCTTCTCGGAAATTATTTCATCCATCTCGGATGTCAAGTTCAGTAAAGATGGACGCTATATTCTGTCACGCGATTATCTGACACTTAAGGTTTGGGACATCAATATGGAGAATCGGCCAGTGCAGACTATCAATATCCATGACCATCTGCGCAACAAGCTCTGCGATCTATATGAGAACGATTGCATCTTTGATAAATTTGAATGTACATTCAGTGGAGATGGAAGGTACTTTTTTTTTTTATTTTTTATTTTTTTATTTTTTTTTTTTACTTTTTATATTTTTGTATCGTCGCTCTTCCATCTTTCTAGTAATATATTATGGCTGGATATTTTTTGACAAGCTTTTTGCCAAACTCTCTCATTCTTCTTTAGTAACGTCTTGACGGGATCATACAATAACAATTTCTATATCTACGACCGCAATGGTAAGAATGATGTAACGCTGCAAGCAGACAAGAGCGCATTCAAGGCCAAGCGTGTCGGCTCTGCCAAAAATAAGATGATGCCAAGGACAAAGAATGGTAAGAAGGATGATATCAATGTGGAGTCCATCGACTTTACAAAGAAAATTCTTCATGCTTCTTGGCATCCAAACGAGAACTCAATCGCAATTGCAGCCACGAACAACCTGTTCATCTTTACGTACGTATTCTCCTTTGGAATTTAACTGACATCTCCATATGGATACATTGCTATTTTAAGAAAATGTCACTAACCTGGTCTAATTGCTACGTTCTTTTTCTCCACTATTACCCCCGTTCTGCGTCCTTAAACAGCGAGTAAGTTAAAAAGAAGAACGGTTTATCTTAGTTGCACATGTAAAACCGATGTTTCCTCAGATTCATACTAATCACATATTTTCTTCCATCTGACCAGGCTGTAAATTTATAGATCACAAATATTTTGTACAGAAAAAAAGAAAGAAAAAAGAGAAAAAAAGACCAACCAGAATAAAAATCCTCCAATTGAGACCTCTTTTCCTGCGCAAATCGAGCAATATATTGAAAGTCCTCCGGTACGGGTACGGGTCATACTCTGCACAATCATCAAATTGGGATGGTTGGGTATATATCTTGCGCTTGCTTGGTTCCCAGGTACAAAAACCAATGATTTGTTATCCGACTTTGGTATATATGTCACGTGGATTAAGGTTTAGTATAGAAATAAAATTTTCCGCCAGCTCCACCGAAACAACTTTTTTTGTGATGTCTGGCACTACACATGCTTCCATTAGCATGGTTCATCCAGAGTTAGAGAGTGAAGAACATCTTCGGGGTATGATGCAGGGCAGCTATGGATCCTATGAGCAGGATTAGTTGATGCTAGCAAGTAGTTCTTTGTTTTCCCTGAACTTACATATCCATCACTGCGATCTTCTTTTAGCGTCATTGAAACAGGCCATACTCGAAAGGCACCATGAAGAGATTTGTGACATTTTATTTGCCCCGGAAATAAACAAGCATTACTCTGTTGTTCTAGAGTAAGTCATATGATTTGGTTCGTTGGAATAAAATAAAATACGAAACGAACGGTTACTAAGATGAAGCTGTTCTATTGTACCATTGGAATCAAATAGCATTTCAGACTTAGTGGAGCATGGTGCAGATTCACAAATTTGGATAGAATTGCTACATTCGCCTCACATGGTCCTTCCGATATTGGACTCTATTCTTCAAGAGGTGCAGCAAGAACTCATCGCTATGAACCAAGATACTACCAATATGCGATACGGCAATGATGGTGAAGGAAGGAGAAGAATGCCGATGTACTTGAAGCCAAAATGCTCTGCAAGAGTCATGGTGGTGCCCGGAGATGAATACAGAAGAGCAACAATTCCAAATTCTACAGACATTGGAAAATTCCTTTCAATATCTGCAACAGTAACTAGGTGTGTATTTTGTATGTGCAGGTGAAGGCCGCCACAGCATCCACTATATGCTTCTACTATTATTACTTATATTTTCTTTTTCTTTTTTGCTGTTGTTGAAACCGCATGCCAATAGAACTTCAGATCCCAGAATGCTAGAAAACTCAAAGAAATATTTATGTGGGACTTGCAAACAAGAATTTGCAGTGCTGGCTGATGTGGAACAATATAATCAAGTTCCGCAGCCTACAAAGTGTTTAGCGACGAACAATGTGCGGCCATGTCAAGGTCGCAGATTCCAGCTTATTGAGAGACCACCAGGTACCTTTTTTTTTAAAAGAAAAAAAAAAAAAAAAAAAAAAAAAAAAAAGCTTGTATCTGATAAATATTGCTTATTTTACTTATTTTTTAAGGTAAAACGCCAGAAGACTGCCGAGACTACCAAGAGATCAAGATCCAAGAACAAACCAATAAGCTGACTATGGGCACCATTCCGAGATCTTTAGCAGTAATTCTTCATGATGACCTTGTTGACTATGCGAAATCAGGGGATGATGTGACAATCACGTAAGTAAAAAAGCCATTCTTTACTCGACAGAATACCATACTCCTATTTCTTTGTCCTCTTAATGCTTTTATCATATCTCCCTCAGAGGTACTGTTATTAGACGATGGAAACCTCCAACATATCGAGAGCGTTGCGATATAGAGTTGGCGCTACTTGCGAACCATGTGTTTATTCATAACGAACAACGTATTGGCGTCGGGATCACGGAAGAACAACGCATTGAATTCGAGCAATTTTGGGATCGAGCTCGATCTTCAGAAGTTGACAGATCGTTTACAGCACGTAATACCATTCTAAGTCAGATCTGTCCTAAAATGTATGGACTTTATGTAGTGAAACTGGCTGTTATGTTGATATTGACGGGTGGAGTGCAGAAAATTGACAAATCTGGCCTTAAAGTACGGGGTGAGCCTCACTTGTTGCTCGTGGGTGATCCAGGGACAGGAAAATCTCAGTTTTTGAAGTACGCCGCCGAGTTAAGCCCACGCTCAGTACTTACAACAGGCATTGGAAGCAGTAGCGCAGGACTGACGGTCACGGCACTTAAGGATGGAAATGAATGGCAGCTAGAAGCTGGTGCACTGGTTTTAGCAGACCGAGGACTGTGTTGTATTGATGAGTTTGGAGGGATGCGGGAGCATGACAAGACAGCGATTCATGAAGCAATGGAACAGCAATCCATATCGATCGCAAAAGCTGGGATTGTTTGCAAACTAAACACCCGATGCTCTGTGATTGCAGCTACGAATCCAAAGGGTAAATATGACCCAGAGCAGTCTGTATCAATCAATATTGCACTAGCCAGTCCACTTTTGAGTCGATTTGATATCGTTTTGGTACTAGTGGACACAGACGACAGTCATTGGGATCAAAAGATTTCGTCCTATATTTTGGATACACGGATGAGAATGGATGGTATGAACCCCAAACAACCACTTTCGAGAAAGGAAGTTGTTCGAAGGCGAAAGAGACTGAGGAGATATGCGATGCAGCGCGAAGCAGAAGCGAACGGTGAAAGGCCAATGCCAATTAATGATGAGAGCGATGAGCAAGATGCTAATGATGAAGATGAAGAGGAAAAGCTGGAAGATCAAGTCAAGGAAGAACCATGGTCGCTCGAGAAGCTCAAGGCATATCTCATCTGGATAAAATCGACTTTTGAGCCCAAGCTTACACCGCCTGCTGAACAGGTTTTGATCGCATACTACCAGCTACAGCGGAAAGCAGATATTAGGAATGCCGCCAGAACAACTCTTCGTCTGCTGGAGTCACTGATCCGACTAAGCCAGGCACATGCGCGGCTTATGGCAAGAAATTATGTCACAGTCCAGGATGCGGTTGCGATCGTATCATTAATCGAAATCACAGCACAGGGTGGCGCTGCCATGCTCGGTAATATTAACCCACTTCATGCAAGTTTCCCAAAAAATGCTGAGGAAGAATATCGACAGCAGGAACAAATCATGCTGCATCGTCTAGGATTGTTACATTTAGCCTCGCAGCAAGCATCCTCTAATACAAGTAGACGATCAACAGATACAGAAGACGAAATACCAACCAACCCCAATATACCTCCTCTACTGCGGCGCCACCAATTACCTTCAAAGCGGAAACACGCTTCCTCTCGGAGAGAACTTGATGAAGATATAGTCCTTGATGACCAAGCTGAGGAGGATATGTTAATGCGACATCGTAATCAAGACCACGAGGGAGAGGAACGGCTAAATAGTACTATGGTAAAAGAAGAAGAGGATGATGAAGAAGAATTGATTAATAGACGCTCTATTCGACGTCGGATTGCTAAAGAGCGGACATTGCATAATGCTAATGATAACAATGATCGGAAAGAAAGGACACTTCGTGAACGGAAGAAAAGATATTCGAAACAAGTAGATAATGAAGAGGAGGATGAGGATGAGGATGAGGACGAACCAGAAGAAGAAGGAAGATTTCCTTATGGCCGGAAGTTTACTCAAGGATCCTTAGAAATGTAGAGCAATCATTTTTTTTTTTTTTTTTTGAATCCCGTGACGACCGATCATTATCTCGTTTTATTTTTTTACTATAAAAAAGATATCTCTCATCTCTTTCATCACAACATCCTCTCAATTACGTTACATATTATTTGCCTCTCTCTTTCTACAATTTCTATACCATGACAATCAAATACCGTGCACATCCAATTCAACCATGTAATTCTATGTACCGGTCCTGCAACCCTAAAAATATGCAAAAGCAATATCGATATCAACCTCAACAGTCTTACATTTTTCGCCTGGCTCGAAAACAGCCATCGTCGTACCCTTCGGCTCCACCATTTCCAAGGTCGACGCCGGAGCAACAAGAACTGCAGCGGCTTCGAGAACGGGAAGAGAAATTGCTACAGGAGGCGTTACCACTACGAAATCGAGCACGACAATTACAAGAGCAACGTAAACGAGCGGATAGGGTATTAGAGCTCCTGGATCGGGAAGAACAGCGGGTCCGTGCTATTACAGATCGGGTCTGCCAAGAACAGGATGCCATTGAACGAGATGTTGAACGAATTATGCCAAAGCTGTTGAAACGGCAGCAAGAACAAAGTCGAAAGATATATTGGGGTATTCAAATGAAATTAAAAAGTGAAAGTGAACCTGAAAATGATATTAAAATTGAGAAATAGAAACAAGGACCTTGCTAAATAAAAAGAAATAAGAAAACGATAATACATGAAAACAGACAAGACGGAAAGCAAAGCACCTTGAATGCATCTCTTGACGCGTGTCGGAGATTATTTATTTTAGTCAATACATCCTTGACAGCTTCATTTCAAAAAATGAACCAGATTCTCTTCGAAGATGATGTTCGAAGCAATGCAGCTTAGTGGTAGCGCTCCTTCCTCACTTTTCCTCACTTTTCCTCTTTTTTTTTTTTTTTTAAAAAAAAAAAAAAAAAAAAAAAAAAAAAAAAAAAGTGGAATTGCATTCGGACAGGCATTGGCGACGGTTTATTTTTAACACGGTTGGACCACCTGTTTTTCATACTACCTGTTTTACATTTTTCGACTCTTTTCACATCACAATCCTTATCAATCGCCTGTCGTAATAATGAATTGGAAAATGCAGCCCCTAATGTGTGTAACGTCAGCTTCAAATTAGGAGATTGTTCTCACTGCGCCAATAGTTTTGGATAAAGCATTGTGGTACAAAGAGCCGATCATTTGGAACATGGGAGGTTGCATGGGACAAGTTTTCATCGGGTCATTATGCATTTTTTTTTTAGAGGACGATATAGTAAAAACATCAATATGACTCCCTTCCATTGAAAGAGATCATTTTACGAACAATCAATCTCCTTGGAAATCAAGATTAGATACACTTCTCTCCATTCCGCTTTCTCTGCATTGTAGTATTACAACAGTTTATGGAAGCATCAATGGCATTTATTTGCACGTTCATCCGGTAGGTTATACCGGATTGCGAAGTAAACAAACATTGCTTTGTATCAAGCATCCAACATCCTGATCTAGAACTCGCAATAGACAGGTATATGTATAATATATGTTTTGGATGTATTTATATGAACGTATAAACTCAGAAGGTGTCAAATACACCAACTGCTGCTGCTTTACGGAACTGATGCCTATTCTTGTCCTCAATTACGAAAATAGTCTAGTGATACGTTCGAGTTCCAGGCCCAAAGATCCTATATCTGGCTCCACTGCTCTAGGATATAGTCGCACTGTTCGTGTAGGCTGTCATTTCATGACACGTAAACCTAAATCCTATTGGTGAAATAATGCTTCGCCATATACAACTTTGCATACTTTTCAGCTGTCCACTGCTTTGAAAGACATACCCCCTGCGAAGCATCAGGGATACTGCTGTATTTCCATAGCTGTGCATGACACGATCATATGGCCTTTGAGCCTGTTTTCGAGGTTTGTTGGGCTTATTATGATCTTTACATCACATTTGTGTAAGGTCCTTAAGCGAATTCGTCGTCATATTTCGCTTAGCAAAGCCTCGCTTAAGTCAAGGAATAAGTCAGATGTGTTTAAACCCTTTGGGCTATATATGCTTCACCAGTGAAATGTCCTAGAATGAATCTTCCAAGAAAGCTTTGAGTTGAATTTTGGATTAAAACAATTATTAAGAGTCCCTCATTGCGGTCAGTACTCGAATATATCTACCAAGACCATCCGTGCTGTCGAACAAAGTCTGGGGAATCTCAAGTCAAGGTAATTTTAAACTATGAAAGCTGCGGTTAGCTTATATTTGAGATGAGGGCTGAAGTAATTTATACAAGGTCATGACACAGTATCGGGCCTAATCAAATGTGAGGAAACAACAGCAAATTCAGCGACATCTTCCTCTGGTTTACAAGAAACAATGGGGTTTTGCAGCTTACGGTATTCAATCAGATTTCATACGCAAGCTGCAAAAAGGAACCAAAGCGAAAGCGTCTGTTTTTAAAATAACATCATTCTAAAGGTGATAAAGAACCGCGCTCGACCCCAATACAGGACCTATAAACAAATTGTTGGATTTCATTTCGAGCCCTAGGTAGATAATGGTGTCAAGAACATGAAGAGGTCTGTAGAGTTTTTCTTGTAATGAAATAAGTACGAACAAAAATGCACTAACGGTTCCTCTGGTGAACTGGATCACTTCCTCAGTATTCATTCATATTGGGGACAAGGTACGGTTGGCACTTCTTAATCCAAGGCATAGTTAACTTTACGACGCGTACTGAACGATTCAATCTATGTGGCTCTAAATTGTAAAGGTTTTCCCATCATGAAGTTCTCTACAACCTAGCCAGAAGTGACAGAGATCACAGCAAAGTGTCGGTATAAAGGCAGATGCAAGGAATCATTAAATCAGCATAGTATTCAGTTCTCAATCTTTTGCATATGATACAATCAGGCAAAAACACCAAGGTAGGTTCGCTAACAACAAAGGCATTGCAAATCTCATCATCGCCATCGGTCTAATACAGGAACTAGAACTGGATGAAAAGATTTATAGCCACAATGGTTGGGAAGCGCAAAGGCGAGACGTGACGTGAGTTGATGTAGTACACTCTAGAAGCAACGGATAGATCTATCAGAAGAGTGGAAGTAGTACAGCGACAGGATATGAATCATTCAGCTGAAACCATACGCATCATTAATCACAATTCCGAAATTGTGAACGCCAACATTTTTCGAAGCTTGGCGATCGCCAGAATACGGAAATGACTTCAAAGCTCCTTTGTTTTCCATAAACATGGTATCAGAATCTCCTGAGGATGGGAAAGAGGACAACAGCATGATGGAGGACGTAGCTTTCCATAAACTTTTATGGCCAAAAAGCATATTATTCTGGAATGAGCAACGAACAAAATATATATATATATATATAATTCTTAGATGCTCTAGCATTCTTTCTTTATTTTGAGCAATATGCAAGCAACTAACAAAAAGAATAAAGACCTGTTGCTGAAACGCCACCAGTAGTCGAATCAAACACAGGTGGGCTGTCGTGTCACTAACAAGTGTGGCTGTTTGGAGGCTGGGTGAAGAAAAGGCAGCTACTCCACAGCCGTATTACAAGCTTGGGGTGTTTGTAGAAATTTTTGGTGATAGTCTAGAGTGGGGGATGTTAGAACCTAGATGCTCACAGTTCAAGAAAAGGAGCAATTGATTGGCTGCGCGAGTGCATTTGCTCTCTAGGAAAGTTGTGTCGCTTTGCGTGCAATTTGCATATAAATTGTTTTCTACTGACATTTCATAAATCAACAAACACACTTAACAGGCCACAATCGGGTAACACCATAGGAATACAAGAGTGAGGAATTCATGGTTTGAGCATGTTCCCTCGGCTGTTGCATGGTCTATATAAACTTGAGGAACTTGACATTTTTGGCAAACAATTTTTGCCAAAAAAAAAAAAAAAAAAAAAAAAAAAAAGAAGGCCCTTTTACTTTGATAAACACTATTTTTATTTTTTACATCACCACCTTCAGAAAAAGAGTTACATTGACCATTGGAAACTTCCCATTCTCCTTTTCTTTTCTTTTCTTTTTTTTTGTATTCAAAAAAAAAAAAAAAAAAAAAAAAAAACACTTCACCATCTCATAAACATCGTCGCCATCTCGATTCCAACGATTCAGTCATCCTGTCATTAATTTGGTCTGAAGGTACCTATTGCACGTTCTACACTAACCTTCTGCAGATAGGACCAATGACGCCAATTGTTCACTAACCTTGTGCCCTTGTCCTTCCTATAAATACATCAGACTGTGCTGCTGTATCTTGAGAGATCGGTGGGAAACCTGCCTAGTTTCTAGTATCAGGCTGTGCAGTTCTCTCCTAATTCTTCAGATTTCTGAAAACAATGATGGTAATGGGGCATGTACAACCGCTAAGGTCTTCGTTTCATAGCAAGACCGACCCTTTTCATGGGCATTCACATCTCTCTCACCAAGAGCAATACGTTGAAAGAACTCAGGGGAAAATGATACGGGGAGATTTATTGGCTGATGCGCACAGCCACCAGACCACTCATTCAGAAAATGATGGTGAAGACGATGTCAACTTTCACGATTACATTCACTCGAAAAATGACGATGATAAGGAGGCGGATAACACTCACTTTGTATCTCTACCCTTACCTCAAAATATGTCCACAAACGATGTGACAGATATGGACAGTTCACGAGATAATCACCTCAATAGTACTACCAATATTACTACAAATGAGAGTCAACAGATTCCTTCCTCCAGTGATACAGATACCCATATGTGCTCTGTAAATATTGATCACCTTTATGAATCAACATCATATCAATTCCCTCCATATGATCTCGTGCCTCCTCCAACTCATGATTTATTTCGTACTCTGATGGAAGAGCTTCAGACTCAGGCTGCTATTCAACGAGATCAGTTTATGGCGCCCTCGACAAGACTCGATTCCTCTGAAAGCAATACAGATAGCACTCACCATGGCCACCATGTGAGATCCGTGCCGCGATTCATGATGGAGCCCCTAGACTTTCTCAGTTCTACATATGAGTCCTGCTTAGATCCAGATTTGAATCACACCAATGAATCAACAATGTCATCAACACAGACTCAGCATTCATATCAAGAGTCACCTCAACCTACTGAACTGAACCAGGCTACTTCGGACATGGTTTCTCTATCAACACCACATTCATCAGGTGCAGGCACAAATATGAGCGATGCCGTCAAAGAGCTCGACACTGTAAATCCTAAAAAGCGACCATTATCAGATGAGCCTCACAAATTCGAGACAGACGATGGCTCAAGTCCACCTCACCCGATATCTACAAGTCATGAACACTTGTCTCCACCAACACAGGATTTATTTCGTATGCTTATGGAAGAGCTTGAGACTCAAGCAGCGATCCAGCGAGATCATGATTTAGCATCTTCGAACAAATCTGATATTAGTGGGAATACAATGAACACGTCTGAGTTCTCTTTCCATAACAATCTTCATAATCATCACTATCATCACAATCGATTGCCCCGTTTTGTCATGGATCCTTTTGATGTCTTTATCGATTCAACTCAGACTTCCGAGAACCAACCATCTGTAACATCAGCACCCTCTAATCCAGAGGAGGCTCAGGAGACAACTTCCTCAATCTTGCCTTCACATGATCTCTCGCCGCCCACGCAGGATTTATTCCGTACGCTCATGGAGGAGCTTGAGACCCAGGCAGCATTTCAACGTGATCAGTACATGGCAGAGACTACTGGTATACCAGCTAGAGTGGATCCTGAGGAGTATGTGTTTAATGGACAGCACCTTAGACCATTACCCCGCTTCATGATGGAGCCACTAGATTTCTTGAACAACGATTTTGATTCCTGTCTGGATCCCCATGCGACAAATGAAAGTGGATCCAATAGTGCGTACCCATTCAGCTCAGCACAGGCTGCTACCACGGACGTCACTCTGACGGAGGTACCCAATGATACTAATAGATCAGTTGCCAAGCCTTCACGTCTCTTACCAGCGAGATCTCCCCGCCCAAGGAAACACAAGGCATATAAGGCTATTCTCCCACAGCAATCATCGTCTCCGACGCATGAGCACGGCGCAAGCCAGAATGAAGCTAGTGAACCAAGGACGGAGCAAACAGCGAGCTCGGCAAAGAGGCGCAAACTCAATAATACGAGCTCACCATCCTTGGCCCCCTCTTCGCCAGCATCCACACAGCTGGCTTCTGATCCCACAGTCTCATCTCCCGAGCCAGAAGCAAAGAGTAATCAGGAGTCACAGCCTCCAGCGGATGTTACATCAGATTTTTCTTCATCACCTTTTACCGATACGTCAGAAGGCCACAGCCCTGATGAGTCCGTTGAAGGCGCAAACATATCAGCTAAGCGGCCATGGACGTCCAAGGATGAAGAACTATTGCTAAAATTGTTTGCAATGCAAGTACCTATTAAGGAAATTGCACAAACCCTGAAACGCACTGTCCATTCTGTGCGCTCCCGTCGACAAATTTTGACCGACCCTGGGTTTGTAAGAGGAAAGGGTCATGGTGTTTCCAGGCGCTGCAAGCAGGATCCAGCAACGACGACTAAACTGCCAACCTATGCACAAATGGCATTCCTTTCCTTGGCATGGCTGCCGGAGTTGGAGGGGACATTGAACGACGTTGCGGCCATGGTAGAGAAGCTATTCAGCCGTCATTTGAACAGAATTCCACGTACTGGACACAAAAATCTTCAGATTTGGAGGGCGCAGATTTCGGATGCACTAGCTCATGAAAAGGGCCAGCCTAGGCCTCGCTTCGAGAGTTTTGGTTTAAAGCGTGGCAGGCAATGGGTCTACCGCTTGACTGATTTTGGTAAACACATTGTGGATGCAATGGGCGGAGTTGAGGCTGTGTGTCAAGACCTACTGAAGAGCAATGAGATGGAGCTTGCGGCCTCAATAGCTGAGAACACAACCGGAGGGCCTAACGGAACCAGCCAAGATGCAAATGGTTTATCCAAGAGCGTTGGATCTGGCGCTGATGCTGGGATCGGGCAAGGCCAGGGATATGGATACAGCTACCGCCCTCCAGATGCGCGACAAAAGTCTCGAAAACGAACTAGACCCCCAAGATTGTCTGCTGCGCGGAGAAAACAGCTAGAGGAATTAGCGAAGCAAGAGCCACGCCCGAAGGGTTCTGTAAGTGCGATTGCCAGAGCCATGGAGGCCATGGCTGCGGGGTTGGCCAAGGTAGTGGCACAGGAGGAAGAGAAGGATAGGATGATTGTAAAGAAAGCATCATAAGGCGAGACGCGAATGATGGGCGTAGCGCGTCAAGCAGGCGGTCTCCTTAATTAGGAGCTTCATCTTGTACCATAGCACCAACAAGTATAGTAGACTAGAGCTACCCTGTACATGTAAATAGTCGTAACGAAGATACCAATCTCTAGATCTTAATGACCATCATTCAAATCTCACTCTTGACAGCTTTATCACATGTCATGTTTCACAACGTTTTTTTTTCTCCTTTTAAGCAAACATCTGTCGTGTTGCCACGTTGTGGGAAGACGTTTGTTTTCAGGGACCTAGACAAAGGCTTCAAATTATTATCCTTCATTCTCTTCTTCATTCTCATTCATTCATTTATTCATTCATTTACCTTCTGTACTTTTCCTTCCTTACCTGTATTCACTTTTCCTCACTCAATATTTTGTCAAAATGTTTTTTCCACAGGGTTTGTTTAAAATGTCTATGCCCCATTCTTCAAGGTTAAACCTGTATTTTCATCCTTCTGTATTGCCATCATCATCATACAGGATTATCATTGTATTCGTTACATTCGCCCTTTACTTCCTCATCAAAATCACCCCCAATCATTCACCCCGATCATCTGCAGTACAAGGCTCATGGACAAAAGCTCACTCTGTCTTAGAAAGCGGAAAAGCTGAGGCAGTCGTGACTATACCACCACTGTCGGAGTCATCTGTCCGTCCTGCCTTTGGCACGCCTTCAAGAGAGCCACACTGGTCCTCATCCTCGTCTTCATCACGATCATCTTCAAAACACTATCAATATCATCGTCGTCCACGGATATTCCATCGCTCACCGATCGATCAGTTGTATGAAGATCTAAACGCATATACAAGTGAACAGGATTACTACCGCGACATTTCATCATCCAACTACCATGTAGTAGGATGGGATTGCGCAGGTTATTACTGTGCTGAGACTGATACATGTGTAGACAAGCCCATTAGCTGTCCATGCCCATCAGAACTGGATACAAAATGTGTTCATGGGGATTGGTATGTTTGCTACCGAGGAAATCGTCGATCATGTTGAGGTTCTATTTATCCTAGGCTTTGACACAAATAAAATATAACCAACGATCTTGGGTTGTCTGTTTGTTTTATTTGCTTTGTTTGTTTGTTTGTTTGTTTGTGAATTGGCTTTACTGGGTTGAGAAACTACACTTTGTCGTTATCCTCGCACAAGAGCTTTACGACGCGTTGCAGTGTGTCCTCAATCTCTTTTAATTGTCTTATCATATTAGTCGACCCCTGTCTGGTCTCTGCTTGCATCTTGTCGAGCGTATTTTCGATGATGTTGAGTCTTTGTTCGATGATCTCTTTCTGTTCCTCAAAGGAAAGTTTCTCTGTTGGATCAGGCTGGTCGGTCATGTTTGGAAGAAGGTCGCAAATAAAGAAGGAAAAAAAAAAAAAAAAAAAAAAAAAAGATCCCTCGCTTTTACTCTTCTTTTTACAAAAGCGTGATAGTTTTATCATCAAAGGACGAGAGTTGGGATGGTGGATTTCGAAAAGAGTGGTATACATGTGGATATTTTATCAGTTATCACGAGACAAAAAAAAAGAGAACAACTTCTAGGGGTTGCCATTCATTGCTTTCGCTTTTATGTCTTCATTTCCTCTTAAAATAGTCTACAAGGACGAATCATTGGGAGGGAAATGTCTTTGCCACTCTGTACCCAATTTGCACTTGCAATGATACGTAGTGTTGCAAATATTTGAACTACGATAGATAAAAGTAACAAGTGCGTAGAAGGATATTGTTGTTTAATTTCCTATCGATACGTTGTAATGCTCGACTTGCTTGGTCCATCTGTTGTTTCATTTTAGCTTCTCTTTGCATTATCTGCTCAGCTTCACTGAATTTGTCCCTTGCGTTTTGAACTGCATCCTGGGCTTGAATACGGCACTTTAAAAGCTGGGTACCATTGCTGGGAATAGGGACCTTCGGTTTTTTGTAAGGACAGGAGGATGATGAATTGCTCATGGTCAAAGGAAAAGAACAAAAAAGAAAGGGATACTTTAGGACGGAAGGATAATAGGACTATGCTGTTGAACGTAGGAAGGAAAATGTACAAGTAGGGCCCGTTTTATGTGGAAAGCATAGAGCAGGTGAAAGCATAAATTTTATGACACTACATTTGCTGTTGATCCCGTATCCAACGTTGTCTGGAAGAGAGCAAGTCTTTTTCTGGCGATGTTTCATGGGTAGAGATATACCACCGTCGATATTCTGCTTAGAGGGGAGAGAAGCTGCATGTTGCTTATTGCCACAACCATTCGCCGTAGTGCCAATTATAAGCAAGCCAACTTCTATTGTCAGAGATCTGAACCCCAAGAGCCCAGACAATTGGGCGACTAGGGCATAGTGTAATATGACTGAAGGTCTGATTTCTCTTTATCATTTCCCAGTTATACATTCCCCATAGCCTCATAAAGATGAATGCACGGAACCTCGCAGGAGCCCTGAACATCTTGATTGTGTATGGTAGCTCAACCTGATAATGTGAATTTGAATGAAAGGAAGAGCATTAGATTAACTTGTCAAGTCACACAAGAACTCGTATGATTGTGCTCATTAATGAAGCTTAGGTCGCGTGGAACGCCTCTGGTTGTTGACCACATTGAATTTGATCTCGTTGAAATTTTTTATTAATTGCTTCGTTTTCACATTGAGAGCCGTGGCCCCAACCGCTCCGAGCCAAAAAAAAAAAAAAAAAAGCCTGGTCATTTAATATGAACCCTAGCTTAAATGTTTATGATTCGGGGCTGTTGATCAATTGTGTAGATTAAGATATGAGGACATGGGGTTGGTTTTAGAAATGTGTTGAAGAATCTATATTTTTGAGAAACAGGGATCTTCATAGATATAAACATTTAGAATATTTAGGGCAATGTTCTTCAGGTACAAAGCTGTGTCGTCTGCAGTTTAACTCATCTTCAGGACAAAGTTGGAATGGGCAACTGTGAGACGCCTCAGGGGCTGTCCACAGGAAAATTGAAATTGCGACAGCATTTGCCCGAAACCTTAGAGGTGTATCGTCCATACCGCGGGTGTCGTTGATTAGACTATGTGTAGATGAGCATAGAAATTTATCTTGTTATTGGACCATGCCCGATGATTTATTTACTCGGTTCCCGTGTCATTTACTGCCAAGGAAACAAGAAGACAGGAGAAAGCCATTTATACTTCAGGCAAGACATGTGTTGAACATGAAGAGGATCCTCAGTCTGCTGTCGTCTAAAAAACAACTCCGTTTTGTGTACAATTACGCTTTTCTTACCCCACTTAATTGAATCCTCGCCCTTCATTTTCTTGTTTTATTTTCTTTTTTTTTTACTTTTCTCTTTAATCTTTTGCCATTAGACATTCAATTGCAGAACACTTCTTTCGGTAGGTTTGCCATTCATCCATGGACATCAGATCGGCTTCCTTCATGTTCTTACATCACAAACCATCCTTTGTATCTTTTGGCGGAATAAAATTTTCCCTAATTTCTTTCCAGTCTCTTCTTGACCGTTGGCAACGCATGAATGACAAAAAATATCACACTTGCATCTTACATTTACGCATTATTTTTTTCCTGAACAGAGTCATGCCTTCAATATCCTTGAAATATCAAGCCCCCCTTCTTTGACATTCACATACTCATCTCTCATGCCAGTCATCATATCTTCCATTTGTACCTCTTCCGCTACTATTTTAAAAGAACCGCAGCGCACTTCTTGTTCACAGCCCTTTTTTTTTTTTTTTTTTTTTTTTTTTTTTTTTTAATTGCAATATTTCTGTTTTGGGATGAAAATCTGTCCCAGCTACCATAATCTGTTATAAGTTGCTGCTGCCAGCATCCCAATGATTATCATTTTTGACTCTGGTCTACTCTATAAGTGAATTGATTATATCTGGTCCATGCTTTGTCATTGGCCAACAGTTATTGCATATTCATTAAACTATTAATTCTCAAGAAACAATTGCGGTGGTGATTCGGGGGAGACACACCAGCTCAGGGAACAAATATGCAAATTGATAGAAATAAAGAGGCGGGACACAGACGGGTTGAATACAAAAAAAAAAAAAAAAAAAAAAAAAAAGCGGTGATGGCTATGGCTCTTTGTTATTGCTGAACGGGGGGTCATGGTCATGTTCAAGACAACAGGTACACAGACAGCCTAAACCATCGTCATCTGTGTCCTTTACTTCTCATGAACCAAAAAAAGAACAAGAGGCACGTTCCCCTCTCTTATTTTTCTCTTTTTCTTATTTTATAATCCACCTTTGACCCAATCCGTTGACCCACACTCTCTCCTCCCTCACTCTCGGTCTTCTTTTATCTTACTTATTCTTAAAATTCAACGTCCTACTATCTAGCAGCCATCGTCTTGGACGGCAGTCATACAGTCTCTCATTTCTCTGATCGCATCGTTCTCCTACCAATATCATAAATACGAGTCATGATTCAACTTGATTTCGGTCTTGTCTTGGCACAGCCTTTCTTCCTCTGCTCACTGGTCCTCTTTGTGGTAAGACTTTTCTCTGTATTTGTTCTAATTCCTTTCGTTTGTCGTCGCCACTTCAACAACAACAGGGTATATTCTGCAACACAAACAAATGAAAGTCAAGGATTTTGCTAAAAAAAGACCATTGAAGTGGCAGTGAGTGGCACGGAATTGACTATCCGTTCCTGTTCCATGCTCAAAAGCAAAAAATTCGATCCTTGTGCAGTCGTATGACAATCGATGGATTTTCAATAATAACAAGTCAATAATGTCGATGCTATTGAGGCGCGTGTGCTACATATCGTCTACTCTTTCCAGAAATATAACTTGGCACCACATTCTCGGAATATGACCCCTATTACCCGATAAAAATAAACCAATAATAAATAAATAAATAAATAAATAAAAAAAAAACGACAACAGAAAGAAGTCAAAGAGAGAATCGTCAGCACTGGTCGAAAGACACTCTCCTCGTCATGGGAAGGAGAGTAAATCAGTCAGGATCTGACACGTCAGTGTAAAAGGACAGGATACTAGGCAAAGTTAAAAACGATGGACCGAGTAGGAAAGAATAGAATATGCCTGGTACAGGACTCATTTGTGATGTGATCGTGGCCCCCCTTCCCTTTCTAATATTAAAAATAGCATCACAACAAGAGGTGCACAGCGCATCACATGATCTCCTGAATGGCCTACAATAGTCTTGTCTGGACACCATGGGGACTGACTGAGGATCACGATCTCTAATCTCTTTCTTTATGCCCGTGACATCACATAGATCGGCTGGATCATCACCTTCGTTTCTACAGCCGCCCTCACAGCATGTGATCTCACTATATGCGTGGTCGGACCTGTTCGCTTAGTTTGGGTCGATATTTTCTACAATCTCTTCATACTTCTAGGTGCAACATTGGCAGTTGCCACCCAGGCCGTCCACAACTACCGTCTTGTGGTAAGCTTTACTTTACACTGATTTCTCATCTATCTTAAAGCTGCTATGAGTTTATTAATTTAGATATTGTAACATGTACTTTATTTAGATCTTGACCTTCATTGCTGGCGGCCTCTCATTATTGTTTGTATGCATCAATACCACCATCAATGTGCACCATGCCATGTACAGTGCTGTCGGTTCTGGTCTCATCTTTCAATCCTTTGTTTTGGTAACTTTGTCATTACTTGAAGCCCTGATTTGAACTGTTTAAAAAAAAAAAAGAAAAAAGAAATGAATATTAAAAAAAAAAATCCTATGTCCTATTTCCTACATTTCTAGATCTTTTGGGTCTTCTACTTTGGTGCTGAAGAGGATTCTCTAGTCAAGCGTACGATTAACGGATTTGTCATCCCACGCAACCCTGGTGCTGCTACCGCTGGTGTATCGAATGGTGTTGCACACGGTGCTGTATCGCCAAACCAGCAACCCCAAGAGAACTTGAGCTCTGTAGTTGTGGCTCCTGCTGCAGACTATGCGTATAAGGCACGCGCACTGTACTCATATGACGCCAATCCTGAGGATAGCAATGAACTCAGCTTTGTGAAGGGCGAAGTTTTAGATATCGTAGATAACAAGGGCAAATGGTGGCAAGCACGCAAGGCGGATGGCACTATCGGTATTGCACCCAGTAACTACCTTCAGCTTATTTAAGGGAAATAAGGCATGAAAAGCCTGGCGAAAAGAATCCGTCGCATTTCTCGTCATTATTTTATAATTTAGCCTTTATATCCAATGCGATTTATCCATCTACACATCTATCTCACATCACATCACATCATATTAATATTTTTCCAACAATTTTCATCACCGACGTCTTCTTTTCCAGGAAGCTTACATATTATATAGCCACATGGACAAAAGAAAAAAAGGAAGGGAAAAAAAGCATTTGCATAAAAAGTTCATAAGATAAATAAAATCTTTCGTCTTCTACAGTGATGTTGTTAGAGGTTTGATAGAGATGTTGTTTTTACATTGTTGCAAAACTGGTTTTCTAGTCTTGACTTTTTATTTTTTATTTTTTTTTAACCGGATACTGGTTGGCCTTTTCGATGTCACCGCGTTTCTCTTCTGGCTCTAAGGTTACTTGACGCCATGCCTTAATTTGTTATTGTAACAATATACCCATCCAGTTAACAGAATTAATGTTATTCTGTTAAACTTTTTGAATGAGCTCTAATTACTATGGACATTCTCTACAAACTACAAGAACAGCGATTGATTGTAACGATCGAAATTGTGCATAGTTCAAATATTCACATCTACTTTGCGTTTACAACACTCTGGGCTATAAGTTAAACCCAAGCTCGGCTCTAGTGTGGCCGGAGCTACAACGCAGACCAAATCAAGGCCAACGCAGCTCTTCAATGGATAAAGGAATTTTAATTGTCTATGCATTCTGTGGAATGGTACACACGGAGACTTTGCTGCATGTGATATAATTTCATTTTCATGGAAAATGAATCTTTGAAACAATTGATAGAATAAAGGATGTCATATTCTCTAGCTCCATCAATTCATTTAATCCATCTCCTTCGCCTTCTTTTCCTGTCATCAATCCTTGTTCATTGCTCCGCCTTATACATCAAGCGCCATGGATGATCTCCTAGGTCTTTCCTGGGACAACAAAGGATCTACCACCACAACCACAACCACAACCACAACCAGTGGGGTAGCGGGATGGAGCAACAATGTCAAACCGTCGCCTCCTCCACCTACTGTCAAACCAGCGCATCTCCAAATGGGTCTTAATAAGACGGGGCTCACCCCAACCCCTGTAACGTCCGCTTCTTCATACCTTAACAACAACAATACCAGAGGCACAAACATGGGAATGGGATTGAGCTCCTCTTCCGCCTCCACTACAACTTCAACAACGACCTCTAAGAAGAGAGCAGATGAAGTCTTTGAATCACTAATGCCATCCTTTGGCCAGAATGCGGCTTCGAATATCTCCAAAAGCCTTGATTCCATGAGCCTTGAGGAGCGTCGTCGATATGATCAACAGCGGCAACAGTTTCCAAGTGCATCTTCCATAGGTGGTCCTTTTAATCTAGGAAACCATAATTCTAGATCTAATTCTCCAGCACCATCCTCGTCCTCACTTTCGTCTTCATCATTTTCACAATCTATTCGACCAGCATTCACGCCGCCTGTAAACGGAGCATCAGCTCTAGTTTCGACATCAGCACCAAGAGGTAATGGCTCCGGAAGCGCTGCAGGCCCTTCCAAGCCAATTGCGACAGCTTCACCTCAGCCTGCAGCGCAAGCCTTTACATCATCTATTCCAAAGCTCCAACAGCCGCAACCGGCCTTACCACAACAGCAAACCGCCTTTTTAGGCCATCAGAAACCTGCTGGAGCTGGGACTGGAGCTGGGTTGATGGCTTCTCCAAGTGGACTGGGTCGATCTCTCTCTCCCTCCATGACGCCTTTGCAACCCGAACGCTCCAATGCTTCGTCGCCATCGACAAGTACTAAAGCATCCACTCCTACAGCGCCCAAGGACCCCTTTGGCGCACTGCTAGGTGATCAGATTTCGTCCAGGAGCAGTCCTTCTCTCAAGGATCAATCTCTTGACTCGATGTAAGAGCATGTCTAATTAACGTCCCGTGGATCCTGTTGGAAAAGAATGTAACAATTTTTCATATTTATGAATCTTTATAGTCGATATAATACCCCACCCCCTGGACAGACAGTCCAGTCAACAAAGGCTATTGATCCTTGGGATCTGGATTTCTTGGCTAATGCGACAACCTCAAAGCCCGCGCAGGTAACGTTGATTTGAAATCATAACAATAGAAGTTTTATACTGTTAAGAGACTGAAAAATCGCCTTTTTTATTTATATTTTTTATATCACTTTAAATACCTTTCATGATAGCCTGCACCGGCTTCAAGTAATGACATAATTGATCTTGGAGTATTTGAGAAGGCTCCGCCCGAAAAAACCTCTCCTAATCGTGATTCTACCGATGCACTCAACTCGTTCATTGGGAAGAAACCTTCTCCTGTAGCACCTTCACCCCATACTAGTCCTTCAGCCTCGCGGAAAGAGTCACCTGTAAAATCACCCCGCTCTCCGCTAAAGAGTCAAAGTAAAGAGGATGAGGATATTGCACAGATTGTATCCATGGGATTTTCAGTGGACCGGGCAAAGCGTGCACTGTCGATTGGCGGCGGAGATATTGAAGCGGCTATTGAGTATTTAGTTCAAATTGATGAAACTGAAAGCCAGTCGCCCTCAGGAACACTAAAAAACAGGGCAAGAGAGAGGGGGCATTATCGTGATGATAGTGATCCGTCTCTGGATGGTCGTAGGAGACGTAATGACAGCCAATCGCGACAGGGGCATCATGGACAGGCATCGCAGCGGACTCAGGACTTGACTAGAGCACAACAATTGCAGCAGCATAAAGATAAAATTATTGGTCAAGCCTCGGTGTTTGGAATGTCGGTTCTGTCCAAGGCGAATGAGATCTATAAACAAGGACGAGATAAAGCGCAGGCATTGATAGAGGAGATGACAATTGAGGAGCCACAATCAGCAGCAACTCGTCGATTTGAATGGATTGATGATGAACGAGGTCCAGGAGGGTATAAGGACTCGGATTCGGAGGAGGATGAGGTATATAGAGGAAGGCGGCAGCGAGAACAAGAGCAGCGACGACAGAAGGAGCAGCAGCAGTATCAGGAAAGGACATCTCGGCCCCGTCAGGAGAAAGAGACTTTTGAGGACACATATGTCTCATCAGCACGGAAAGGTGGTCTATCATCATCCAAAAATCAAAAGCCTCTATTTCCTATGGGTGATTCTCTTAACAATCTGCCATCGTCTTCCAAATCAAGCACATCTGGGAAACCGCCATCGAATCGACCTCTAGCTATTGCTCATTCGCCTCCCCCTGTACCACCAAAGCTGAGTCGACCGCCTAGAATCCTAGTTCAAGCCAGTAATCAACAGATGGTAGAGTCAAATCGTTTCAAGGAGAAAGGTAACGAAGCTTTCAAGCTAGGCCAGTTTGGACAGGCAGCTGAGTTCTATGCTCAAGCTAGTCGGGCACTCCCATCGAACCATATTCTCCTTGTTGTCACTCAGAATAACCGAGCTGCAGCTTTACTCAAGATTGGTGAGTACCGTGAGACAGTGTCTGAATGCGATCGATCTATCCTATTGGTCCAAGGCCCAGATGGCCAGGGTCACCTCGATGCTTTACCGCCTGATACTGGGGTGAACCTTAAAGATCAATTGGGTAAAGCCTTAATGCGTCGAGCAACAGCTTATGAGAATTTGGAAAAGTATAAAGAGGCCAGGGATGATTGGGCAAAGTTACGGGAGCTGGATCCGGGCCATCGAAACGCAGCAGAAGGACATCGCCGATGTGAGAAAGCTCTAGCAGTCATGGCTGGTGGCGGCGAAGTCCCAGCACAAGCCCCGGCAAATAAAACTGTGTCTTCGTCATCTTCGGCTTCTCGATCAAACGTACTTGGAGTAACCATGTCTTCAAAACAGGACATTTTTGTAGTACATCAACAGTCCCACAGTGAGGCTAGGATGAAAGTGGATTTGGGTAAATCTCAGGGTGTGTCAAAGCTGCGTCAGACTGCTGCTCAGCAGGAGAAGGAAGACGACGAGAAGTTGAAGCTGAGAGATCAGGTCGATATGAAGACGACGATGTGGAAATCTGGAAAGGAGGACAATGTCCGAGCACTGATTGCGTCCTTAGGCTCAGTTCTCTGGGAAGGTGCTGGGTGGAAGCCTGTAGGAATGCACGAACTAGTAACGCCTCAACAGGTCAAAATCAAGTACATGAGGGCTATCGGCAAAGTGCATCCTGATAAGGTAAGGTCCTTTATATTGATATACTGATATATTATCCTATAACGGATATACTTTTGCTTCTATGTCGTTCTTTCTACCCGTTCTGATATTTTTTATATCCTTTTGCATTTTTATAGCTGAACTCTTCAACCACAGTAGAACAGAGGATGATGGCCAACACGATCTTTAGCACGCTTAACTCTGCTTGGGACGCGTTTAAGGCTCAGAACAATATGCAGTAATTCTCACAACTTCGCATATTACTTTGCATCATTAACTTTACCAACATGATAGGAACAAAAAAGATAACATGATATTCTTGTTTTATGCACAATTGTCGAAACTTAATAAGACAGAGGGTATATACAGAGATTCGGATGATGAAATTAAAAGTTTCAACGCCACTGAACGTTATTATTACGATTAAGGGTGGTGACGTTGCTGCTATTGTCCATGCGCTTGACGTGGTTGTTGAGACTGTTGTAGAATCAGCTGCGCATTCGCTAAGGTTGGAGAGAGCATCTCTTGCATCTGGCGAGTGTTACGTTGTGCTCGAACTATCTCTTCCGCATCGGACTCATAGAGTGGGTTGGGTCTTTGTGATGAAGAAGCGGAAGAGGAAGGAGCATTTTGGTAGACGTTGCGGTTGTTATGATCATACTCTTGTTTATTCCCGATAGCATCAGGCTCGGCGACAGTATCAGTCCCAGAGTTGTTGGTGATGACTCTATTGGCATGTACCAAAGGAGTGGATATCTCTGACTCACACGGCAGTGGTGAAGAAGGAATCACGAACGGCCGATAGGGTGCTGCAACCAGCGAAGACGCAATGAAAGATGACTGTGTTGACGGCATGGTAACGACCTGGCAAGGCATGCTTGCTGTTATTGGCACTCCAGATGCGGTAGTAGGAAACGATGACCTTTGATTGTACGCCCCTGCTGCTGCTGCTCCAGTTGTTGATGAGGAAGATGAAGAAGGATAGTTAGACCAAGAGTTGGTGTGAGACGTCGATTGCTGCTGTCCTAAGATACCACCATTATTCATGGTCTGCATAGGGATAAAGATCCCTTCTCCCGAAGCAGCAGAGGCAGGACGTAATGTCGATAGTGATCTTGGAGATATCGTAGAACCACCCCCAGGCATATGTCTGTGGGAGTCCACAGTAGTCAAGGTTGGAGGCGAGACCAATGATCTAGCTGCTGCTGCGCCGCCGCTTAACTTATTCCTTAATCTGGACGTGGACTTTGTTCGTCGCATCCAGAGGATAGCTATGCCCGTCAATGCGGCCACAGCAGCAATCACGATTGCCGCCAAGACCCCTGGCGCAAGTTGACCCCGTGGGTTTTCACCCTCAGCAAAAGACGACCTTTCTAAACTGGCCCTTTGCCACGTCCATGATGATGAGAAGCTGAAGTCCAAGGTACTGATGATTGGATCCTTACTATCTTCCGATTTTTGGATAGAAAAAAACATGTAGTCCTTGGCAACACATGTGAGTATCGGGCTATTGATCGCATCGGGTTTGGTGCCGTTGGTGTAACGATTATTCCAGGATCCAGAAGAGCCAGTGACGGCATTGGTCGTTGGAAATGAATAGGTGTATGTTGAAAGGGGTGTGACCATGACGATAATACCATTATCTACAATGTATCATTTAAAACAAATCATGTTGCTGTTTAGTAGTTTAGTATAGAAAGATGCATCCATATGCTTAGTCATGGTTGTAAAATATTTTTACCTGCTGCTATGCAAGCTGTGGATTCAAAAGGCGTTGTTGTTGAAACCTAAGTATGACGTTTGTTCAAATGAACAACATGTGTGCGCAAGTGAGAAACGATAACTTATCAATTGCATGTACATGTTGTTACTACAGAGTTGACCAGCTATGAAGAGTAAAAAAGAAAAAAAACCTACCGTTGCGACGCTCTCTTTATTAAAAAATGCAAGGCACGTTCCTGTGTTTGGACTCCGGCACTGGCCTATGACAACACCATCATAATAGAATGCGACATTATCGGATCCAGTCTTAAACCGCAGCAAGCGTGGGTTGACCGTGTTATCCAAGGTGTCGAGGGTCTCCTCCCAAAGTATGTTCTTTGTGGGTTGTCCGTTAGATTGATCCAAAGATGCGACATCAATTTTCTTTAGTCGATATCGACTGCTTTTTGCGGTTGCCACATCATCCACTTCTGTGTACAGTTGATATATTGCAGATCCTTCGCTTTCTTGTGAGTGGCTGCCATCTGCCATGGCTATCCCTGAACTGATCGCATACCTCGAAACGCCACTGGGGAGTAGTTCTGGAGTCCGGTCAAAATTTAATCGTTCATACATCCATTCGATACCAAATTGACCGCTACCTTTGTTAGGCATTATGGGTAATAAGCGGAGCAACATGGGTATTGAAGGAGCTGATCCAGAAGACTGAGGAGAAGGGGGACTGATAGCCATTAAAAGATCATATCGATACCCAAATGGAACCCTAGTCGCTACCGAAACCAGATTCACACGTCCTGCACTGCCTTTGTCACCACTGCTTTCTCCTCCTTCTCCTCCATCTGGGAAGTAACTGGTCAAGCTGGTGCCAATATTGGCCCCATGAATACTTTGAGGGGTGAATTTGTACGTTGGTTCCTCCATCTCGGTACTATTTCCATTGATCCCACTACCGCTGCCCCACGTGGAGCCATCACTGTCATTAGGCCGACGTATTGTGCGGGTTGGGATAATAATCGCATTAATATTGCCAAACAAGTTAGAGGCGTCTGAATAGTAGAAAAAGAGAACGTTCCCTCGGAACGTGGCCGATGCTATGGCCATAGAGCAAAAACTAGTTAAAATATTAACAAGCAGGGTAAACAAAAAGAGATAGTGCTGGGTTCTGCTAAATGAGGTTTCAGTTGAATGAGGACAGAGTGAAATGGAGCAATGGGCTGAAAGGAAACTAGTGGAGAAAAGGGTGGACAGTCTGGTGGTAAAGAGAAGAAAGACATCAGTGGGCTATAAAAAAGAAAAGAAAAAAGAACGCCAGGCCCAAGTCCTTGTGGAACACAAATATTGTGCAAAGGCTCATTTGCTTACCACGCTTTCGACTTTGTCTTGCAGACAAACCATGGCCGGAAGGAATGCGGCGAGTGAAATTTTATGTTTGCAATGTGTACTCTTGAGTTGGACAGTGCTGTAGAGAGTACATGCATTTTTTTTTTTTTTTTTCTTTTTTAAAAAAAAAAAAAGTATCTTGATCTGATGCGCGTATTGGGTATGAGAGGAATGTGAACTGGCGCGTAGTGTCTTCTTAGTTGACAAGCAGAACGATGAAAATACATCAACAGAACGCGACCTTGCTTCTGGCCCGATAATTTTGAAAATAAACCGACCCTTGATTGTGAACCACAGCCCAATTATTTTTGGCTCTCGTCGTGGTACAGACTAAATAAATAAAAGAAAATCACTTGCCTGTAAACTTTCTCTTTGTTGATGAGCATGTGGCACATGGCGATGCTGTCCTGAATGCGATCTTTTTTGATTTGGATGTTGGATTGCCTTTATAAAGCCATGGCTGAAATTGTCTACGAATCTATAGCTCCTAATGAGTATCTGACTGTTCAGAAATCAATAAATTGAATGCATGATGCAAAACAAGCTCTACTTGCTTGAATCAATGCAGGAAACAATGTTGACGAACTTTCTTTTTTTTTTTTTTTTGTTTTTTGTTTCTTTCTTCTCATGTAAACACGAGTTGAGCTTGATCTCTACGCTCCCTGTTCATTCTTTATAGTTCTAGTATATCCTTGCGAAGTAGATGTCCTTTTTCATTTTGCTCTAAATGCTCCAATGCTCCACCCTAACACCCACTTCTCTTTATTTTATTTCTTTTAACAGATCCATGATTCAGACTTTTCATTAAGGTTACAAGTTAATGACATTAACACCACGTTCCGGCCTCGGCACTGTTAGGTGCCATGATTTATGGAACTGTCAAGGTAGACCAGCTCAAAGATCGGACTATCGATCTGCAAATAAAATCAGTAGGGTCGAACTCCGCATTCGAGTTCCATTCAACAACAATTCTACTTTTTCTTACGTCTAACTTAGTAACATTCAATACTATAGTTTGCTTGGTTGGTGAGAATCTTAGTGTTACAGCCCAAGTCAAGCCTTACAAGATATTGAGCCTTTTATCAACTATGCCACTAATCATTGCGATGGTGAGGAAGAAGGGAAGAAAGAGAAAGGAGAAGAGAAATGGAGGAAAGATAAGACCAGTGAAAAGGAAAACAGCCTGGACAGCGAAAGAAAAGCCACACAACTACTGTATAAGGAAAAGTAATGTAGACTGACAACGGCTAGCCATGAAGTTTATAGACGATAATAAGAAGAGAGAGGAGGGGACAAAATTCGGAAGGGATTGGAAAGGCAGCAGTATTTGAAGAAGAGGCAATGAAGAAACGCCGGCAGACAGCCATCCAAAGGTGTTTTGCTCTAAAGATACGAGGTGCTCTGCCATAATGGGATCAGTCCACTCATTGGGGTCGGCCAAGGTCGGACAGAGTTAAGGCCCAACTGCGTACTCATGCAGCAAGACGATCTAGCTATCGAAGGCACCAGTATGTTATGGCCAACATAGCATGCTGAGACGCCACCAATTTAGGCGCATAATGAACAAACAGTCATACACGTGATCATGTTTATTTTTTTATGAGCTTTCACCTCAAAAAAAAAAAAAAAAAAAAAGAAAAAGAAAAAAAAGGCTTGTGCCTCTGTTACTCTGCTTCTACCTGACTCCTCTTTAACAATGTCAGACATGCCAGCCCCCGTTGTGGCCGATGCCACCAACTCATCCACGTCAGCAAATACTGAAGATGAAAAAACTAGCAAGTCAACACTTTTTGTCCGTGGTATTCCTTACGACGCTACCAGTGCACAACTCGAAGCTTTCTTCTCCGAGGTTGGTCCTGTACGATCATGCTTTGTAGTCTTGGATCGTAACGCTGAGCAAAATGCTATTGAGAAACCCGATGGCGAAAGCAGTGATGTCAGCAATACCGCTGCTGGCTCCAAAGCACCTCTTAAAAATAAGGGATATGGTTTTGTGCAATTTGTCTTGCCAGAGGATGCTGACAAGGCTATCAATGACCTTCGAGGCGTCAAGTTCCTAAAACAAAAACCCTTACTTATGGAAAAAGCCGTTAAAAGATCTCGTACGTTTACATCCAGTTTCCGCTTTCAATACTCCTATACTAGGCAAACTCTACAAACCAGTCAAAGCTGATGCTTAATCTGATGTGACTAACGCATTTTTCATATACTGATCTGTCATAGACTCAACTGAAGACAAACAAAAGAAGGAACTCAAACCCAAGCCTAAATCAGATAAACCTAAAAAATCTCAAAAAGTCGAGAATTCACAACAGGAACATAAAGAGAAAAAGTAAGAAGCGGTTGTTGCAGAAATTGAAATAATATATTATCAACAATCTGTATTAAATGCATTTTATTTCATTACAACCAACTAGTTATTCATTCCAAACTGTTGTACTAAAAGGCTTAGGCAAGGACATCACTAAGAAGCACATTTACAAAAGAGTCCGTAAAGTTGGCGATGTAAAAGAGGTTATCTACCCTGTTATTGCCGAGACATCAGAATCTGGACCTGGACAGGAGAAGAGCGAAGATATTATTGAGGAAGGAACAGGTAAGCTAGTAAAGCAAGATCGCCATCTATGGTAGCTTGGATCAACTAAATGCTGAGTACCAATTGCCAATACAGAACAGTAGAAGCTCAACTTCCACTTCCTCTCTCTGTGTTTTAGCCCATGTCATTTACAACTCAGCAGAATTGGCAGCATCAGCTGTTCAAGCATTGGATGGACATATTTTCAAATCCTGTGCACTACATGCTTCCTTATTGGCCTCGCCTGCAGTATACAAGCGCTGTCGACTGATTGTCCGTAACTTACCTTGGAAATACAGAGAATCAGATCTTCAGGCATTATTCACAAAGTTTGGAACTGTTCATGAAATCAATTTACCTCGCAAATACGAAGGTGGCCCCCTTCGTGGGTTTGGATTTATTCAGATGGAGAATCTAGAAGCGGCTGAGAAGGCTGTTGCATCTCTGAATGGCACAGAACATCATGACCGCGTAATTGCTGTTGATTGGGCATTAGCCAAGGACCGTTTTGAAGAAGCAGAGGCAAAAGCAACAGAAGAGACTTTACCGGCAAATGAAACCCAAGATGAGGAAATGGCAGATGTGTCTGTTGATAATAAATCAAAAGGTACTCAAGACGACAAGAGCAGTGGCGAAAATTCAGGAAGCGAAGATGAGGATGAGAATGAGAATGATGAAGAAGAAGAAGAAGAATCCGAAAATGAAGGTGATGAGAGTGATGATGATCTCAACTTTGAGCATTTACAGGAAAGTGAAGACGAAGAGCCCGAAGAATCGAATGACGAAGGAATGGATGACGAGGAAGAGGATGCCGCCGCTTTAGCTGCACTAGATGCTGAAGAGGCTGAAGAGAATGAGCAAAGTAAGTTGGCATGCCAGGTTTATAATTACATCAATGCTGTCGATTGCTGCTAACCTCTGGCACTCTTTCGGTACTGGCCGATACTTTTAGATAAAATGACCTTGCCTGATCCCAGTGAAGGAACTACTCTTTTTATTCGTAATCTGGATTTTGATGCTACAAAGGACGATCTGTTTGAACTGTAAGGATATGTGATAGCATGCTTAATTTTATGGAAAGTTTCTTCAATTGCTTTTTTGAATGCTGATAAAATACTTTGTTTTATTTTGTATAGTTTCCGTCACTGGGGAAAAATTCGTTATTGCCGAGTCACTATGGATCATGATACTGGAAGATCGCGTGGAACAGGGTTTGTTTGTTATTTCAACAAAGGTGCCGCCGACAACTGTATGGCCGAGGCGGAGAGAGTTAATGCTATCATAAATCCAATTCAAGCTGAGAACGACCGTAGGAAGAAAAACAATTTTGTGAAGCATATTGTTCTGCAGCCTGATTTACCAGAGGATCTCGCTGTCAAATTTACGCTCAATGGGCGTGTCTTGAATGTTGTCCGCGCAGTCGATAAGAAGTCTGCAGCAAGTCTTCTGGAGGCTGGTCAGCAAAAGCGTGAGCGAGAAGATCGTAGAAACCTATATCTAATGCGTGAAGGTGTCATTTTCCCAGACTCGCCTGCTGCTGCTGCTATTCTCCCCAGCGAGCTTTCTAAGCGTCAAGCATCATACTCTGCTCGCCGTGCGTTACTTGCTCGTAATCCTTCTCTTTATATTTCCAAGACTCGTCTATCTATCAGAAACTTGCCATTGAAGTTGGATGAAAAGGAGCTTCGCAAATTGGGGGTCCAGGCCGTTCAAAAGTTCAAGAACGAGGTCAAGGAGGGTAAGAGGGCACATTTGTCTAAGGAAGAACAAGCTGAAGGATGGGATAAGCGTGTCATGGTCAAGCAAGCCAAAGTGGTACGATCCAAGGACCGTGTAGATGCGGCCACACAGATGTTGCGCTCTAAGGGATATGGTTTCTTGGAATACTCAACACATGCACACGCTCTGGCTGGCCTTCGGTGGTTAAATAACAACCCAACGTTATTTGGCGCTAAGAAATGCCTGATAGTTGAGTTCTCAGTTGAAAATGTGATGGTTAACAAACAAAGAGACGAACGTGAAACCAGGAGGGTAATGAAGCGTAAACGTAATGAAAATGACGAAGAGGAGGAAGAGGAGGAGGAAGGACAGGAAGCAAAGCGCCCCAGGAGATCTATACATGAGGGAGGTGGACGTGAGCCTCGAGGTGGCTTCCGTGGTGGCAGAGCACGCGGCGGAAATGATGGTAGGTCAAGAAGTGGTGTCAGGGGAAACTCACGTGGTTTTAGAAGTGACTCCAAGCATAGCTCTAGAGATGAATTCAAGGGCGCAAGGGGTGGTCGTGGCAATTCAAGGGGTAGCCGCGGTGGCACAAGGGGTAGCCGTGGTGACACAAGGGGCGGCCGTGGTGAAGTAAGGGGCGGCCGTGGTGGAGCAAGGGGTAGTCGAGGTGGAGCAAGGGGTAGTCGAGGTGGAGCAAGGGGTAGTCGAGGTGGCCGTGAGTAAAATTAGTTTTTGAAATAGAATATCACGTGTAAAATGACCTGAAAAAAAAAAACCACATTGTCGCCACCAAACTTGTGAGCTAACCCAGGCTACCATTCCACCTTAACATCACTACTATCATGGAGATCCTACGTGAAAATTTTCATGCAGAGCTGCCTTACATCCGGGAAGCCATTAATGAGGCTGAATTTATTGCGATCGATGCAGAGTTTTCTGGTAAACAATCAATTGATTCATGAGATGGAGGATAAACCGTACCATGGCTGTATGATAACTTAATTCAAAGAATGGTTGCTATATGGATATCTGTCTAAACAAAACCCTTAACGTCTGTCATTGCTCGTAAAAATCACCGCCGCTTCTAGGTTTGCATACAGAGCCTAATAGACGTACTCAGAACACGACGCTTGAAGAAGGATATGAAGAGCTTCGTAAGAGCGCATCCCAGTTCCTGACTGTGCAAATAGGCATTGCAACCTTTACGTTCGATCCCAGAAATGGCAACTACGTATCCAAGCCATTCAACTTTTTCATTTTTCCAACGACCTCAACTGGGTATTCTTCTCAAGGAAGATGCTTCCTTACAGAAGCATCCAGTTTTGATTTCCTGGCCAAAAATAAGTTTGATTTTAACAAGTGGATATATCACGGTACTCATAACTTGAGGATTATAAAAAGGAAAAAAAAAAAAAAAAAAAAAATCAGTTCAGGAGATAGAGAAAATAGAATAGGGCATGAGTTTGACCATTCTCGCGATTATTGTTGACTAGGTGTCCAATATCTGACTAAAACGGATGAGGAGAACTTTAGACGGGACCGTATTAGATTATATAACAACGACTTTGATGTTATTGGGATAGATCCAGCAATCGCACCATGGCTCGAGTCTGCAATGTAAGAGAGCAATCGCGCGATAGGTAGTAGCGATGACTGTCCAATGTATTAACATGTTGCATTTTTACACTCTTTGAATAGTCAGAAAATTACCGAGTGGAAAGACAACCCCAATGCATTCAATTTTGTTAACATTTCAGCTGCTAATGCCTATCAGCGTAGACTTGTCTTTCAGGAGATCCGCAGAATGTATGTCCACAGTCCACACTACCATACTACGAATGTGGTTTCTTGATAAGAAAGTTTGATTCTAAGAAATACTATTAATCGCGACGTAGATGGGGTAACGAGCTGCATACACGAACACAAGGATCCTACATCAACATCATAAAGACAACCCCTGATATCATCTTTCAAAGACAGCAACGCGAAGCAGGAATTGAGGTATGATATTAAATCCATCACTTTGCGGTTAGCATTGGTTCAGACTTGCCTCTTTTTTATTTTTATTTTTTATTCTCGAGTTTGGTCGATTATGTTAATGATATTGAATAACCAACCACATGTAGAAAGAAGTCGAGTATGCAAGAGGGTTTCGCACTGTTATCGATCTACTCTCCGCTTGTGGAAAGCCAATTGTAGGTCATAACATTGTCATCGATCTCGCGTACATTTTGGCTCAATTTATAGGCCCATTACCACCGACTATGGAGGAATACAAGGAGATGATTCATCAGACATTCCCTATGTAGGTTTTCAGATCTTCCTTCTATTTGCTCGGTGCATTCGCGGCTCTACTTGGTATGATCATGATGATAGCCTAGAGATGTGGCATTGGCGCCGCCCTCACAATACATATTATGTCTCATTCTTTAGCGTCTTGGATACAAAATTCGTCTCCTCTACTGCTCATTCTATCAAGCATCTTATGCGTGATTCTAGCCTCGGTGGTCTAGAGATGTTGGTGAACCAGGTTGAATTCATGGGTTGCCCCAGAGTTAGTAAGTCGTCAAGGCGCACAGGCCATCACAAATAGATAGCATTACTATGAAACATTTAGAGATAGCTTGAATCAAGAATGCTCGTTAGTGACTCGTCGTAACATTGCTTTACCCATTGAATAGCACCGCATTATAGACATCAGCGTTACCTTTCAAACGATCGGTCACACGAGGCTGGATATGACGCATACGTCACAGGGACAATCTTGATCAGGATGTTAGCCCTCATCGGTAAGCTGTAATAACGGTTGTTTTCTTTAGGGTGCAGAATAACCACTAGATCGAAAAAAAATGCCTAAGCATTTCAGCACTTGGGACATTTGTTCTAACCTGCTCTGTTATCCTGCATTTTAATCCAATTTTAGCAAAGCATGAGCTCCCACCACCTCCCACTTCTTTGCCTGATGAGAAGCATAGGTCTATAAAGCAAAATAATATGAAGAAATCTAACAAGGTAGAAAAGAAATTAAATGAAAAGGTGGACAGGGAGCAGCTCACAGAAGGAAAAAATGCTGTTCTGGTGCCCCATGGCGAACGGCTCGCGTCTAATGTCACATCCGCTGCATCTGCTGTATCTGCTGCATCTGACACTGTCCCGAGTTCTTTGACTCGCCCTTTGGGTCCATCTAAGAAGGTCTCGTATGCACACGTTGTTCAAGGCTCAAGTAGTAGTGCGAATGGTACATCCACAAACCCTTCGCGCATGCAGCAGCTAGGGTCTGAGCAGGTCCAAGTGGAAGCTAGATCAGATGAAAATATTGAAGAGAAGGAGGAGGCTGACGACGGATGGGAAGATGAGAGTATTGATGAGGATTATAACCAGCACCATGTACAGGATGTACACGTACGACCGTTCTCAATCCAGAGTCCTTCATTTAAGGACTATCAGAATATCCTTTACTGGGGACGCTCCAACCACGGATCCATCTATCTTTGCAACACATGATATGCGAAATAGCAATTGAATCATGTATTCAGAAAATAAAAAAGAATCTGAATAGAAAGATATATAGATTGTTTACTGAACATGAATCGCGAAGTATTGCAAAAAAAAAAAAAAAAAAAAAAAAAAGGGGGGAGGCGTTGCCTAATCTAGAGCTTTGTCCTCTAGAGAGACTCCTCAACTCGTAAAGAAGCATCAACTGAGATCTAGACCCTACATAACCATGCAAAACTAATAAACCAATTAAAGACAGAAATTTTTCCATCTGGGAGATAGACAAGTCTTTAATGCATTGCCCCTGAGCTCTCTCTTTGTTCCTAAATAAAATTAGACAAAAACTTTGCTTTTCCATTAGAAACAACAATTAATAAAAAACGTGCCAATCTTTGTTTACGCGCGTTACCAGTAAACTAATGTTTCTATTATTTTTTTTCTTTCTTCTTCGTAAATCAATATCTCCGGCCGTTAAAAAAAAAAAAAAAGGACAAGAAAAACGCTTTCAGAAAGTCTATGAATTGGAATGTCTGTAGTATATCACATCAAACAATCAACGCGAGTGAGAATGCATTATTCCCGTTGGATGATGCAATAATTCTTTGAACGGACAGAATCCTCGTTAATTTCATTCTCCTTCTCCCGATCTGGTTTTTTATTTTTCCTTTTCTTTCCTTTTCTTTCCTTTTCTTTTTTCTTGAGTACGAACGGTAGGGTATGCAGACTAATGCAGGTCAAGGAAAAAGAAAATCAAAAAATAGACGCTCAAAGTTATACATGTACATGTACCATGTAGGTTATATATATATATATATTTTGTTGAGAGCTTTCGAAGGAGATTTTTCTAACGACAAAAACATATACCCCTACATATCCCTCGCAGTAGCGTGCACAGGGTCACAAAATTTTTCCTGTGATCCTATATATGTCGTCACATGATATTTCAGTCCTCCCTTTTTGATTTCCATCTATCTATCCGTATCATTCTCTTATGGTGAGTTCCTTGCGTCAATATGAATCACAAATATAGCTATTCATTTATTATATTTTAAAATAAGAATCAAAAATGGATAACATTCTCTTCCTATTTGCAAGGCGCATTGTGGCTTTGCGCTATCGCCATCCTTTAAAATACTCGCTCCATTGAAACTATTGAAACAAACAATCATAACACTACCATGGCCACCGAAGTAACCCTCTTTTGCGTTATCGATGGAGATTCCTCCATATTCTCAGTGGATATCTCCTCTTCAAAAACGATAGACCATCTCAAGGATGCCATCAAGAAAAAGCAGCTAGAGTTTCATGATATTAATGCAAGCAAGCTCACTCTCTGGCATGTCGCCATTTCTTCTATCTCCAAGAAACCAATTACATTAAGCAATCTTACAGACGAGCAGAAGGCGCAGAAAAACCCAGAGAAGCTCGAAGATCCGACTAGCGAGGTCTCTGAGGTTTTTGGCGCTGTACCACCAAAAAAAACCATCCATGTCATTATTGAACGACCAGGTACTATTCCACTCTACTGGTATGCCTTTTTTTTTTGTCCACAGTTAACTATGATTAAACAAGTCATACGCACTTTCTATTTGTATTCCTTTCTCCTAAGTTAAAAGTGAAGGGAATGAACCTATAATCGCAAGTCTACAGACGACGAACGCAGATCTACAAAAGGAAATCGCCGACTTGAAGCAACGACTGCATACGAACGCAAATTTAGGAACGATGATCGTAACTTTAGAAACGACAATCGCAAATTTAGAAACGATAATCATAAATTTACACAAGGAAATGACCGACCTGAGGCAACAAAAACTGCATATGGAAGCAGATTTAGAAATGGTACAAAAGAAAAACGCCGAATTGGAGCAACAACTACAGGCGGACACATATACTAGTAAGTGATAATCAACAATAAGTGAGAATGTGGAATGGAAAGATGTCGAAAGGAACCATAGTGAAAGAGAGCTGACTTTGTTGTTATTCTAGCACTGAGCGTCGTGAACAAAAGAGATCGGAATAAGGTTATTTGCACATATTCCACCAATATTAAATCAGCTACTATAGGAAGCCTGCGAGAAAGCCTTCGAGATTATTGCTTGGAGTTTGAGGAGTTCGAGGAAGTCCAAATATTTGTGTACGATGAGGAAACGAAGACATTTCCGTTGTTGAGAGACGACATTCAATTTCGTTCTATCTTGGAAAAACTTCAGCAAAAAAAGTGGAAAAGGCTCATTATATCTTTGGCTACCCCAGCCATTAGTTTTTCGTCATGGGACTGGAAAAAAGTTCAAGACACGTATAAATTACAATCGTTCATTGATCTACCAAAATTTGATCTCAAGCCCAAGGAGGACTTGACAGAAGCTGAAGAGACAATATTGGGACATATTGTGGACGATTGCATTCGCAAAGGTAGAGCCTATGCATTTAATGCACAATCAAATGAGGCTACAAGATCAACAATTGTCGATGCATTCATGGTTGGAGCAGTATCGCTCTATGCGCCCGACATGATCCTTTCGCAACAACAGTCTTTGAAAGGCACGCGCGGCTATGGGACTTTGGACTTTGCTGTTGTTGACTGTATCAATTCGGGACAATTTCTTGGCATTACGGAAGTGAAGAAGGACGATCATGTGCAAGGCCTTGCACAAAATATGGTACAGCTCGATGTAGCCTTGCACAATAGGAAACGAAAACGAACTGAGGAGGATGGAGATTGCCCTAGAGCCCTTAGGGCTTATGGAATCGTAACCAACTCATTTCAATGGGCATTTGTTGAATCTACATTGGAAAATGGCACGCTAAAATACCGAAGGTTGGAACTGACTAAATCTTTAGAAGTGATAGGAGAAATGGAAGACGTGAGAGACAGATGCAAGCTTATATTTGGCTATGTCCTTACTCTTTTCGAATTAATGAAGAATGAAATGAGCACGAGAGGTAGTTTCAACATCGAATCTGACTCCCCAGCAACCAAAAAATCAAAATTTGATCAGTCATCAACAGCAACGATAACAACACCAATAACAACAACACAATGATATCCGCTTAAAATAGCATACAGCAGTTTTGTAATAAATAATATTCCAATATCATCAGTTGGAAGCTTTCAAGTAAAATGGAGTGACACTTTAGAAGTGTCTAACGAAACGCCTTCAACGGTGTGGTTTATTTTTATTTTAAAGAAATATATGTATAAACACATTACTTAAAAGCTTTTTTTCTTTGTGCTCGACGCATCTTAATGTAGGAATTGTTGGAGCCAGCGTTGATGATAGCCTTGGAAACTGACGTCAGGGCATCAGCTTCCTTTTCCACTAACGTCATGCATGTTGATTTTGATATCTCTTCTAGCACAGCCTCAATTAGTTCCTTCTTGAATTGATACAACTTCCTTTTCTGTGCATCGAATCCTGAACGCCATTTTGCTCTTTTTTGGTCAGAGCTCTTATTCAAAGCCCAGATCGAGGGCCGTCCATCGACACCATGGAACCATTCCTTCCATTGATCCTTGAGAAGCGCTGCTTGCGGAAGCATTTCGTGCGAGGACAGGGTTGTTCCAATCTGAACGTAGAGCATGGCGATCTGTTCTGCCAACTGGTCCAAATCAACTCTACCTTGCATACCAGACTGAGATTGAGGTTGAGATTGAGAGTGAGCTTGTCTTTGTTCTACAACTACTTCTTCTTCTCTTTCTCTCGCTCCGTCTACTTCATTGAAGAATGAATCCTCGCCTTGTAAAGGTGAAGAGGTGTTGGTAACGCTCGCTTGCTCATGAGCCGGCTCATGGCTAACCAGGTGCCCGTCTGTGTGCCCTTGCTCCGGGGTGAATGGGCTCCTCTGTCCTGCTCCACATCCCTGCTGTATCTGGAGATCGAACTCTCGTATTTGCTCTCTTTGGATTGATTTGATCTCAGATACAGTGTGGCCTATAGTTCTTCCTGCACCATTGAAGGCCCCCTCTATCCCTTGAGAGAGTGCCACTAGCTGACGATTGACACTTGACATATGCGTCCTGAATGAAGAAGTCAAGTTACAGTTAGATGTATCAACGCGTTCTCGTGATCGTATGAAGTCATCAAGAGCTGAAAGCTGTGCTCCTAAAACATCAAGTTTCTGTGCTATTGCGGGAGCGTTTGCTGCAAGGCTATCCATCGAGGGAGATCTTGCCTCACTCATTGTTTGGCGCAACTTTGCACTAAACTCTCCGAACTCTGGCGATTGAAAGACTGGCATCTGGCAGATATGGTGCATCCGGTAAATCTGGTAATAGCAATTAGCATTGTCGGTAATTTCCATAAGTACAGCCATATCCTGAAGAATAATCTTCCGAAAATGAGCAAGAATAATATTAAAGCGTATTTTTGGTATTTCCTCCTTGCAATGGCTTGTTTGTTCCAAAAGGGGTCGATTGTAGTCCTCGGGGCGGTCCATCATGATATTCTCAATGCGCTGCTCCCAGTCTTTGTTTCCTTCAAACAGGTTCTCAATGAAAGGAAAAATCATTCTCTGAAGTTTGGGATCAGGAATAAGTGTGTTGCGAGGAAGCCAGAATTCCTCATCAGTTCGCGTGAAGCCTGCCATCGAATACGGAACAGCTCTTGGAACTGGATGTAGGTAATGGATCGCCAAGCGAGAATGAAGCCAATTGCCTTGCTGAGATATCTGGTCATGCGATGATCCATTGAGCATCGCGTGTTGTGCTCCAGCTTTGCGGCCCGCATGAGTAACTTTATCACTATGATGGCCTGCCTTATTCATAACCCCTTTCATAGCCCTAAGAGCAAGAAGTCGCGAGGAAGCGTCAATCCATCAATTACTATTGCACTACCATACAAAGCCATGTATACCCTGTACTTACTTGTAGAGTGAGGTTGAGGACATACGGGTTCTATCAGAAGCGCCGAAAATGAGGAAAGTTTCCATCCATTTGTCGTCATGAAAGTCAGGAACGTTTTTTTTGTCCTACAGTCAAAAGTTACGAATAATAATAGATGTGAGCAATCGAATGTCGGTACAGCCCCGAAACATTAAACAGAAAAAGTATCAGGAACTAACCATCCATAGCTCTAATAGATAAAATCCTAAGGCACCTAAAGGACACAGCTCAACATCTTTATTGCGAATACAAGACGAATAGATAGTGAAGTCCTGATTTGTCTTGCCATGTGTAATCTCAAGAACAAGGGCAAAAGAAAGCTGGCGCCCATTCTCAGCCGTTGCATGGATATGTGGGAACAGGCTACTCAATTTCGCATCAAGTAAATTTTGGCCACGAGCAATCAAAAAATGATTCAAGGCAAAGCTAACTCGGTCGCGAGCCCCAAGCAGCTTGTGAGTCTTAGCTCCACCATTCAGAGGTTTGTAAGATCGAGTCCAACAAAGTTTCAAGAACTGCTTGAGTTGAGCTGGTGTGTATGCATTGTCGACCGACATTCGATATTGGTTCTTGAATTTATTGCTTTGTTGATACCTGCAGAACAGCAATTAGGGCAATTAGCAATATGCAATATTATATGTTTTAAAACAACATCCACTCCTTCAATTTTCAGGCCTCAAAGTTAAATAATACTACATTATGCTGCTGTCTACTCCTACCTTTTTCTGTATGATGAAATGATCCCTCTGAACTCGGCTGTACGTAGACTTGCCCATGGCTGGTTGCTAGGGTTGGGAACTAATGCTCGCTGAGACTGATAGAGCGATATGACCGACTTGACATATGCATCAACTGTCTCTGGAGAAGGGAGATCACCTTCATAATCTATTGTGACGTTGACACGCAATGGCTTGATGCTATAGAAGTCGTCCTCCGCCTGTACTGATTCTTCTGCCACAAGTTCACGCACATAGAGTAAGAATTTCTCGTATGTGACCATGTCTCCATCCATGAAATGCTTACGCTCGCACCAATCCTATATATATTATGGATCAATTAATTGCTACCAATAAACATTATTTTTTGCATTGCTCAACTACTATTCAAATAAGCTCACGCACCACCCAATGCCGTTGGTATTGTTGATAATGATACACTGTTCGACGTGCTAGGGATTTTTCACGATCCTTAGCTGCCTCCTGTAGGACCAACGTACAAGCTATTTTGTTATGGGTGGCATATGCTGTCTTGTTCGCCATGGATGCAACAACATCAGCTCTGCTCGCAGCTGCTATAGGTTGACCTTTGCGTCGTTTAGGAGTTGCCGGGTTTTCTTGTAGCGTTATATGCCGCTTTTGGCTTTGAAGTCCTTGTTCCTGAAATTGGAATTGATCTTGGAATTGTACCTGAAATTGAATTTGATTTTGGAGTTGGGGCATGTGTATGTGTGAATCTAACTGTTGTCCTAAATACTGACCAACATTCTGTGGTGATTCTAATTATAATTTCAAGAGTTCAAGAGTTATTATTTGGTTTTCTTTCTTTAAAGGATCAACAGCAAGCGACGACTATTGTTTGTATATAATATAATGCTGAATAACGAATGTGCTCACCAAACCAGCCTTAGTCCGCCAGCGATAGAGAGCGATAGGCTACCTTGAAGAGGACTTCCTACACTATTCTGTGCATTGGTTGCATTAGATGTGAATAGCGCTTCCATGTTATTTAATGCTGAGTGGTGGGGAATGAAGGGGTGGGTGAAGGGAGAAGTGATAAAACAAGTTAAGAAAAATGTTTGCTTATCCCTCTCCATTAGTGCAAGTCATATGCGATGGCCTTTCCAAATTTACACATCTACACAAAAACGGTATTCAGGCTAAATCACGCTGGAGATCACATTCTATATATTTTGTCAATTTTTTATATTACTTTTCTTTGTGATTCAATAAAAAGAAACAAGGTTTGTGACCACATAATTTCAAAATACCAATTCAGTAGACAAATAGAGAGATGGATTGTGAGCGAGATTTAGGTAGACAAAGTATTCAGAGTCGACTAAAAGACTTGTAAAGCAAGTGAACAAGTGATCGAAGGGATAGGTATAAATATCATTCCTGTCATTTTTTCACAATTCTTTGCTTGCCCCTACACCAAGACATGATGTCTCTTGTTGAGAAGGGATAAGGATGGATAGGGATGGATGGGGACGGATAGGGAAGTGTTCCCAAAATGAATAGAAAACAGTAAAATAAAGTCCATGTACCCTAAAAAGATTTATACATGTATAGTATGCTAACCCTAGGTGATCTACAAATCAGAGGCTCATACCGATGTCTTACCGCTGCCATTTTTGGTTAGTCCGCTATCAATTACAAAAGGTTATTAAGTGGTAGGCTAATAATTGATCTCGGTATGAGTTTCTAGTTTGTTGACAATGTCAACAAACCCTGATGAAAAGATACACTCCAGTCTCACTGTTTTGCAAAAAAGTGGATTTTATATACGTTCTGTGATGCTCATTGGCTAGATTCACATTTAATTCAAAAATTTTTATTTTAAATTGGCTGGCAAAGGGTGAGAGGAGAAAGACAAGCAAAAAAATCAGCCAATTGAATTGTGGTTTTAGAATAAATATTTTGAATTAAATATGAATCTAGCCAATGAGCACCGCAGAACGTATATAAAATCCACTTTTTTGCACATTTTGAGACTGTGAAGGTATACATGTACATGTATATAGTCTACTGTATACATGTACATAGATTTAGTGGTAGAGAGTGTCGTATTTTTATTTTTCCTCATAATATTCATTTGGATGGTCCATGCTCTGCCGAAGTGTAGGATGTTGAGAGTTAATTTAAAAATATACAGAAGGTTTGTATCCAATCACATCTCCTCTATCCTTTTTTTTTTTTATTTTTGGTTCATCTCTTCACCATCAGATTTACAGAACACAGAGAGGAGAGCTCACCCGCCTTGACTCCTGAGACTAGCCTGTTAAGGAAATGCTGGAGCCCAGATCTATAACCGAATGGCTTTTTACAAGCAGACAACCCCTAAGGACAATTACCAAACATATTCCAGCTTTTGCTCATTTGTACAATCTGGTAGTTCATCACAATACTATCATTCAACATTAACATGCTATAGTTGAAGATTAATTAAAAAAATAAAAAATAAAAAAAGGAAAACACCAAAATTCTCTTATATTCTTCTGTCTCCTCACAATATCTATGAAGGCATTGACCTCCAGACTTTTTGATCCTCTCACAACCTAATGACTGAGTATAGAGATAGATCCATGGTGTTACCGTAACAAGAGTAAGAGTAAGCACTTTGCAGTATTTTTAATTGAGCTGGAAAAGTAAAAAGAACGCTCAGATCAATACAGTTGAACTTTTTTTTTAAGCTTTTTTTCCGTAACACACATCTACGATTCGATTATAGGTGGCTCCCTTTATTCCTGAGGGATCCGCTATAATTATCATGAATAGCTCAGGAGAAAGTATTGCATGCATGCATGCATAGGGTAAATGAGCCAAACCACCAAGATGCAGCAAGACAAAGAGATCTGGACCCCCAATGGTCTGCGATATTATAGACACTATACACCTACATAGTACTCAAAGAGCCATGCAAGCAGGGAAACGATCTATCCAAGAAGTATAAAAGGGTGTCCACCCCTCTCTATTTTTTTCTTCATTCCGCAACCAACTCTCTCAACAGCTTAAACAGCAATCCCCTTCCAGCTTCTACTACAGCAAAAACACCCCTAAAAAACCTTTCTTACTCTTCACCACTACCAACTTTATCCGAAAATGAAATTCTCCACCTTCTTCCCCGCCGTCTTCGCCCTCGGCTTCTTCTCCGCTGCCACCCAGGCTCTCCCCACCAGACCCGAGGCTCAGGCCATTGACATCTTGAAGCGCGGTGTTGATGCTCCCATCGACGCTGTTGCCAAAGTCTTCGTCGAGGCTCAGGCCAAGGTCCTTGCTGAGGCTTGCGTCAACCTTAGCGTTGATGTTTGCGCTGATTTGAACGTCAAGCTCAGAGCCAAGGCTAAGGCCCTCGGTCTCATTGATCTTGATGTCAATGTCAAGCAGCTCGAGCTCCGCACCAAGGCCAAGGTTGACCTTGAGGTCCGTGCCTGGATCGAGGCTCAGCTCCATGCCATTGTCATTGCCCACATCCGCGCTCATGTCCATGCCGTTGTTACTGATATCTGCCCCAAAGTTGACAACGGTTGCTTGAGCAAGAACGCCGCCCAGATTGTTGCTGGTGTTGCTGCCAAGATCAATGTCGATATCAACAAGTTGGTTATTAAGATCAAGGCTGAGCTCGCTGCCCACGTTAAGATCCGCGTCAAGGCCATCATTGATGAGCTCAAGGTTGATCTCGGTTTGGCCAAGGTTGAGGTCAAGGCCTCCGTCAGCCTCCGCTCCGACCTCAACGTCCACGTCAAGGCCTTCGTCAAGGCTGTCGCTAAGATCCTTGTCAACGCCCAGTTGGTTGCCAAGGTCGCTGCTCTCTAAAAGAACAGTGTCTTTATGACCTCCCCCCCCCCCCCTCCTCTACCTTTAAAGCTGAGCAGAGTTGGTTAATACCTAAATATTAGTAATAGTTAATTAATAATTAAAAAAACTTATACCAATCTATTTTCTAAAGTCTGATATGTCTGACATGTGAATGAAAAAAAAAGGACTTGAACACTTTCTATTTGCACTTGTCTCCCACCTCTTATAATTATTTTTATCATTATTAATTCGCAGTGATAAAAATCCGTGAGAATCCTCGTCCTAAAAATAAAAAAAAAAATAAAAATGTTAAGCTTAAGAAAATTGTGGCTGTGTGTTGTGGTAAATGTTTGCCAAGGATTATCAGTATGTATAGGGCTTGAGGCTGTAGAGTTGAGACTGCCTAGTTGGATTATGACTGGACGCCTTTAACTCAGAATTCGTGCTAAAACGCGATGATTACTGCCCTTTTCCGATAACTGGTTGAAATACAAATAGAGCTTCGGCTCTTGAATCATGCTACGCGGGGTCATCATGCAGGGCGGAAAGGTCTTGTGCGGTGCTAATGTTATTTTCAAATATTGGAATAGATAAATCCATTGCAGACGACTTTTAAGCAGCCCGATCGGCTGAGGTTAAGCACTTTTGTTGCACAGATTTGTTCCAATCTCTCTCTTTTTCACTTCTATTTAATTGGAAAGGGGATAGGTTTTAGTAACTATGAAAATAATAGCGTCCATTCAGAATCTATTTAAATGGTTACACTTTTACTAAAAGGCTACACGATTTTTTTTGCGACCTTCAAATTCCTGTTTGATATCAATTTGGAGAATTTATTTGAAAGGTCTGAAAGAGCTTTCTCTGCCTCCTCATTGCCAGTGATAAAAAACTTTTTAATTTTCGAAAAGACCAAGCGGTCGCCTTGTAATATTTACAGCTTCTGAGTGGTTGTCTTGCTGCGATTCTACCATGTTGCACAGGAGCATTCAAATTACGCGTGAGACGTGATCGAAAGCACACGCGATTCAGTGGCTTGTGTGTCGGTGACGTTCACGTACGCACAGTAGCTTTTGTTTACCCATGAAAATTAGTGTGTCCTCCCCCGTCCTTCCGGTTAGTGCCAGTCTTACGACTTGATTTTTTTTTTTTTTTTTTTCTTTTCACTACAGTTCCCTCTCTCCTCCTCTCACCCATTCTCCTCTTTAATTATATACAACCAATCATGCTTCGCTCTCTTTCACGCGCTGCTCGCCCTGCCGCCATTGCTTTGGCTCGCAGCACCCCTGTGGTATGTATTTTCCCCATTATCAGCACATGAATCCACTCTCTTCGATCCTAAGATCAGGTCTCAGTCTTTCCTAAAGGATGCAATTACCAGTCTGGATGAATTCTCATCACAACTTCAGCAGCCATAATTATGAAAGAACCAGCAGAAATAGCAGCAACATCAACTTCAAGACTGATATAGCAAGAACTAGCGTCTTTTTTTTTTTTTTTTTTTTTTTTTACTTTTTTATCGCGAAAGGGTCAATTTCCTTTAGTCACTTCACATCAATAGCATGCAATCACCCCTGAGATAAATACAATCATACTGAGAATATACTGGGAATTCAATTGATCATGGCAGTTGGGCGTTACAAAGATCGCTTTAGATCGATCATTCAAAGATTCATTGATCCTGGAGCAGAATCTTGGATTCTCAATACATTTTATCCAGCGTGCGCCCATCCACTTTGTCATAAAAAAAAAGTAGACCTGATGTGTGATGCCATTAACTCTTCCAGTGATCAAGCACTATAGAGGTAGCCTAATAATGCGCTGCTTCTACAAGTTACAAACTGCTGTAACTTGTGGTGTTAAGATTGGATGATCAATGTTTAATGTTTCAATGATCGGGTCTGGTCGGATCCAAATTAACGAGTGGCGTGTCTACTATGTTTATTATCCCATTAATTAACTGCGCTGCAGTTATTTTGTCCTGTAGTTATGAAGGCTCTTTTTTACATCCCATTCATCCACTTTATTGGTATCTTTTTCTTATTGAAGGTCAACTTCTAACTATTATTACATATTGTCGCCATCTATCGTCTGTGGTTGATACTCATAGGTTCGTGCTAATGTTGGTGCTCTCTCTGCCTTCCGCAACTATGCCACCGCCAAACCAGGTATGTGCAGAGTACCATAGCCAAAACATACTCACTTATTGACTATTGGAGCCGTTCACTAATACGTTCAACACAATCCTTGACTATTCAATAGCTACTTCTGAGGTCACCTCTATTCTCGAGGACCGTATCAACGGTCTCAACTCTTCTGTTGATATTCAGGAGACTGGTCGTGTCTTGTCCATTGGAGACGGTATTGCTCGTGTCTATGGTTTGAAGAACTGTCAGGCCGAGGAGATGGTTGAGTTTTCCAGCGGTGTCAAGGTAAAGCACACGGATGGGCACAATTATGGGATGAATAAATCGTACTCACTGAGGCAATAGACGATCAGAGCGAGAGGAAATAACCCTGTTATATCTTTATTTATACCATCGACAACCTTATAATAGGGTATGGCCATGAACTTGGAAGCTGACAACGTCGGTATTGTCGTCTTTGGTAACGATCGTCTCATTCGTGAGGGTGATACCGTTAAGCGTACTGGTAACATTGTCGATCTTCCCGTCGGTGAGGCTCTTTTGGGTCGTGTTATTGATGCCCTTGGTAACCCTATCGATGGTAAGGGCCCCATCGCCGCCACTGAGCGTCGCCGTGCTCAAGTCAAGGCCCCCGGTATTCTCCCTCGTGAGTCCGTCCGTGAGCCTATGTTGACTGGTATCAAGTGTATTGACTCCATGGTCCCTGTCGGACGTGGTCAGCGTGAGTTGATTATTGGCGATCGTCAAACCGGAAAGACCTCTGTTGCTTTGGATACCATCCTTAACCAGAAGAAGTGGAACGATGGTACTGATGAAGTCAAGAAGTTGTACTGTGTCTACGTCGCTGTTGGTCAGAAGCGTTCCACTGTCGCTCAGTTCGTCCAGACCCTTGAGGAGAACGATGCCATGAAGTACTCTGTTGTCGTTGCTGCTACTGCCTCCGAGGCCGCTCCCCTTCAGTACCTCGCTCCTTTCTCTGGATGCGCTGTCGGAGAGTACTTCCGTGACAACGGCAAGCACTCCTTGATCGTATTCGACGATCTTTCCAAGCAGGCCGTCGCCTATCGTCAGATGTCTCTTTTGCTTCGTCGTCCCCCTGGTCGTGAGGCTTACCCCGGTGATGTCTTCTATCTTCATTCCCGTCTTTTGGAGCGTTCCGCCAAGATGAACCGCAAGCTCGGTGGTGGTTCCATGACTGCTCTCCCCATCATTGAGACCCAGGGAGGAGATGTGTCTGCTTATATTCCCACCAACGTCATTTCCATTACCGATGGACAGATTTTCTTGGAGGCTGAGTTGTTCTTCAAGGGTATCCGTCCCGCCATTAACGTTGGTCTTTCCGTCTCTCGTGTCGGATCCCACGCTCAGACCAAGTCCATGAAGAAGATTGCTGGATCAATGAAATTGTACCTCGCTCAATACCGTGAAGTCGCTGCCTTCGCCCAGTTCGGTTCTGATTTGGATGCCTCTACCCAGTTCTTGTTGAACCGTGGAGCTCGTCTCACTGAGTTGCTCAAGCAGCCTCAGTACAAGCCTCTTCCAGTTGAGCACCAGGTTGCCATCGTCTTTGCTGGTGTCAACGGTTTCCTTGACAAGATCCCCGTCAACCGTGTCGGCGAGTACGAGCGTCAATTCATCCCTCACTTGGTCTCCAACCACAAGGACCTTCTTGAGGAGATCCGCAAGTCTGGTGATTTGAGCGCTGAGTCCTTCGCTAAGCTTAAGGATATTACCACTGAGTTCACCAAGAACTTTTAAGTTGGATTTTATGTAGTTTTTTTTTTTCTTTCCAAAGAATCGCTTCCCTTCTCCCAAATTTACGAGTAACTACTAACCTAACCTGCTAGAATTTTTTTTTGTCACGATTGTTTTATCGAGGCGACTCGACTCTTCCCTCCTCTCTCCTCCTATTTTTCATTAAAAATTAACATTTACTATAATACATGCTATGTGTGAAAACTTTGAGATCGAGCACACAGGGACTTGTTCTTGTTTAAAAGCCAAATGTTTGGTTACGCACAGCAAAAAGGAAGCAAGGTGGCCTCTGCACTTCATAGGAGCGCCCCATAAATCTATCTCCAGCGTCGTTTAGTATGGATCCATTAATTATTCGTCTTCAGAGATAACATCTATATTTTTATACCCAGATTGTTTGCCTACAACTCACAAGTCATGGTTATTCCAGGCATGAAACTTTGGCGAATTATTCTAGAAATTTATACAGGTTAATTTGTTCACGCTTGTAGCCAAGCCATGGTTAACTTCGATGCTTAGAACCTTGGTACCTTTTTCCATCGGTCCTTCTTGAAATGAAATGGTTTTTTTAATTGTGTGTTCCGAACACGGGCCTGCTGTTGATTTGGCCGCGCTTTCTGGCAATTATTCGTTATTAATTTTGTTTTTTTTACACAGGATGTTCGCTTTATTTATTTAGTATTAGGATGATAAATGGATTGATGCTGTTAATGTTACAGAAAAATAGTTGATTTAATGCAAAAGAGGGAAAAAAAAAAAAAAAAATGGAGTGTAGATACGCTTCCGATGCAAAAATAAAAAAAAATAAAAATAAAAAAGGATAAAAAGAAGGAATAGTTTCTTCACTTGAATTGCAGATGCTTTTCCTTGAGGTTTCCTCAAAACGTATGACTGTTGTAGACAAACGAGGATGCCCAGGTCACCAAGTCCTTGAAATTCAAGACAATATCTGTGGCACGTTGTTGGAATCCTCCTTGGGTTATCTGCTTCCAATCGTCCTCAAAACGTGGTATTGTAGTGACTCGTAAGCTCACGTCCACCATCGTAGGCGCAGGAAGCGGTGCCCTTACTTTTAATGGCACTATGACAGCAGGTGCAGGTCTTGCGGGTTGTGAGGGCACAGGTGCCACGAACGCCACAACATCAAGATCGGTGCTATTGTTACTATTGTCATTAGATTGAGATCGTTGATGATGGTATCCGATTTTCTCGGTTTTGCCAGAGGTAGAAGTGGAAGAAGCTGAAGAGGGGGGTGAGGAAGGCGGAGACGGTCGGGTATAAGAGACTTCTGCGACAGCTGCTTGTTGTGCATGATCAACATAATCGGGTGCTGATCCCGGTTGCATAGGGTATTGCGGAGGATGGGGGCCGGTTGAATATTCAGGTTCAGGTCTCATATAGGGATTTCCCAAATAGATTGGTTCATCAAACAGCTCTTCCTCGCCTTCTCGCTCTTCTTCTTCTTCTTCTTCTTCGTCTTCTTCATCATCATCTTCATGGTGAGCATGAATAATGTCATATAAGAGGTCATTGAGTGGGCCATCGATGACAGAATCATCATCACAAAAACCTCTTTCATTGACCATGTCATACAGGGTCAGAGCCTCGCCTTTGAGCTTTGTGGGGTCAATCCGGACAATACTTTTGGGTGGAGTGCATCGTTTACTAGTTGAGATACACATTACCAAACCTCCTTCATTATCACTACCATTAATGTGTTTCCTTTTACCTCCTCTTGCCATTTTTGCTCTTGTTCCTCTAGCTTTCCCAAAACTATCGTCCTTTTCTTTTGCCTCCACCTTATGGCCACAGTCGTTTCCATAGTCATTGTCGTTGGGGTTTTCTACTTCATTTTCATCTTCGTCGTCGTTGTTGTTGTCGTCGTCGTCATCGTCATCACCCTGTTCTGAGATGCTGTCTGCGTCTACGGAGACACATTGCTCGACAGAATCGTTGAATCTTAATTTGGGCTGACGATACTCCTTGATAATAGTACTTTCAGCGGCCTTATTGTGAGGCTCAATCTTGCGAGACAGTTTGAGATCAGATTGGACATGAAAGAGAGTATCGGCCTTGAATAGTTCAGAGGCCGTTTTCCGTTTCAGAACGGGCTTTAGCACCTTGGTATTGCTATTGGTACTTGAGGATCCATTGCCAAGGAGATTTTCCTTGTTGGATGAAGTGGGTATAGAGGCAACGGACTGTGTCCCGAAGCGGGACATGTCAAAATCGTTGATGGCAGCTTTGTACAACGGACCATACAGCCAAGTTGTATCACTGTCCTTGAGCCTAGAATGTGGAAGAGGAGATTAAAATATTATTAAGCGTTACAACATTGGTGAAGCGATCGATTTCAATTGTTCGGAGGGGGGGAATATGAAAAAATTATGGGGGAGCATGGGCCAATTCATCTTTTTGCGCGTGCGAAAAAAAAAAAAAAAAAAAAAAAAAAAGCTTTTCTTTCTCTTTTCTTTGTAAGCTTAGGTGTTTAAATGCGCGAATGCGCGACTGAGCATACCAATTCAATGCCTTTGGACTGATCGTTTTGAGGTTATGTCGTTGTTTAGCCCAGTTGCGCCAGGATGCATTCTCAAGTCGAAAACCATTAATCATTTGATGTTTCTGTTTGGTCATAAACTTCCATGAAGTTGCAATGTCTTCTTCATTCTTCCAGCCATTACCAAGGTAATCGATCGCAAAAACAGGTCGGTTAATTGGGATCAACCGTCCTGCATCAGTGTCGTCATGCATTGGTGTGGTTTTTGCCGACACTCTTGTAGAGGTTGGTTGAGCTGCAAGCTTTGCATGACGATGGCGAGAATGATGTCGACGAGAGCGGTCACTACTGCCACTGCTGACAGAGGAACTCCTGGAACGAGAGTGAGAGTGGCTATGACTTCGGCGGCTATGAGTGCTATGGGTATGATTATGGCCACTGGTAGTGGTATCGTTGTTATTGTTATTGCCCTGATGATGATGATGATGATGATGATGAGGAGGAGGAGGAGGAGGAGGAGGAGGGTGATGTTGATAGTGATAATATTGTTTATGATAATGTTGATAATAATGTTGGCTATATTGATGTTGTTGACCCCAGTCGCTCAGGTCTTGTTGTTGCTGTTGTTGTTGTTGTTGTTGTTGTTGTTGTTGTTGTTGTTGTTGTTGTTGTTGATATTGATGTTGCTGATATTGATGTTGCTGATGTTGTGTAGTGGCGACAGTCTTTAGGACAACATCAGCAGTGTCTAGTGGCATGGTCATTCTTCCCGCCAAAGAGACAAAAGAGACAAAAGAGACAAAGAAAGGAAAGGAAAGGAAAGGAAAGGAGAGGGTGAAAAGGACGTGGGATAGACTAGACTGCGGATGCAGATGTGTGTATGTTTGTGAGTGTGTGAAAGAGAAGAGAAGGAGAGAAGGGTGGAGAGAGAGGATGAAGGGTCCAGAAGCAAAAAAGTATGGAGACAAAACTCCGTTGTGCGTTCATATCTGGGTGTGTGGATGTTGCATGGATCATTGTATGGTTACAAAAAACTTTTTTATTTGTCGCCATTTCTGCAGCACCTTATCGTTCCATTTCTATCTGTCTTTGAATTTTTTTTTTTTTTTTTTTTTTTTTTTTGCATGCGAATATGCGTGCAATTCCAGGCACATTTCATAATCATGCGCTTCTCTCGGCCTTGACTTTGGGATCATCTTGCTTTGACGCGAATCCATCAAAAAAGAAACGGAAACAAAAAAAGCATTTTATTTCCATCTGTGAAATACAGTCCTTAATCACCATTTGAAGACCCGATTAGAGTATGAGACATGGGCGCAGCATTTTTTTTTTTTTTTTTTTTTCCTCTGATCTCTCACTTTTTATTTTTAAATGGACATTTGGGCTTTATTGACATACGTTCCGATGATGTATCCACAAGTTTTTTATTTTTTTCTTTTCTTTTCAAGCCTGCAAAATTGCATAAGAGAATCATTCCCCGCATCATGATTGATTCGCTTTTTGCCTTTTCCAGCTCAACCGAAAAATAAAAAATAAAAAATAAAAAAAAAATGAGTTTTTTTTTTAAAAAAAAAAAAAAAAAGTGGATCGGAAAGAATCGTACACAGACTATTTATTTATTGGGATTATGCTCACCAATGTGAATGAACCTCGTGAAGAAGAAAAATGCGCGAGCAAAGTTTGCCAGTTACGCTAGTTCAATGCGACATTGCTGCGTCATGTGTCAAAAAAAAAAAATAACAATAATAATCGCACAGACCATGCAGCAAATCATATCAACCCTGAAGAACTATTAAACAATCCTGTCAAATGCAAAGAACCTGTTCCATCTTCTAGTTCTTCCTGTCGATGTCAAATCAGTAGAGTGATGAAAGAATTGTCTTGGCTTGTCTCCATTCCACTTTCTTTTGTTTCATAGTTACTGTTCTTATTGCTGTTCCAGCCTTCGACGAATTTATCAGTTAATTCAGGCACAGCAAAGCCAAATGTCCACTACCAGTCACACCATTGGCGTAGACTTTGTACCTGAATATCCTTGGAAAAATGAAGTTGGTTGGGACAGGAAATATGCTGACCAATAAACGCAAGAAGAAAGTCTTACACACATCGTTACATTTTCAAACGACTCGTGCATTTGTACATGGTACATGTTCATACCTCTAATCTGTTAGTGCTGGTGAAGGAATGCTCAAAATTATATGTTTTTTTTTTTTTTTTTTTTTTTTTTTGTGCGACATCTTGTCCTTCTTCTCCGATCTTTCTATTCTGTATCTAGAGGGAATTTCCCACTCTTAATTGGAGGTGTTGTTTTCATCTGGATGTATATTTTATACTTTGATGAATGTAAAAGATCAGATATCTCTTTTCTGGTCCTTAATTGACATCTCTTGCCTTCAATTGGGCTGGCTATCCACTCTTTGTCTTGATCTATAGTGACCCTCAAATACTCACAAAAAAGAGGAAGCTATTTTGTAGCTTTGGTATTTGCGGCAAGGTTCTTTGGGACATGAAAGTATACATCATTGCATGCCTTTGTTATCTATCATCTTGCCCGTATGGAGAGAAAGTGGATGAATGAAGAAATGTATTCAAGATACACACAGCTCAACTTTCATCTTGAGCTCTCTTTTTTTTCTTTTCAAGTGAACCGTACTGGACTATTTCCCGGTTGGCTATTGTTGTTATATTAACCTTTAGGATCTTGATTCTCTACTTTTTTTCCTCCCTCTCTTCTGTTCTCCTTTCGACAGATTGTACCATCAGTCATCTCATTTCACATTGCTCAGCTCGACATCTCTTCATCATTTCCTTTTTATTTTATTACTCTATTGTGCGTAACAACTGTACAAGCTAAAACTTTAGGTAACTTCAATTGTAATTGGACAAGACGATATCCCATGCTCACGCTACCTCGAAAACGGAGTGGTAAAAAAAAAAAGAGGCATTACATGAAATCAGCCAAAAAAAAAGGAAAAAAAAAAAAAAAGTCAGCATGGATGTGTGGAGGATGACAAAGAAGTAAAAAAAAAGACAGAGAAACTTACTGTATACCTTGTCACCCAGGAACGCTCGAATGCAGGCAGATGAGACGAGACAAGTTGTGAAGCAACAATGTTCTTCCATCTTTTCCTGAAAAAGCAGACGTACAATTTTAACCACTCCCAAATACTCCATTCACTTTCACTGTTCTTAACTTAGCGTCTGATAACCTATTGAGCACAAATACACTATCAACAATCCTTCTTTCGTCATGACGGCTGGGACATCCGATACAGCCGTGGCAACAACCAAGGACGAAACTATCGTCTCTACAGAAAAGCCAACAGAGTCGACTGCTGAGAAAAGTGTTCCAACAAAAACAACGACAGAAGGATTGACTGCTGCTGATGCCATCGTTGCCATCGGGAATGATATCCTCGTCAATGGCACTGGGCACCAAAGCGGTACCGCAACACCCTCTGAGGCAGGAGAAGAAAAATTCTCGTTCAGTCAGGGTGATGAAAATGATGATGAATTTCAAGACGCTTTGGAAGACCTACCCATAACTCGCAAACTTCATCAGCGTCTGTCTTCATACTCGCCCAAGGTTCGTGAAACAGAGGAGTGGGAGCAGATCATGCAAGATTGGGAACGTGTCATGGCTGAAAAGCGAATCCAAGATGCAAGGCTGAATCTTGTAGAACAAGAGAACAAACGCATGAAAGCTCAGCTGATCGAGTCTGAATCTAGTCGAGCAGAACTGGAGAAGGAAACTCAGGAGCGGATCCAGCGGTTGGAGAAAGAAAATAAAGAACTGACACTCAAGGCCAAGGATCCTGCCAAGGAAAAGAAGGCGCTCATGAATCAGTTGGAGGAATCCGAGGCTGAAAAAGAGCTTTTCAAGTTGATGCTGGAAGAGACTGAAGGTGAAAAGAAGCGGATTGAATTGAAGCTCATTCAAGCAGACCGTGAAAAAGATCTGTGGACTCAAAAGGCGGAAAAGGTAACTGCCCTTAAGAACCGCCTGAGACTCAAATCGGCACAGTATTCACTCCTTTCCACCTCAATCTCCTCTTTATTGGCCCAAGGTATTGATGGCGCCAAGCCGGACAAAGAGCGCAAGCGCCTGATGGAGCAAGTCACCTCGTTAGAATCAGATCGATCCCGTCTTGCTGCCATGGTCAAGGACACGATGAGCTCCGCTGGTGATCACAGTACAGACTCTGGCCCGATTGATCCCTCTTCTCTCTCGAACCTGGAACTTGTGAAAGAGAACAACAAACTCAGTAAGGAACTTGAGATGTCCAAAGTTGAGAACTCACTTTTGCAACGTCGTATTGAGGCACTCGAAGTCACTCTGCATGACGTACGCGTTGCCTTGACCAGCTCTGAGACCCATGCTGAGAGTCTCGAGACCAAGAAGTACGAGCTACAGGACAAACTCGCGGCTGCTGAAGGTAGTCTGGACCGTGCTAGGATCGAGTCAACAAAGTATCAGGCTCTTCATAAGGAGCTACTCGAGAAGAATGATAAGCTTGATCGCGAGATTCAGATTATCAAAGCTCGGTTCGAGGCCAAGGACCGTGTCCTGGCTACCACTCAAAAGCAGCTTGCTGCTGCCAAGGTAGACGGTGGTCTTCTCAAGACAATCCGCCGCGAGTTAGAATCGGTTTTATTTGATTACAACACAGTAGTTCAGCATTTCATGGATATTCAGGTCCAGGCCATGGGCGCAAAGTCTCTTGCCAATACCCTGAAGCGTCAAGTAAACGAGTTACAGGCACAGTTGACACATTACCGCACAATGCTGCTCGGAATCAAGTCTTTCAATAACAATGACCCCATCAAGTCGCCTACAGTCACGACGCTACGATCGGAATTCAGGATACTGTTGGAGAAGATCCAAGAAGAGCAAAACGCTCAGCTCGATAAGGAACGCGCAGACAAATTCAAGGCCCAAGACTGGAACCGTAAACTGCGAATGGAAAAGGACTTTATGAAGCTCGAATTACAAAACCAGATTGAGAAGTGGAGACGCGTCTCAACCTACTGGGAGGACAAGTTCCGCAAGACCGCGAACGATTTGCATGAGGCTGTGACTACAGGTGTTAGCTCTGACATGCTGTATGAAATTGCTTCCACATCTAGTGGTAGTACCCCTACAGGAAGCAACCCGACATCAAAGCGTGTATCTGCTGTCCCCACTATAGTGTCTACCAGTCAAGGGCTTGATCTGGTTGCCAGGCACGCAATTGATGCAAAGCAACGCTCTTCCTCCTACAGCTCTTCATCATCTTCCGCTACCATTGTAACACCCAACTCTGGTGGAGCCAATGCTCTAGCCCCCTCATCTTCTGCATCTGCTGGATCGTCCTCTATCACAGATTCATTAACCGATCTTGTGAAACCATTCCTGAACCGTTCAGCCTCCGGCAATATGCAGGGACCTTCAACTCCTAGTAGCCGTCTGGCAGCCGCGGCGTCGCTTCGAACGCCGATTGCTGCAGGCTTACCAGCAAACGTGACAGGAGTGGGGGCGATGGGTAATACAGCTGTGTCAAAGGCGTCTCTGCGATCCAAGAGCATGGCGTCTTCTGCTATTGGTTCTGCTAGAAATCAGGCCTTGCGAGCAGGCATGCCTGATGCAGTGGTGACACTGGCTAGCCAGCATGCTCAATCACGAGCAAATTCGAGTATTTCTGACGTGGCACGATCTGTGGACAAGGCATTAAGTGAATCCGATCAACTCAAAGCGGATGTGCGACGCATGCTTAATCGCTAAGTAAAGGGAATCGAGTAGGATAGTAAAGACCTTAATATAAGGCTCCACATAGTTTTTAACATAGTCAATAAAATAATCCATCGAGTACTAATAGCTATCATCCTTTTTGAGCATGTCATATTCAAGTAAAATACAATAGGTAATAGATTGGCGGCGCGTAGTGGTTGCGGAACAAACTATAAACTACCTGGATATTGTTACATTGCAACTTATCAGCTAATCTGCAACAATGCCTTATTTACACAGTCATAAAAAGCTGATCAAAGGAGTACATTCTGGCGCGACACAAATTCATGTTGAAAGCCATTTTTTCTTCCCCTATGGTCATAGCGGCTGCATGGATATCGATAAGGTTTAACGATCGCCTACGCGTTCAGTTCTATTTTTTTTTTTTTTTTTTTTTTTTTTTTTCAATATCTATATATATATCTATATTTTTCTTCTTTTCCTTTTCTCTTTCTTCTTTCTTCTTTCTTCATTTCTAATTCTTTATTCATTTCTGCTCTGCTCTGTTCTCCAGGATTTTTTTTTTTTTTTTTTTTTTTTTTGAATACCCTATACCATACCCACCTATCAAAAAAAGCACACACACGTAATATCCACATGAGCTCTACAAATCGACTCAAGGCTCTTTTCCTCAATTTTAAAAAGAAGTCAAATGGTAAAGACAAAGGCAAAGGGCGAGCCAAAGATGATGAATATAGTTGGCTTGATTACGAGGAGGATCCAGAGGAAGTAGGGAAGACGGGGGGAGAGGATGTGGAGGACGATGATGATGACGAACCAGTGGAGAAGTTCACTTTCAAGAGACATCCATACATAGACTGGAAGAAGCAAGCTGCAGAAGAGCAGAAGGAGAGAGATGCGCAAGTGAAGCTTCTGCGGCAGCAGCTTCATGATCTGTGGGAGCAGGAGCAGAGACAGTACCAACAATGGTGCGAGCAGCGAAAGTATTTGCTAGAGCAAGAACAAAGGCAGAAGCGGTGCCAGCAATGGTACCGGCAGCAGCAACAGTATCAACAGCAGTATCAGCAGCAGTACGAACAGCAGTACGGGCAGCTGCAGAAGCTGAAGAGACGAGCGACAGAGCCGGCTTTGCCGTTGCCATTGTCTGAACCTCTGGAGACGCTGCAGGGCCTCCAAGAGAGTATCACAACCATTCAAACGAGCCTCCAGCAACTTGTGGTCGCATATGGCAATGCTCAAACGGTTTACGAGCGACAGCAGATCGAGCAGGAGGAGCTTCGTCTCCTTAAGCGCCTTCATCTTGCAAAATCAGCTCTGAGGAAAACAGGGTTGGGGCAAATCTTGGGTAGGAAGTTTTACACAACACGTCTAGTCCCTCTCTCCCCTTACCTCATTCCTTGCTTCCCCCTCTTCCTTTCCCTTGCTATCCTATTTAATTTAAGTGAAATTGATTTATCTTAAGACTTGGCTAATTCCTCTTTCTTTATGTCACTATGTTACTAAGTTTGAGTACAATAGGAAGACAAAAGGATGTATTAGCCCCGATATCTGTGTTTCCTAAAGAATTACGCGTCAGCTCCTATATCAACAAAGCAGAAAAAAAAAAATTACGCGCGATCTGATAAAAGCAATTTTTAAATAAAATAAAGGCTTTCGATCTTTTCTTTTCTTTTTTTCTTTTTTTTTTTTTTTTTATTTTTTTTTTTGGAATCTCTGAAGCCATCCCATCATGCTGAAGAAGAAACACCAAGCATTGAAATATGATTTTGTGATTATCTACTCTTTCGATTCTTTATCTTTCTGTTTACTTTTTTTTTTTTTTTTTTTTTTTTTTTTCTTCTTCCTCTATTTTCTTCCATTGCTGCTCCTGTGCGTTCCCTAGTCTCATATCCTTTTTCCTTTTCCCTCTTGCCTTGTATATCCCTCCCCGCTCTTTGCAACGTTGCAGCACCAGGCAGTCTGTACACATGAATCTTTCAGTTCGACTGAAAAACTTGTGGTTTAGTTTTAAGAAAAAGCGAAAAGAGAAGCAGCGGAAGGATCATGGAAATGAGGAGGAGGAGAGGAAAGGAAAGTGGGAGGAGCAGATAATAGATGGCCAAGTGAATGATGCCAAACAAGAGCGAGAGGAGCATTTACGTCTACAATTACTGCTACTACAAGAACAAAAGAAACGAGCTAAAGAGCGACCCCGAGATTTGCTGCTGGAGCCTCGAGGGATGAGTGAATGTCTTCAACAAAGACTGTTCAATATCCAACGGGAGCTTCAAAATCTTGGACCTCGATATAACCGAGCCCGGACAGACCATGAACGACGAAAGATTGAACAGGAGGAGTTCCTTCTTCTCGTACGCCTTTATAAAGTAAAGAAAGTGCTTCAGAAAACCGCTCCGTGCGGCACGCCCTGGGTAATACTCCATGTTTGTATATCAGATGACACTGTTTATAATTTTTAATGGCACGATAAACTGACCTGACTGAACATCATCATCACTTGCTTTCGTTACATAGTTCGAATACAGTGACTTGAATGTTGCAGAATGAGTTCCTGTGAGGGATAGATAATAATAACATGCGTTCCTTTGGAGGACACAAAGCCGTGTTTTTGATTGAGGAAATACATAATTGGTCGTTTATTGGTTGCTGCTTAATTTACCATGTCATTTCTTATCCAGTTAAAATTAAAAAGGCTAATTTAAACCCACGTACGATAACACTCTCATTATTGAGGATGTCTCTATCTGTCATCTGTTTCCAAAGCTTGTCTTAGACAAGCGATGAAAGTATTGGAGTCCGTTGCAGCCATGCTATGACGGCTTGTTGTAGCTGATGGTCAAGTACAGGAACTTTTTTTGTGCTTGTCAATCGAAGAACACAAAATAATACACACAGAAAAGACTGAACGAGATCAGTCAACACCCAAATGGCTTTGCGAATAAAGAACCAGAGTCTCGTGTGCTACTCGTTTCAAAGGATGGTGGCAAACCCTCCAAGCGACCATAATAAATAATTCTGGCAGTAACGGTTTTATTATAGTTCAGCCTTTTACCTATTTTTTTCTATCGAAAATTCATGATTCATAATAAATACATCTTTCGTTACTTATTTTAGCCCTATGCACATTCCACGCGTGCTTTTCCCAAAGTACAGCGAGTAGTTTACTCTCTGAAAATGATATGAAAGCTTTGCTGGTTTGGTGGCAAGGGGATAGTTTTACGACTGCTTTTAGTGAGTCGATTCAGGAAAACACGATCCTTGATGTTCATATGCGTAATGAAGGTGAACGTTGCTGCGTTTCACAAGTCCGATCTTGATATTATTGGATAAATTTGAGCAATACCATGCATGCTGGGGCCTGAAAGATGATTGACCATATTTGAATAGGCCAGAGGAAAGTCCGGTAAAGACTCATAGCAGTTCTGATGTGCATATTGACCATCAAATTTGGGATAGGGGTTAAAAGCCTAAGCGGGCCATCTAATAGCTAATTCCTACCAAAGTTTCCTAGTTTCCTTCAGAATAGCAAAAGCTCGTTCATTTTTACAAGATAAACGGATGATTAGAAGCCTTGGAGCTAGAGCAGCTATAGTTTATTACTATGTAAATACGTATAGTGTATTCTTACTTCTTAACTGAGTCCCACTCCAAGCTCAAATTGCTACAAACTTCGAGCATAGACAAAGGTCTTGCTATTTGGGTTCCATAGCGACCCTTGCATCTTGTTCTTGTAACATTCAAGAGTATTGAACTATTTAACCTTCGGGATAGCTTTGATATCGATGGTTATTTCAGCATTGTCATCAAAGTTCCTGGCCTTAAAGCAACGGTTGCCTATCCGTAGCATGCGTCGTATATAAAGCTCGAACATTACTCCTTGTTCTCTAGTTGTACCTTTGATGAGCCGATGCAATATATAATCCAAGTATTGTCGTCCGCTGCATCATACACCTTTTCCATGATATAGTTAGAAGCCCATATTAATCGAAATTTGCTATCATCTTCTATCGGATAACGGTGAAGAAGTCGGCTACTGTAATATGGTGAATCTTTATCCTCTTCAAAGTATTTAAGTGTCATCAATGGGTCGTTCAGGCTGTCGAGAGCTTGCTGAACGCGGCCAAATGGATATCTTTCTGCTTCTGCTCTCACTACTTTTTTACAAAAATCCTCGGGGAGTAGAAACTCAGTATTTTCAGCGGCATCTCGAGGATATACCTTGGCACTCCACCAATCAACTCATACAGGTGTTCCGTAAGATCCTCAGAGACCTCTTGAAAGGCTCCAATCTTGCCTCTGCATTCTTTTAACCCATCTAGCTCCCACGGAGCCATGTAGTGTATCCACGCTACTCTCTTCTTGATTTCTTTATACAGACTGTCACCAGAATACAAAGTTCTTGGTGTCACTGAAAAGATAGTCCTGGCATCCAAGCGTTATGGTGCTGATGAGCTGTCGACTAGGAACCAAGTATTACGTAATTGCGAGAAGGGCATGAAATCCTCTATGTCCTCCATATCGAACAACAGATCGTCCACCGAAACCATAACGCATTGAAGTTTCCTTTTTCTGGATGATGATAATAGATAGGTCTTCCTCATTGTTAGTGGCAAGCATCCGAATCGAATAGACCTATCAGAAAAGCTTGTATATAATCTCATTCTTCCTTAATCTGATTATGACGAGTCGAACACGCCAATTTCAAATTACCCTCGCATCCTCTCTCTCCACACCCAAAAACTCACCAAAGTCTAAACACTGTAGTCTAGGAATAGAGTCAAATTAATAAATATATTTAAACATGGCGTGTCTAGCTAGCTCAGAGTGAACAGATTTATTTGCATCAATGTATTGGATGAGGAAGTACTTCAAAGGCGTAAAGGATACAGCCATAAGATTTTCCATGAAGCTTAAAATGATGATACAGAGTTATATGACAATGGCAAGTCATTAACGGATACATGATGAGGTAACCAACGTTGAAAGGATATCCTCACCAGCTGTGTATGCCTCAACCGCTCCCCTGTCAATTCTCGTCCTAGTTTCTAGTGTCGCTTGCCCATCCTACAATATTTAATTGGAAATGATTATCCAGTAAATATTGAAACTGTGCAATGATATGGCAAGGCCTTTGAAGTTGGTACATCGTTACAAAGACGCCGCTTTTGCCTTCATTTTCGGCGGAACAAGAAGACAGCAGATCAATCAAAGGGTGAATGATGCGATTTCACCAGGATGACCCACAGCTTGTAGGCTTTTCTTTTGCAGGAGGCTCCGCGTGCAGGATGATGATGCTAGTTCATTTGAGTGGCGCTGAGAGACTGGGGGAGACCCCAATGAAAGTGCTCGGAGCGTCCGGGGCCACACTGTTTCTCCTTTACATCCTTCGACTAAAATCTTAAAAGGCTAGTTCCTGAACATTGTATCAAACCAAACAGCATACTTGCAGCTTTATGATTGCTTTCCTCCAAAACCCCAGTATTAACCCATTGACGCTTAGGACGTGAGCAGCTATTACTGCTGGCGGATCGTGTGCAGATTGATCAACCTTGTTAACCAACACTTATGATATCTCTCTTTTTTTTTTATATTTTTTTTATAAAAAAAAAAAAGGTCTATGTTTCATTCTTTTAATAATAACAGCTTCACCAAAGAGTCTTCGTTGCAAGGTACCCAGTGGCGAGAGAAACGATCAAGGATGAGAAAAAGTTGACCTGATGGTTATCTAAAATATCAAGTCCAGAAATGTCTTTGACCTCATCACCCTTTTCTGCAGGCTTATACGTGATCACCTTATTCTTGGTCGAGTACTTGGATTTTTGCATAGTCGCTCCCATAAGTGAATCAAGCTAAGGTGTTCGTCGCAAAAAAAAAAAAAAAAAAAAAAAAAAAGTAGACTAAAGTTAGAAGGGTTTGCAGTAGATCTTTCTTTTTTAATATTATTATTATCCTTTCTCTCCTTCTACTCTTCTCGGTTATATCGTACCAAAGATCCAAAAAGCCCTGCTCCTGCTCCCGCAGCAATGGTCGCGAGAAAGAACCTGGGATCTAGGGATGATACAAAAGTTTCCAGTCCGCTCCATCCTTTGCTGAATTGCCATAAGCTAGGAGTTTCGAATGCTAATTGAACAATCATACTAAGAGTAGCTGTGATACCGATAAAGTAACCACCAGCAATCGAGGCTTTCAATCCCAAAAATGAAACACCTCCATTCGTGCCAGGAGGAACCTTCTTGAAGGTCGTGATTAATGTTGGCCATGACTTGTTTAAAATTCCCAATTCACTTGACCACTTTTTTTTATAAAAAAAAATAAAAGAATAATAATAAAAATAAAATAAGTCTAACCAGTCCTTATGTCAGTTCGAATGTTTTTTTCTTTTTCTTTTTCTTTTTCTTTTTCTTTTGGTCTTACAGTGTCCCCGTTGCAGCAGGCATAATGTCCAATGTACGAAAAGAGTATGAATGTAGCTCGTGGGTCTGTGAAGAAAAGGGTTGCAGGTCGAGATTCTGTTGTCCAATAGATATACTGGAAAGCCAGTGCCAATGCTGTGCCTGTAGCGCCATTTGAAAACACTTGTGTAGCTGTTCTACCACCGCCCTCTTGATGATCTTCCTAATGTTGGATTGAAAAAAAAAAAAAAAAAAAAAAGTCGTCAGTAACAATTGAAAATTGTATTGCATTTTATTATCATTATTACTGTTAATACTATTAATTCGGACTTACCTCGAGTGTCTTCTTAATCTGTGATTTGTACTATGTAAGAATTATAATATAATTTGAAAGCGCAGTTAGTCGACTGGTAAAAAATAAAAAAAGATAGATCGATAGAATAGCTGGACTTTTCAAATTATCTATTGCTTGCTATTGCTATATTCATATAGCGCTGTTGTTGCTATTGTTGCTATTGTTGTCATTATTTTCTTTACCTTGGTCATCCGACTTGATGACAGATAAAAGGCCAAAAGGACAGAGCCAAAAACATAAGGAGAGTTGGTGAAAGTGCCCATTCCAACTACAGTGGCTGCCAGAGCACCTGATGGGGCGAGTGATCTCTTACTAAGACCATGATAAGCGAGAAATGCACAGAGAGCTGCTGGTTTTAGTAAACTAGAGACAGCCATCCCCGAGGGTAGAAGCGAATTGCTCGAGGACATGGAAGAAGAATCTGGATCTTTATATTTTCTTTTGATGAATGATTTAAAGCATGAGACAGAAAAAAAAAAGAATTTAAAGTAGGGACAGTTATATCCGTGCTGTAGCACAGACTTTTTCGTGTACGGAAATCTCATCGTATATTTAATTGCAGCACAGCTTTTTACTAATTTTTTGCTTCTAACCGAAGTTACTGATGAAGAGTATCCACTTCTCCAGCCTGCTCTGCCAACTGATAGAACAAGGAGTTTTTCCTCTTGAGCAACTCCTTCGGTGACTCGTACTCCTGTACTCGACCCTTTTCCAAAACCAAAATTTTGTCCGAATCCATCACAGTCTTGATTCGGTGCGCAATTGTCAGAATCGTCCTGTCTTTGAACTCCATACGGATGGTTTTTTGGATCAAATCATCCGTCTCTACATCCACAGCTGCAGTAGCTTCATCCAGTACAAGCACTTTAGTCTTGCGAAGCAATGCGCGAGCAAGGCAAATCAAGGAGCGTTGGCCCACTGAGAAATTCTCGCCGTTCTGAGCCACCTCAAACGACAACCCACCAGCAAGCGATGAAATATAATTCTTTAGATGCGCACGTTCCAAGGCCTCCCATAGATCTTTATCCGTGCACTCCTCAAAGGGATCAAGGTTCTCTCGTACTGTACCCGCAAATAAGGTTGGGTCCTGTGGGATGATCGATAAATGTTGACGCAAATCCTTTAACCCAAGAGTTGAAATATCAACACCATCAATCTCGATCGATCCACCACTACCGGCATTCATGTATACCTGATGATCGACTGGCAAGGATCCATCATTCGAAGGATCGCTAGCTCGAGCCCAGTAACTATCTGCAGCCTCAATGATCCTGAAGAGAGCCAATGTTAGAGAAGACTTTCCAGCCCCGGTACGGCCCACAATACCAACTGACTCTCTTGGCTCTACCGTAAAGGACACATCTTTAACAACCAAATCGAGTCCTTCGCGATAGCGCGCACTATAGTCCTTGAAGACAACCCGTCCCTCGGCTGGCCAATTCGGCGGCAAATGCACATCGGTCTCTACAGGAGCTTCAGTTGGCTTTTGTGAGTATTCATCGACACGCTCAACCGAGACCAAGATGTTTTGAATCTCATTCACAGTTCGGACAAGATAGTTAATGAATCCAATCATATTGAGTGCGTAGCTCAGTGCCAGGCCCACAAGACTGGGATCCAGCTTGTCGGCATTCATTACAGCCAAAGTCGCAGCAATGTAGACAGTTATAGCTCCCAAGCTCTCAAGTCGAATCTGGAGCCATCGGTTGTTGAGATTGTAGGCGTAGTAACGATTAACGATCACATCTTCTCGCTGTTCATTTTGATGGATGAACCGCTCCTGAAGACCACGCATCACACGGATAGTAGAGACTCCTGTTAAGGACTCGCTAAAGTGTTGGTATAAAGGCGACTTGGACACAGAGTTTAGTCTCTTCAAGGAAGAGCTGCTCTTGATAAAATAGTATTGGATGCCAAAATAGACCATCATTAGTGGCGGGATCGCAACCAAGAAGATCGGAGTTGAGTAAGCAATGACAAAGAGTGTGCCTCCAATGATGGACATGAAGGCGAAAAGATCGTTCCACTCCTCTGGGAGTTGAGTGTCAATTGCATCGATATCGGACGAGAAGCGGTTCACAATACGACCCATCCTTAATATTAAAATTGCGGAAAAAATCGTTTTATAAATAAAATAAAATAATTAAGAACAGGTGCTTTAACAATTCCATGGTAACCGTTTTTCTTTGGGAAATATACATATAAACACGCATATTGGAGGAGAGTAGTTCGCAAATCCAAAGAGACTTACGGAGTGACATCAAAGAAGCTCATAGGCAATCGCAAGACACGAGTCAAAAGGCGATCAAAAAGAATCTTGGAAGCCCGGATACCACACACAACTTCAGTCACATAGTTGACTATAACATCCAGGCACATATACAACGCAACAAGCTGCCCGTAGCCGATCAGATAGTACGAAGCAGGGCGGGGCTCCTGTCCTTGCTTCTCTCTGTCTTCTGTATCGCTGATCCAGTAACGGAGCCAGAAATTAGTACCGATATGGCATCCCTCCGCCAAAATGAAGAGGATAATACAGAACATTGCGTTGCGATAGGAGCTACAACAATCACAACAATCACAATATGTTCATATAAAAGGTTAGTACAAGTTGAGAAATAAACCAATGCATTCTACGCATTTCTGTAGATGCACATTGAGAGATCAAGTATATAAATGATAACTTACGCTGCCTGTGCATAGATTGATAAAATCTTCCAGCTGACCCTTCCGACTTCCATCTTTTCATCCGCAATCAGCTCACCAGAGTCATCCGTCTCTTGAATACCATCTTCTCTAGCTTTTGAAGCGATGGGTTCCTCTGCAATTGTATTGCGTTCACTAGCATCGCCTTCAGAATCACTATAGATGTCGACGTTGCTGATGCTACTATTGGCAGATGCAATAGATTCCTCGGTAGCCGCAGTATTATCACCATTCTTATTAGTATCTTTTTTACCAAGCAAGAGCTCTCTCAAGGTGGAGTGCTTGCTGTTGCTGGTGCTGTTACTCTTCCTCTTTTTCTTTCCTTGAGTCGAGAAATCTTTGATGAGCTGATAGAATGCACCGCGTTCCTTCATGAGCTGCTGATACTCCCCTTTCTCCGAGATGGTACCTCCCTTGAGCAACACAATCTGATCAACGTGCTCTAAATGGTGAATTCCATGGGTCACCAAGAGGCGAGTCTTGTTCCTGAGTAGGCCTTCAGGTCCGACCAGGTTCTGCCATAGATGTTGGCTCACATGGGCATCCACAGCACTCAATGGATCATCCAACAAATAGATGTCTGCATCTTGGTAGGCAGCACGGGCCAATGACACCCTTTGCTTCTGACCACCTGAAAGGTTGATACCACGTTCACCAATCTCGGTCATATCACCTGCAGCTAAAATCTTAAGATCAGGTTGAAGACCCGCTGCATATATGATCCTATCGTATTTTTCCTGATCAAATGGTTTTCCAAACAAGATATTGTCCCGGACAGTCGCATTGATAATCCATGCTTGTTGAGGCACATATGCGATATCGCCATAGACTGCGACAACGCCCTCTAGTGCCACTTTATACATCTCCCCCATGACAGCTGCGAGCAAGGATGATTTGCCTTGGCCAATACGACCAACAATAGCAGTCAAACTACCCTCCGCGATCTGGAGTGTGATATTGGATAACGTAGGCCGGACAGTAGGCAGATTCCTCGCAGTGTTCGCAAGGAGAGGCTGTCGTTCACCTTCGTAAGTCTCAGTTGTTCTCGCTGAATCATCAATGGCGGATTCCGCTGGCTTCTCCCATGCAAATGTTCCATTTTGAATATCGATCGCCAAAGCAGGATCTCGTTGGCCCTGCGAGCCGTCGCTGGATGGTGGCTGTCGACTATATCGACGGACCGTCGTAGTGTCGATTTCCTCCATCAACAAGAATTTCTGAATACGTTTCATAGCTACATTTACTGCAATGGCTTTAGAGATCATATGGGCAACCAATCCAAGGGGTCGATTCATGATACCGAATAACGCAATACTGACGAACACAACTTCGGATGTCATCTTCCCAGGAGTCATATTAGGCCCTCCAACGGTTGAATACACCCAAAACGTGAACAATGCCATCAGAAGCGTAACTGATGAGAAGACAATTGTTAAGAGTGACCGAATAGTAGCAAGGCCCTTAAGAGCCTTCAGTTCCTTTGCACGCAATGCATCGATCTTCTTGCGGAATGGCATTTCCCTAGTAGAATAAGTCAGAGCACATTTTTTCCGATTAGTTTTTTTTAAGGGAAGAAAAAAAAAAAAAAAAAAAAAAAGTAATAGTAAAGAAATATTTCAATTGCTTTTGATTTTGAAGTAAGTACCAATGATAAAGCTTAACGATCTTGATGTTAGAAAATAGTTCAGTCATAAGACGAAGTCGGCTGTCCATCCATTTGAGCTGATCATCCTGGAATCCATTCATGAAGGCAGCCATCTTGGTTTGAATAGGTACAAGGATGGCAAAGACTGCTAGACCTGCAACAAACGACCATCCAAGCAACCGGTAGAGGAGGTAGATCGCAATAGTAAGCTCGAAACTTTGAGTATATATATAATAATAAAAAATAAAAAGTATCAAATTAAAGAAGGTTACAAGGCAGTTTCAAATGGGAGGGTAAAGAGAGTACTTACGGTACAGATATCAGTAGAGGCAAGTATGTGCTGGCTTCGATCCATTTTTCTGCATCAACTGCCATGTGATTCGTGATCTCACCCAAAGTACTCGATTGCCTGGCCTTTGGAGACAGTTTCAAAGCCTTTCGGTAGATCATTGCAACAGTGGCAGCGCGAGCTTGGATTCCAAGCTCTATGTTGAGTAAGAAAGAATAACAAAGGATGAACGTATTACCAATGTTGGAAAGTAACATGGTGGCCGTGATCGCCAACCCAATCTTGAGGGGCGGCGGCGCTCTTCCTTCCTGTACCGCAGTTGAATAATCTTCAATGAACCGAAGCAATTGTCCAAACAAAAGTGGTGAAGCATAAAGCATAGAGAACCCCACGAGACGAACTAACAGCATGAAGGCGGTCTCCTTCTTGTATGCACGCAAGACTGCCCAGAAAAAGGAGGGCTTCTTTTGTTTCCTGGCTGCGTTTGTTTTAGCCTGTTCCCAGAATGCTGCCACAAGATCATAGTTAGGCTTGGTACGAAGTTTAGGTGGGTCCATGTTGATCAGATCATCACCAGTCAGGGGTCGAGATGCACCAAGTGAGATGATTCGCCCATAGTATGCAAAAGAGAATTGGTAGAACAGGTTCGCTTGCTGCTGATCGCTCAAATTCTCCTTCTCTCGTGCAAGGCGTTGCACCCGAGTGTGCTGACGAGGGAAGGCCTCAAAAAAGAAAGCAATTGCCAGAGCAATAGTATAGTATTTTATGAAATTGAAGAGCATCACAGGCCCAGCATCGTCTTGGTCTCCGAGATACCCAGAGGAGATGTACAGGGTAGCCACACTGGTCAAAAAGGAGATTAGGTAGAATGTGAACAGATAGTCCGAAGAGCGGGACTCGTATCTGTGTTCAAGTCTGTTGAGCGGAATGGCAGTTATCTATTATTCAATATACCAATGTCAGTATGAGCCAACCGATCGGATCAGTTGGGGCAAAAAAAAAAAAAAAAAAAAAAATTAAAAGGAGGTTAATTGTTTGTAAATATAAAATTCAAATGATTCCGTTAGCTCTTTCATCAATACTGTGGCATAATTTTTTTTTTTAAGCAGCAAACGTTACCCATGCTATAAGTGTCAGAATGACACCTACAAAGAGTCCATGGTTCCATCCGGTCGTGTTGCTGCTCAAATTAACAGCCAAGATCAGCAAAATTACACATGCTGTGGCGATGAAGAATTGTGATGGCCAGTAAATCAAGTTTGTGCGGCCATATCCGTGGGGCGTACGATGCAGTCGAAGCCAACGCATTCGGATGAGGAAAGTAAAGAAGGCGATCACAGCGGGCAGACCAAGTAAGGTCAAGAAGCCACCATGATCCAAGAGGAAATCAATCCAAACCTTTGTGGGATCATTGAAAGTGAGAGTGTCCGCTGAGGAAAAACGAGAGATTGAGTGTAAAGATGGCGGGTCGAGACGTTTATGGTTCCATATAGATGGATCTGTCATTGGATGGGAAAAAAATGTAGTACTTGTTTACTTGTTTGGCGCTGTTGCTGGCTGTTGCTGCTGCTATCGTCAAGATGTTGAAGTTGCTGCAAAGTTTGGGGTGCTACCAAGACCGAATGATACTTTCGTGAAGAGAAGAAAAAGAGAAAATAAAAGAAAAAAGCCCTTTTATTTATTTTCGATCCGCAGCCATTTTTTACAGCCACAAAATCTCCCGCAGCAAGTAAAACAAATTCGCAGCAAAAGGTTCGATTCAAAAATACGCTATACCTTAGTCACTTCAACTCATATTCTCTCACTAAAAACATTTAATCAACCTGTAAACAAACATCCCATCTCTCCCACGATGCGCCGTGGGCACAAATGACTAGGCTCACAACATCCAAGCGCCGCGTTCTGAGTATCAGCGATGTGTAGTGTACATGTTTGGGCGTGGCTTTTGGAATATTGTAATAGCCGAACTCATTGGAGCAAAACTAAACAAAAATATCCATATCTCCTGAAGTCCGGTCCACCCTTATTATTTTACTTTTAATTATGGCGCATTGGCTTGGTTAATTTATAACTATCATGAGGCTTTTCAGAACAAAAAGTATATTATATACTGCGCTATTTTTTTTTTTTTTTTTTTTTTTTTTTTTAAGAAGAGGGATCTTTAGTGCCATAGTCGGATGGCTCTGGATTGGGCTCCGATAGCTGTGGCGAGGATGACAATGTTGATATAACGGCTGAGGATGGACCAGCATTGAGTGCATTGACCTCTGCACGCGAAGGGATGTCATCAAATTGGTCGACTTTTGCTTTTAAGAATCTAAACACTTGCTTCACCGCAATTCCAGGCACAGAGTCGTGGTCAGAAGCTATTTTTTTTAAAAAAAAAAAAAAAAAAAAAAAAAAAAAAAAAAAAAGCATTAACATACTGTTAGTATTGAGATGCGTATACAAAAAAAACTCCCTTCGGCTGAATAAGATACATTACTGGCAACAGTTTCCTCATTCGTAGAAGCCACGTCAAGTGATTGCTTTCGGAATGATCGCGAGTGCTATTTTGATGATATATCCCAACCGCCATAATGAACATTCCAAAAAAAAAAAAAAAAAAAAAAAAACATAAGCTTTATATCAAAAGATTCAGCCAGCTTTTTTTTTTTTTTTTTTTTTTTTTCATTTTCCCCTTCTCACTTTTGCAAACCATTCTCCTTCAGGAGTACTTGGATCAGCTCTACTAACTTCCCCATCTAAAAAAGCAATAGCTTGCACACGCTGGTTGAATTCTAGCTCTGAAGAAGAAAAAGAGAAGAGAGAGAAAAGGTGTTAAACCAATCATGCTTTCAAAGTTCATACAAGGTTTATAAGGCTTTTTTATACCAATCTTACTTATGGCCTCATACAGATCCAGCGTAGCAGTTGTGCCTGCACTAAATGCAACAAATATCACGCAGTTGGCAATGGACTTTCTGGAAATGAAAGGAATTGTTTGTTTTTTTTAGATTTACGAAAATCTAAGTACCAGTAAGAAACAAATAAAAAATATAAAAAGTACCGGATTAAATCTTCCCAGACGCGTTGGACATGCAAAGCACGTGTTTTACGGTTCTTTGGTTTCCCTTCGTCATGGTTTGGATCACATAGGATAATAGCCCATTTTTCTGCTAGAGCCCTTTCGATGTACGGAAACTGGGTTGCTAGTCCCCATTGCCCCCGTTTTCCGTTCGTAAACAGTTTTCGGGCCCATTGTCCCGGAGGCACTTCTCCTAACCCTTGAACAATGACCATGAGCTTTGGATTTGAACGATAGTCTTTTCTGGACGGATGTGGAGATATAACAAAACGAAAAAAAAAAAAAAAAAAAAAAAAAAGGACACAATAAAGAACAGCCATTATCAAATCAAAAGACTTTTTGTTTTCATAAAAACAAAAAAAAAGACTCAAATAATTTACGTTGCATAGACTTGTGGGCAGCGGGGGCCACGTCTAACTACTGTTTTAGCTGGAAGCTTCAAGTCTAAGGTTGCAGGAACATAAATCGGATAAAAATCAAATCTCCGTTGAAGTTCGTCGAAGATATGTCTCCTAATCATCACTGAAGTTGAACAGAATATAAGGAAATGATCTCGATAATATTTAAAAAAAAAAAAAAAAAAAAAAGATCTTTACGTTGGACATATTCATAGTGTTCTTGCTGCGATTCAAAATCAAAAAAGCGTCCTTGATAAGATCCAAATGAAATAGAATAATATTGTATTTCCTTTAGTAACAGAAAGGTAAATGATTTTGTCTTCTTATAACCTTTTAACGATATTGCAGCGTTTTTTGTGGACTGTACCCTCCTTGTCAACAAAATCATTGTTCTGATCGAAATGCCATCCTTTCTCAATATACCAATCTGGGCTTTCTTCTTCTTCTGAAAACGACATGTTGACTTGTCCTTGCTTATTATTATTATCAGTGGGAACTCTTTGAATGTTGAGCAACAAAAAAAGAAAATCAGTTTGCCCTCTTTTATTGAGATGAATGAGAGCAGTCACATGATAGGAGGGGGCTTAGACCAAGAGCGTTCTTTTTTTATTGCTTCTGAGGATTTAAGGTCCTTTACTCTCTCCATTGATAAATAGATATATATTTACATATGAATAAAAAAAAAATAAAAAATAAAACTAAAATCTGGATATTATTCAAGGGAGAAAAATAGAGAAAACTACAAAAGTAAAATACAAAAAAGGTCCCTCTTTCTTTCATATTAAAATTGGGAAATAACAGCAACGCACCCGACCAAGCCCACGGTGGCCAGCATGCGTTGCCAAGTATACTTTCTGTAAGGGATTCCAAAGAACCGGAAGTGATCAATGATGCAAGAAAAGATCAACTTTGCAGAGATGATAATTGCAGTAGTGGTGCCGGCGCCCAACTTGGGGATGGACAAGATAGTGATGATCACAAATGTGGCTCCCAAAACACCTCCTGTCCAAGACCACCATGGGGCCTTCGACATCATCAACATCAGGTTGGATGGTGGACGGCCTCGTACCTCGATCAAGAAGTAGAGGCAGGACGTAAGAGCACCTATAAAACAACAGATGTTTCGGTTTAAGAGTTAGTTTGAAGATCGAAACCTTTATATTGATCCATTTGTTAAAAAAAAAAAAAAAAAAAAAAAAAAAAAAGTGCCAATCAGACTGAAAGCAGGTGATCAAGCGAATTATTACCAATGCAGAAAACAATTGTGGAGGACAGTCCCTGGCCAGTATATTTGCCCAGCTGGGCGTTGATGGCTCCTTGAGATGCGGTCGAGACACCACCGATCACACAGAGGAGTGAACAGAAGATGACGCTGTCAAGGATAGACATGCGCTTTTGCTTGATGGATCGTACAGAGGCTTGCCTCGAGACCACTTTGACATCAGAGAGCTCTGTGACTTGTGAGGCATTGTCATGATGCATTGTCGGGGTTTGAGTGGCCATGACGGTAGAGGGAGGAAGTATGTGTATGAAGTTTGATAATTATTCGATAAATTAGATCAGAAAGAAAGGAAGATCTCCAACGACGATCAGGGTGGTTAAAAAAGGGATATGAAGAATTTGCTTGATTAAAAGATGAGTAAAGAAAGCCTTGATCCTGAATCAGAGTGTAAATATGGTATCAATGTGAATGATGAGGATCAGACAGACAAAGAGTGGAGAGGGACAGACGTATCTGTTGTCAGGAGAAGTGGAAGGATGGTCAGTGGAAGTAAGTTGGAGGGAAAATGAAGAGAAAAGAAAGAGGAGAATTGTTGTCGGAGTCTGCGTACTTATAGTCGCTTCTGAACTGCTCAACTCCATGCACAACAGCAAAAAACACGGGCAGAATTTTTCATGTTGCACAGGCGGAACACATGCATCTCTTATATAGATAGACCCTGTTATTCTATTGATATATATATACAAATGTTTAACCAGTACATGTTTGAATCTGGGACCATTTCAATCCCAGTCTAATCGAGTCCAGTATTATGAGTTTATATTTTTGTATTTATCCATATTTATCCATGTGATATGTACAGTTTATGAATGCTTATGGTTCCTGCTGTACTGAACATGTCATGGCCATGGAGTATATACCTTTCGTCCAGTAAAAAATGACTAACTGCTCTTGTTCAGGAAGGCCGAGAGGCAGAATCAGACTCGGCCTAAATATTCCCCGCATTTTTTCTTTTTCTCTTTTTTGGTTTGAATATAGTTTCTATTCTATAATCTTATTTTCGGTATTCATTCTATAGTGCAGAGTAAGAAATGAAAAAAAAAAAAAAAAAAAAAAAAAAAAAAAAGTAGATCTTAAAGCCTTGACAGGGACTTTGGATATGCCTGAGGAGCATTAACTATCTATCTTGAAATGTCCATGATGGTACATGTACCCTGTGCCATGGTACGGGTTGCAGCAAGACTTTGATGATGTGGAGAATAAGAGAGGATTCGCCGCATTTTGATTGTCGTATAGAACCAATGTGGGTTCGTGAATGTTGTGTAATGATATATTTATCGTCTATAGTAGTATATATATTTATATCGCCAATTTTATTTGGTCACGATATATACCTTATATTTTTAATCTAAAAACGATGATTGAATTGTTCTGGTGGCATTTCACTACGTGACGGACTTGCAACAATACTCGCAACAAGCGAGCCAATTGGCTGCCAATACACTCGAAAGTATTCAAAAAATATAAGGTATCATGACCAAATGAAACGGGCTATATCATGACCAAATGAAATTGGCGATATTTCTATACTTGGCTTCTTTTATGGTCATTGATCACTAGTCAAGTTACGCATTTTCAGGTACAGAGGTCTTGGAACAAATTATCCCTAACAGCTGTCTCAACACCAACACTGATAAAAACATTAGGACAAATGTTCAAAAAAAAAAAAAAAAAAAAAAAAATGCGGGGAGAAACATTTCAGCTTTGGCTATCCTCGCATCCCCATTATTTTCTTAATTCTATACCGTCCACAATGTAATGAACGCTATTGCGCTTTGTTTTTTACTCTTTGCATTGAGCTTCTTCACTTTCTCAATCCCAAAGTTTTTTTTTTTTTCTTTTTCTTTTTCTTTTTCTCGCGTGCCTTTGGTTTATTATAACGTCTTAGCTGGTTTCGTCTCTCTATACTATTCCGATTCCGATTCCGATCCGCCAAGGATAACAGATATTACACGGTGTATTATATACATGTATATTAAAGGATTGCTATAGAGTTATCCTGTAAAAAGGTACAAATGCCTAATAAAGTGTAATGAGAATGCGGGGAACATCCCATTACGGAAGATAGGATGGCATGGTGAGCTGTTACACATGCATGCTCCAACTGAGGCGTCTATAAACTATATCATCTCATTTTTTTACTAATATGTAATTGACCCCGGATTTTTTGATATGAGCAGTGTACATTAATGCAAGTTAATTGCACGTTGTGAGAGTTGTTCAAACTTCAAGGTACCTCTTTACCGTCCCCGCTGGAATGGGCATATGCCCGTTTTGATCGTCAAGGCCCCTTAATATAACACACCTAGCGATTCTAGTCAAAAAGCAGCTAAGCTTTTTTCTTAGCAAACTTTGTGTAGGTACCAGATGCCATTAAAAGCAATAAGTATTCTTGATATTAAACAGCTCTAGAACCATGATTGCTGTTATTTAAGCCGGGATACTTCGTCCTTTGATTTACTGATAGGAGTATAGGTAGATTGGAGCTTTACTTTTCTAATAAGGTGACTTATTTAAAACTATCTTTCCCGAGAAAAAACCCTTGTCTTTTCCACCTGCACTCTTCTGGGTAGCCGTTCATCATCGTTCATCATCGTTCAACATCTTGGCCTTGTCCCACCTCAAGCCCAATTTCAGCTTGTAATCTATATTGACAGAACGTTTTACCCTTTACACGCTGCTGCAGATATGTCTTTGTTAATATGGATGTGATTATGGGGTGCAGGTATATGAATTTTTATCTTATGGCGCATCTACAATAGAGATATATGGCTAGTGAGGGCTGATAAGATCTTTAGTACTGGGTATGGAGATAAAAGCTTGACGCCGAGGATCATGCAGTTCATCCCCTATTCCTGTCGTTCTAAACATTGATATCACTACAGAGCAAAGCAAAACGAAAGGATATCTTTGACTTGATAAAGACGAAACTATATATAATATGACTAGAGGTATAGATAAAGTAGTGGCGATGGGTATCGACTAGAGGTATCTGAGCTCTAAGTAATACCGTGACTGTAGCTAGTTTAGCCAGCAAGATCACCAGGAGGAGTTTAAGAATGTCAGGAATCATAGGGGTTTTTTTTCCCTCCGCATTGGTATGTACAACCTGTTGTGGTGATCGCTGGCGCGGCCCTAGCAGATCTTACCGTTCAAAATGAGGGCTCGAAAATTAATGCTATTTGCACTTGTTTAAATAAACCGCATAGCATAATGACATGGCATCAAAGGATTGTGATGCTTTATATGGTTACTCATTTTCAATTACGAGAATTTTGATAAGTAAACCATTTGTATTTGAAAAGGTCTAACCAAAAAGAACGACAAGCTTGACTCTCTGCTCTGAAGGCACATCATGTTTGGGTTTCAGATAGAAAGTCATGAGAGACCTTTATATCCAGGTTGCATTATACGGCTATGAAATAATGGATATGATCTATCAATTTTTTTTAGGTACAGGATGAACTCGTACATGTTGAAATGAAGGCGTTTTCACATCAGCCAATGAGCGCGCGACAAGAGAGATCAGTGTTTTCGTGTTGTGATAGGGAGTGAAGGTGAGTGCCTGAGATGAATGAAGCTTTACGCCCTTTTTTTATTTTGTCACTTCATCTATTTTCATTCCCAACCCGTCCTTGATCAGCTCTCACTTTCTTTTTCTGTTGGCTGGAATATCTTCAACGGCGATACAGGAAACGAAAATACAGGATAGAGGGATTGTTATTGCTGCTGCAAAAACGCGTGAAAATAACCAGGAAACGAGCCCAATTCCTTAGTATACATACACCCTTTGGAAAACAACAACGACCACACAATTGGAACCAACAAACTAGCTTTCTATTCAAAGACTATGGCCATCTCAAAAAGACGCTTCTTGTTTGGGACGGTGGCTCTCTTGTCGGCAACAGCCTGTTTGGTCCATCGAGCCCAGGCATATTTAGATGATGAAGATGATGAGAATGTGCATTCACTGAGGACCCATTCCCTCTATATGCCTTATATCGGTAAGGTCCTCAATCAGCTACTCCCCTGCTTTACTTTCTCTGTGTCTCCTTTTTTTTTTTTTTTCTCTTCATTGTCTAAAAAAAACATACATCAGTTCTACTGTCCTGTTTGAAGCATTCAGCTTTGCTGTTTTAAAAAAGAATTCATTGCTGCGAGAGCCTTTCAGAACTCCTGCTTTTTTATACCGCATTCCGGTATTGTCTTGTCCTACCCCTTGATATTGTGTTTTTTTTCTATTTATTGAGCGATCATCTGGACAGGAACATGAGAGATACCATGCAAAGAGAATCACTAAGAGAGAAAGAGAGGGGAAAAAAAAAAAAAAAAAAAAAAAAAAAAAAAGAGCAAGGAGGCAAACAATACCTGTAAGCTGTAACGTGCGCCCCTGTCAACACATCTGCAATCATGGTTCGTTTCTGGAAGATTCCTGTTCATGTCAAGCAAGAATGAAGGACATTAAATCGCGCATGGGGGTGGCATAACAGGGTTTTTCAGGGGAGACGAAGTTGATTCAACGAAAAAACTATAATTGTTTGCCATTGAGCAATTCAAATGGCTTGAATGAATATATTATAAACAGGTCCTCCTTCTCTCTTGTTTTTTTTTTTTAACTTCGCTTCAGTCGGCATTTCTTGTTTCTCGCTTTTTCTTCGATAAACCACTTTCTCATTTTTTTTTCTTTAACACTTTAATATCTGCTATTCCCAAAACATTGTCCACCCAATCCAGACAATACTGCACTCCCCCTCAAAAAAAAAAAAAAAAAAAAAAAAAAAGCAAGAAAGAAAGAAAGAAGAAAGACAAGATGAAAAAATGACAATATATGATCTACATCAACATGTGTGGACATGTCGCTGGAGAAAAGAATTGACGGAGTGGCACATACATCTAAAGATAAGAGGATGATTCTATGGTAGAGGATGAAGAAGATAATGAGCAATTAGAGATTAATGAGACGTTAAAAGGCATGGATGATATATATATATATATATAAAGAGTCAAGGGGCAAGATAAGGTTGGAAGGATTAAAGGGAAAAAAAGTAAAAGAGGGTAGAACAGGAACAAAAGGTAGAAAAGAAAGAGGAGGCAAAATAGGAAGAAAAGGTGGCAAAGGACGAAAAGAGGGTCGAAAATAAGATGTGATGAAGAATAAGAGAGAAGAAAAGGCTAAAATCTAATGGATGGCTCCGAAGAAGACAAGTATGACAAGAGAACGAACAAGAGGGATTAGAAGGATATGAATGTTGAGTGTGTAGAGGATAAAAAAAGAAAAAGAAGCGTAAAGAGGAATAATGGCTAAGAGTACGGGTAGAAGTGTGAGTGAGCTGAAGAACATCATTCCCAAATACGCGTTTCATATTGCCAACTAACGCGTATGCCACGTCTTTTAATGCTTAATTGTACTATTTTTTCCTACCTTACTTGATAGATCAGGATCTTCAGAACCGCTGGTTTGACTTTGGTGGCGATACAATCATCAACACCAACCATCAAATCCGTCTGACCCAAGATTATCCTTCGCAATCGGGCTGGCTCTGGAGCCGTTTGGTAAGGATGCAATTTTTTTTTTCTTCATTCATTTCTAGTTATCCTAGTTATTGCAGCTTATCCCACTTGGTGCTAGCATTATGTAGTGGCTTTGTTTCTTAACTTCTACTGTTCTTACTTCCAATTCAAAGCCCCTAACTGCACCCAACTTCCAAATCGAGTTTGAGTTCAAGGTCCATGGCAAGGGCGATGGCCTTGTTGGTGATGGGTTTGCAGTATGGCTCACAAAAGAGCGTGCAGAACCTGGTCCAGTCTTTGGAAACCGCGACAACTTTGAAGGCCTGGGTATTTTCTTCGACACTTATGCTAACGCTAGGCAAACAGTGAGTACTCATGAACACCAGTTTTTTAATTTTGATATCCTTTTTTTATTTTTTTATTTTATCCGCAAGTGTATATGCTAAGAGTAATTATCGATAACCTTTTTCTTGGTATAGCATTCGTTCCCTTACGTCATGGCAATGGTTGGTGATGGTAGAACATCCTATGACAATGCTCATGATGGTTTGAATAATAGAGCTGCCGGATGCGAAGCTGACATTAGAGGCAAAGATGTCCCCACCAAAGGACGTATTTCCTATAATGGAAACTCACAGACTCTCAAGGTAAGGACACAGCTATATAGGCATCCGTAATCCTGGCTTTTGACTCTAGCACCTTCTATTCTCCCATCCTCCTATTCTCTATCTCTTTGTTGCTTATGCTTCACATTATTGTTGTTTTTTATTGTCGGTTTTTTCTAGCTCGAACTTCGGACTACGGAGTCAGATAAGTCGGACACTTGCTTCATTCTGACGGACCTTAAGCTACCACCAGCCTTTTTCCTTGGTTTCACTGCAATCACAGGCGGGGTCCATGACAACCACGACATCATCAGTGTATCAACATATGTGTTGGATAAGGGCGAGGACTTTTCTGTTGAGGTATGAGAAATTAATCATTGGATTCTACAATTCTACATAATGATAATGTAGGATATTTACTTAACCTTTTTGTGAACAATGTGCTTTTCCTTGGAATATGCAGAGAGCAAATAATACCCGTCCTCCCTCGGGCAAGTCAAGCTTTGGCTGGGTCCTCAAGCTACTCGCTGGCAGCGGTGTCTTTGCAGGAATTGTATTCATTGCTTTCAAAATGACCAAGAAGAATGACAGAGCGCGGTTTTAGATGAAGTTGACTAGTTGAATTTTTCTTTTTTCTTTTTTTCTTTTTTTTTTTTTTTTTTTTTTGAGATATTTAAAATCAAGGATGTGAAAAAAAATATATATTTGGAGCTTGTTTCTGTCCAATTGAAGATAGGAGAATAGTTATTGTCTCTTTATTGCTAGGTAACGTAGAAGGATTTTCAAACCACCTACTATCAATCATATTACCGTACTTCAGTATCATTATTTTTTGACGTTCAAGTTAGTTTATGGCGAATGTTCATGCTATTATGTAGCCGTCTTTCGCTCCTCCACCTCTGTACTCACAGGCTAACAGCAAATCTCTCTTCTTGTCATCCGGTCCACGTGATATGTGTATCAAATTCTGCCCATGGCTTTTTATGATGGGCTTTCTTAGCACAGGTATCTAAATTTATCAACATGGATGGCTGTGTCAAGCAAAATAGGAGGAAGAAAGGAGACCTGATAATGTGATTAGCAAAGAAACCACCTCTTGCCTCTCTGTCTACTTTTTTCCTCTCTCATTTTTTCTTCATTTCTTTTTCTTCATTCATTTCACAACCCCCAAAGAATAAGGATCCCACACCATGAAACTGACTCCAACATCCATCACCCTTTTTCTGGTTGAAATAGGAACTTTTTTCTCGGAACTCATCGTCGCTATATGTTGCGGCTTATATGTCTCATCCTATCCAAAGTCCTCTGAAGCGACGTCGCTCTCTGGCATAGCTATTGGTACTTTTGCCTTTGCCATCTTGAGCACCCTTGCTACAGCTGTGCTCATTTTACGTCAAAAGTATGGTAAAACCATGCGAGCCATCTTTGAGAGCGCATGGGTCATTTTTGCGACTACGATGTGGATCCTAGCTGCTATAGGAGGTATTGCTTATCCACCTAATGGCATGTCGAACGTTTCGTGCAAGATCCTACCCAACGGAACAGAAACATCGGATCCAAACTATACTCGTGCATGTCAATCCATGTTTGCATCAACAGCCTTCTGTATCGTCACGGCACTGTTCTACATCGCGACTATGATCATGCTATTTGTGTATTCAGTCAAGAGGACCTATCATGATCGCAAGTCAAAAAAGAAGCAAGTCGGAGGTCATTACAAGTTATCCATGACACCCTCTCAATACCGTCGTTCAGAAAAGGAGGTTGAAGAAGGCAAGAACCTTAAAGGGGCAGGCGAACACGAGGAGGATGAACAAGACCAACAGCAGCAACAACAACAAGAAGAAGAAGAAGAAGAAAGGTCGGGGGCCATTAAAGATGGACATTTTACAGAGAATGTCTACAAAGATCCAATGGTTTCAAACGTTCCTGTCACACATCAGCACCACATGAATCTGCAGCAGCAGCAGCATCAACAACAGCAATATCTAAATCAACATCAACAACAGCAAAGCTTATGGAATCAACAGCCAGCGTATACTCCATATTAAGCATATCCAATTCAGCTATTGACACTGACAATAGTTAAAGTTCGCGGCTTTTCGTGAGTATTAATGTATATATCTACAGCATAAAACCATTCAATACATGAGTATATAGCATCAATTCCAACTCTCTATCAATGATATCAATAACAATTTTTTATTTTATTTAATTTTATTTTATTGTTGACGCGTGTGCTCACATACGAGAAACGCGTACTCGACGTACTTATAACCCATATTCGCGCTTTGCTTAAAAGACATGAATTATAATGCGATATTTGTAAAAAGTGTTTCATTTAGTCATTTTTAAAGTTGTGGCTTCGAACCCGTTCACCTTGTGGAGGCTGTGTAGGTTACCAGCCAGCGGACGAAGCGCAAGGCGAGTCTCCTTAGATGCTCAAGTTAGCCAAATATGCGACTCCCCTTATGTGGGCTATGTGAGTCATGTGAGCCAAAATATATGTGAAAGTTCACTCACTTGTCTCTCCCCTCCACAATTTCTGGCTCGGAATCTAACACATCCGAAGAATAGTCTTCACCATCATCGTAGGTGCGCTCTTCAGGATCCATATCAACGTCGGAAGAGTCATCATGATCGTAGAATTCGAAGCCTGGCTCAACGATCTCTTCAGTTGCATTCTCCGATACTGGAGGCAACTAAGGTATCAGTAGTGACGACCTATAATTTGCATTAAGAAAAATAATTAATTATAAGCTAATGAACTAATCGAAATAGCTAGTATGTTCATGATATTTATAAACACCACCATTGTGGAAAGGACGGCTAATACTATCTATCTCAGAGAGAAAGAAGACAGAGAGTTAGAAATGTAGTAGGCTAATTCGAATTTACGCGTCTGTTTTTTTTTAAAAAAGTAAAAAAGTTACCTGGGACAAGAGATGGACTACAAAACACGAGAAGGGCCTGAATGGAGTCTGCAAGAGAGCTATCCTGACCGAAATAAAATGGGTAATGAGCGGTAGAAGAGGATTAAATGGCGATGGTGAATCGGAAGTAGCAATTGGCAAAGAGAGGTGGTTTTAGCGAGAGACTCTCTAGCAAAAAGCTTATTACGCCACCTTAATAATAGCCACGATAAAAAAATACTACTACCAAGCTTTAGCTTCTAAGAATATTCAATCCTTCGCTTCATCATCATAACATTTTCCCTACTCATACCCAGAATCCTTCGTAATTATTGTACTCGCACCATTCTTCTCTCTCCATTCGAACAACATGACTGTTTAATTTAAGGCAATTATACTAATTATCTTGTACCATTTTATTTAATTAATTGATCTAGCGATTAATTGATCTCGTTTTACGCGTCGTCAATCCCATTTTTACCCTCTTTCTGCTCATTAATCTCTCACTGATCTCACTGATCTCTCTCTCTCTCTCTCTCTCTCTCTTTTTTTTTATAACAGGTATTTCCACAGATTGCCCTTATAATAATGAACATTGGACTCCTAACGTATCTATGAGGGTGGAATATATTACGATATAAGCAATATATTCATACGGATGGGACCTTTCAGCCACTGTCTAGGGATCCTCTGCTCCTAGATATGCTCAATGTCACCCATCTGATACCTTATAGGTGCCGGCAGAAAGGGAGATTTTTACATTGTTCAAAACATAGATAAAAAGTTTAATTCTGTGCAAATACACACTAGTGCTTCATTCTTCCAAGACTGGAAATAGGATGGTCGTTTAAGGAGTTTGTGGAGACAGGGCCATAACCACCCCAACTTTGAAAAATAATATACGTGTACGCAATCCGAAAGGCGCGACATTGAGTTGCTAAGGCAAGAATACGAGAACATAAGGATCGAGAGAACCATCAGTACATCACACAATGGCACTAGCTGAGAGGAGAGAAGTGTCCGCAAAGCAAGCCATATTTGCCTTTCAGCACGTGCATGTGCACATGAACTTCGTAGTGACGAGCCTGAAAAAACTACAGAGTTTATTTGGTAGTGGTGTGCATCGCATAAACAATTCCTTCTATCTTCTAAGGACTCTAATCTGTACTGCATTTTTTAACGATGCAAGACTGAGTTAGTACAAAGGAAAATTAATCTGCTCCATATTCAGGTCGGGGGCCGTACCTCTCTACCAGCTTTAATCCAAGGCAAAGCAGACCTTCCGGGTTTGGAACCCAGACCCTCCGCTACAGAGAGGGAAGCTTTAGCCACTAGACAGAAAATAAAAAAAGTAAAAACCCTAAAAGTCAGGTGATGGCATTGCATGGTAGATGCTCTCCTCGTCGCGTTCAAGCTCTTTTTTTTAGACATCTATCCTCACACCCCATTTGTATATACCACATCTATACAACTCATCATGCTTAACAATCAAGATGCAACAACGCCTGAAGAAAGTACAGAAAATACCAGCAATGTTCCAGCAACAGTAGAGCGGAAGAAGTTTCAGCGCGATGCACACATTAAGTACTTCAAGCTTTCGTTAAAGATGCTGCCTAGCCCATATGCTTCTCAAGATGGATTTCGGTAATTGCAAACATCAAGAAAAAAAGAAAAAAAAAATGGCTTGTGGATCTATCTTTGACGGGTCGATTGAAGAAGAAGAGGAGGAATAAGGAAAAGAGAAGGAAGAGAAGAGGGATCTTAGATTGGTCGCGCGCGTGTGATATGGAAGCCTTACTCGCAATCAACAGCTGGTTTTTACTCCATTGACGTTTTATGGCCTATTTATCCACAAATATGAGACTAGCATGACGCTTGGCATGTTTGCGCTTGGAGGATTGGAACTACTAGGGGTCCTTGAAGAAAAAGTTTCCGAGGCCGATCGCAAAGCATGGATCGAATGGATTTACTCACAGCAACGTATCCCATCAGATGCAAACAATAAAGGTATTTAGGAAATTCTCATGGACTCTTTTTTATTTCAAGTTTTTGATTGTCATTTCACTCTTCTTACTTTCCTTTTCTTTTCTTCCGCAATTAAGATTCGGATGAGGTCCTCTATGGATTTGGAAGCCCTTTCTCAGGACTACCATTCACCTCCTCTGACGATGATGACTGTCAGTGTAAAGGTCATTCACCCAGAAATGTGTATGATACTGCACATATCACCATGACCTACACCGCACTACTCATGCTAGTTGTCTTGGGTGACGACTTGTCGAGAGTGGCCAAGGAGCCCATCCTGAAATCCCTCAAAAGACTACAGCAACCCAATGGTTGTTTCATTCCGTGCATTACAGATTTCGAACCAGATATGCGATTCCTCTATTGTGCAGCTGCCATTTCTTACATTCTCAATGATTGGTCAGGCTTTAATCGAGCAACAGCTGTACATTATATTCAACAGTGTCAAACCTACGAAAATGGATTCTCACAATATCCAGGACAGGAGGCTCATGGAGGCTCCACCTATTGTGCAGTGGCAGCTCTAGGGTTAATGGGCGGGGACGCATTTAAAGATCAAAAGACTATGACCCGAAACATTAAAGAGGGTGAGGATGAAGTTGCGTTTGAACAACGAAAATTACGAGCTGGGTTCTTGGACAAGGAAGGAATACGACGTTGGTGTCTTCAACGACAGACCACAGGATTTCAAGGTCGCTCCAATAAGCCCACAGATACCTGCTATTCATTTTGGGTTGGCGGAGCGCTTGCTATCCTCGATAGCATGGATCTGGTTGATTTTGAAGCTAATCGTGGGTATCTTATGGAAGCTCAGCATAAATCCATCGGAGGTTTTGGAAAATGGATTGATACATTTCCAGGTAAAGTGATATATACAAAAAAAAAAAAAAAAAAAAAAGGAAAATAACATGAATACAATTTAAACCTTTTTTCCTCTTCTTCTTTTTGATGATACGAATAAAAATCAGACATCTTGCATTCTTATATGGGCATTGCGGGCCTATCACTCATGCAAGAACCAGGTGTACTACCGATGGATCCGCTTTTGAATGTTTCCAAGCGTTCACAGGAACGTCTTTTTAATAATACCGTTTTTTGGAAGAAGAATGCTACAGAGTCATGATTGATATTCATTTAAGCGATTTAAGGCCAAACAAAGTAAAAAAAAAAAAAAAAAAAAATCATACATATAAATTATTTTTATTCTCATTCGGTTTTATCATTTTTTATTCCAAAACTGAGGAAAAGTCTTTGGGAGATCAAATATCGATTTTATCTCTAGTCTTGCGGGAGTTAATGTCTCAGTATTAGGTGTCTGTTGAGGATAGTAGTGGTGATGGTCATCCTCATTGAGATGAACAGCGGTCCAGCCAAGCTTGAGAGCCATGTCAACATTTGGAGCAGAGTCATCGACGAAATAACAGAGTGAAGAATCTTGTACACCTGCCTGCTTCATCGCTTTCTCAAAGGCTTTACGATCAGGCTTGCATACGAATTGATGCTCCAAATAGTTACAGAAAGTTGTACCGTCAAACAACCCTTGCAAACCGAGGATTTCGACAACTCTGTTTGCATGCTATTTAAAGATAAATAAAATAAAAATAAAAGTTGTTAGGTTCATTTTATTTTAATCTTCACTGTCATTTTCATTTCTGCATTTTTTGAGTGTACGTTCTCGCCGGCATTCGTAAAGAGCCACTTCTTGCCGACATTCATGGACTGGATCATCTCCCGAAGTAAGTGATTTTCTGTCAGGATATTTTCCAATGGTAGATCACCATCTACTTTACTATCGTAGTCACTGATATTGATCTTGAAGCAAAAAAAAAAAAAAAAAAAAAAAAAAAGATGGTTAATATCGGAACAACCGCATGCTCTTCTTATTCAAAGCTATGAAAATTATATATATTTACCTCTTTTTTAACGGCACCAAAAAAAAAAAAAAAAAAAAAAATTGAAGCTAGTTAAACCAAGCTGTCTCAACAGACAAGAGAAAAGAGAGGAAGTGTAGAAGGAAAGGAAAGGTTTTTGATGTCTTACCAGGATGCTTCTCCACAAGCCCTCGAATAGCGAGCCCGTAATCAATATAGTATCGGTAGGCCAAATCTTCCACTAGATGATATAGGAATAGTCGGAGCGGATGAGTATGACATTGTTGTGTTCTTTAAGACTAAGAGACCAAGAGTTTGAGGGACATTGATTACCTTCATCATGCGGAATACCAGAATCTCTAAAATACTTTTCAATCCTGGTATTTGGTATGTATATATAAAAAGAGGGTATGAGTATCATATCATCTTCCGTAAAAAAAAAGAAGAAAAAAAAGAAAAAAAGAGGATAGTTTACCAACCTTGCCTTCATCATTCCGGGGATTCCAGTGTTTTTTGAATATAGACAGTTATCGATATCAAAAAAGAAAACACACTTTGTTGTGTCCACATCCGAGATTATCTGATTTGAATGTGTGCGCGAACTTTGTAGAGACGTTTGAAAGAAATTGAGGTTTGCCCCTGACGTAAATTGACGGGATTGGCTATTGTTTCTGAGAAAGATGAGCGATGTCCGCCCAAGAGCCGATATGGATTTAGTTGTGGTGGTATACAGGCGCAGACTGGAAGAGTTGGACCAGGATGTATGGCTGAAGAGTGTGGTCGTTTCTACGCTATAGTTCTGAGGAGCCAATCGGCAGAATGTGTGCAGCGGTCGAGAGGGAAATACAGCATGAGCATTTGATCGAACCAGAGCAATGATTTGTTTACTAGTTCTGACAGAGAGTAAGGGAGGAGGTCGAGTAGGTACTTGGCACAGAAACATTGTTCAACAGGGCGTTTGTCGTAGTACAAAGATATACAACAAGCAGGAGGCAGTTGTTGGGATACGACAACAAGTTTGATGAATGAGTTGAAGTTAAATGAATGAAATTAACGACAAATGCTGAGATGGCACCCACCCATGCAGGGAAAAAAAAAAAAAAAAAAAAGAAAAGAAAAACGCGATGTAGCCCCTTGAAACACATGACATGGTGCATTAATTGCGCGTTTTCCTTTGAACAGGTTCAAGAAGCTGGATACACAACTGCTGATATAATAGTGACTAATGATAAAGAAGATTTAGTGCATGCACTGGAGAATTATCTATGATTTTACTGCCGGCAATGACCAGCAAATATCTTTATGTTAGTTGGAGGCCCGGTTTCTGAACAATATCCACCATATCAATTCAATATTATGGATGGATGGAGTAATGAGAAAAGAACATAGAAAGGCCCTTGGCAATACAAAGTCAAGTTGGTAGCTTTATAACCCTACTCACCGACAAACAATAGATGGACCACGCCCTTACTATCACAGTAGAATACATTGGGGTATTTACTCATTCGTTCATTGAAGCATAAGATTGACTCTCATAGCTATCAAAAATTGCTTTTTTGCAGTAATATAAAATTGCAGCGTTCTGATGTAGGCCTTTTCATTAATATTAACCTTGACCTAATCTGTTACAATGTCTGCAAAAAAAAAAAAAAAAAAAAAAAAAAAAATTGGAAAAAGATTCAATCAATCGATCAAGAAGCTGTAAGGAAAGGGATCGACAGCGGAAAGTACGGAATATCCCTTCGTCTGTGAGGTTATTTGGTATTCCCTGAAACGCTCTCAATCCCACATGTACGGCACTGACCATGTTGGACAAGAAGATCCGTGTATATTGAACTAACATGGACTTCCTTGCGCAAAAAAATCATGCCCTAATTCTTCCGGCTCCATTGTCTGGTACTTACAATACTGGTATTTAGGGACACCCAGGCCGGCAATGGCTCCGAAGCAATCATCTGTTGGATT